CTCAATCAAGCACGATCCGGCTAACAGTCGGTTCTTTCGCACGTTTAGTACACTGCTTCCGCCAAGACTTCGTCTCTGGAGCAGGTCTCCAAGGCTCTCGCCCAGCTGGGTGAGGTCTTCAAGAAGGACGCCAAGCTGACCTCCATCCTCAACGCCCCGACCCTCTCCGCCAGCGACAAGCAGCAGATCGTGCAGGAGCTCCACAAGATTGCCGGCGCCGACAAGGGCGACATTGTGAAGAACTTCCTCAACACCCTGGCTGAGAACAACCGTCTGGGCCTGTTGGAGGGCGTTGTCGAGAAGTTTGCGACTCTGATGAGCGCGCACCGTGGTGAGATCGAGCTCAGCATTACCAGCGCTCAGGTGGGTGAATCACGTCAATCACTCTGGGGAGAGCAACTTGGATTTCCGGCTAATGAGTGTGGAATTGCAGGAACTCGACAACAAGACCATCCAGCGCATTGAGAAGGCTGTGGCCAAGTCTGAGTACAGCCAGGGCAAGAAGCTCAAGGTGGTGACCAAGGTGGGTTATTCCATCCCCTGCTACTGTTATACAGAGTGGTATAAACTCTGCTAACCTTCCCAGGTTAACCCCGACATCATTGGAGGCCTCATTGTCGAGATTGGCGACCGCACCATCGACCTCAGCGTTTCGTCCAAGATCAGCCGACTCAACAAGGCTCTGACTGACGCTCTGTAAAAATTAAGTTGCCCTACAAACCCTTTCCTTGTCATCCGCATGATGTATCCAATTGTGTACTAGGTTTCTAGATTTTTCTTTCTCTATACAGTTCCAATTTCCTTTGTCATAGCATAGTCTTGAGAACCCCCAGAAAAGGAAAATCGGAAACTAGATTTACAGCCAGCCAGCCATTGTTCTCGTCGACATCAGCTGCAGCTGCAGGTTGCAGCCAGTAATTGCCAGTTTTGTAACCTGCGCCTGCGCCCTAGTCATTAATGACTAACGGACAGACAAGGAGGGGAGAGAATTGTAGATAGATAGTCAGCTATATGCAGACATATGGACTGTATGTATGTATGTATGTACGTGCTGTACATGTATGTATGTTGTACATACGTCATGAAAACTAGTTAGTTCACTAGTTCATTGATAAGGTATATTACTTACCTAGGTAGGTAGGTAGGTAGGTAATTTCGGGGCTTTTCTCCCTCTCACTCTCTTTTCTTGCTTCTGTTCTCATTCAACATTTGAAGAAAGGGGCAAGTAAATTGAATTAAATATTCATTGAAAAAAAAAGATATCTATGGCTTTACGGCTATGGCTCTACTCTATAATCTATTCTACATATTTATTTATTAATTAATCTGGTCTAGAATATTCCGAACTGATGTATCACTAACATTTCTAATATATAGGATTAATACTGCACATACTTACCCACTTGGCAGCAATGATCATCATCATTTCTTCGAATATAAATCATTTTATTATTATTATTATTATATTATGTCCAGTGTAGACAATTGACTATTGTTCCGCCGATTGGTTTGCTCCGGCAGGGGAATTGGGACTGACTGCATATCGTTCATAATTAAAAAAAAACGGAAGGGTCTCCTGTCCTTTGCTTATACTTTACTAACATTACTGACTAGATACCAGCTAAATATGAATCAAATGAGAATCGGTTCCAACAATGTGTTAATCGTAAGCCCTACGGAGTACATGCGTTATACATACGTGCATTCTTACTGACTCGCCTTATTATTTTCCGGCAGAAAATGCAGCGGCACAGGCTTCCCCCAGAAATCGCACGGATTGAACCGCCAGGCGCCCTTGTTATAAGCCCCGAACCAGTACTTGATCACGTACGGCAGAACCCCCGGCAAAGGTGGGAAGTTGTTGCCTCCTTCGTAGGTCTTGTCGCATGTTCCTAGCACGCAGGGGAAGACGTCGTACTATAATAAATCAGTATCACTTCGAATGGTCTTTTTTTTTGGCAAGGTACGATACCAGCAAACTGATGTTCCCCGTCGCCTTGGCCACCTGCTCGGCCTTATCACAGCAGGCCCGCAGCCCGTCGCTGTCGAACTCGCCTAGAGACAGAAACACATCAATCTCCTCGTACAGATGTCTCGTCAGGCTAGGCGCGAATGCATCGATGATGCTCTTCATTCCTCCTCCCTTGCCGTCTTCTTCTTCCCACCGGTACTCTTCAGGCTTAGTCTCCTGCGCATACCGCAGCAGCCGCTCCAAGCCCGACTTGAACTCCTCATGCTGGCCCTTCGGCCCATCCAGCAGCCCCGGCCGCCCCGTAAAGGCCTCGATCTCAGGGAACATGCACGTCTCTTCCGTGTGGTGGTGGTGTTCCACCGTCTTGACCCACGCCGCGACGTAGAACAGCAGGTCGCGCACGTCCTGCTCCGAGTACCCCAGGGATCCCGCTGGCGAGATGTGCGGCGCTTGAAGGATGATGGAGTTGAGGCCCCGGAGGAGACAGTTGTGTGAGTAGGCCATTTCGGAGGCTAGGTAGATGTAGGAATGGGAGTTCTATTAACGCATGTTAGTATACACACAGGCAGGTTCGGACAGTATGTAGGAAGGATTGGAGAACTTTAAAGGGATTATTATTGACATACAATATCCAACGTCTTGGAAGGCGTAGGAATGAGCTTGAAGGGCTCATCTGCCCATGGGGCTGCTGACGGTTTGGTGGTCATGTTTGTGTTGCCAGCACCTCAGTCAGAGAATAAGATTATGTTTCTATATAGATTCTCCTGACAAAGGGGTATCGTATTTTTAAAAGAATGCTTAACGTTAACGTCAACAGCATCCATGACGAGTCACGACCTCGACATTCATTGAACAGCTGACTGGGTGCGTGGCCTGCGTCAGATAACAAGAAAAGCAACTAATAACTTCCTGCAGCCCGGGTCCAACCAACAGTTTACCCAAAGCTGTCCAGTGAGCAGTTGGCTGTTAGTTACTAAGCCGTCGAACCATACCAATGTCGCACACATGGTTCGTCAGCCTCGTCTCGTCTCAGCCGCACTACGACACGACACGACAATCCTTGCCCAATAATTAATAGCCGCTTAATTAACTCTTCCTCAGTTGAAACGAGCAGCAATAGCATCAGGAATTATTACTCATGGCAGCGCCCTTGTAGGTATGTGCCTGTCCATCCACTTCACTTTCTACTGGTGTAAACGAAATCAGAAAATCATACGTGTGTATATGTTATAGATTCCGACGTGCTCGTTTCTTGGATAAAATGTATCATACAATCCGATTCATCGATCGATTGCCCTGCACAGCACAGAACGCCAGTGTATTGCCTGCAATCCCGCAGAAAGAGTTAACTGAAACAGACAAAAAAAAAGGAGCATAACAGTGAATCGCCCATCCATCCGTCATCCGTTCCCAAACTCCAGGACCAAATGCATGTAAATATGCGTGTATGCATGAGGGAAAAAAAAAGAGAGAAATGTATTGGTCAATCGCTGCGCAGCATACTGTCGACCAAATCTCCCAGCGGGCCCCAGAAATCCTTCCCGCTGGCCAGGTTGTGCTCATTGATGAACAGGACGTAGTGTTTGAAACTGGTGTTGAGATGAGGCTCCAATCCTAGGTGCACGACTACCGGGTAATGGTGGCAGTAGATATGGGCGTACACCCGATACAGCCGTTTGAAGATCTGCCGCAGGAGGCTTGGGAAGGTCTTTGGGAATGGTACACCTAGAACCAGAATTAGCTCACGGTATATAAACTGCATACGCAGCGCATAGGATGCATACCCATTCTGCTGGGGAACATCTGCTCGTTGTCAATGTTGCCCTGAACCCAACTCATCAGGTGCTCGATATACTCCGGTGCGGACATCTTCGTCGGCCGCTTATAATTCTCCGAGTCCTGCCACAGATACTCGAACCTGCTCTGCTCAGCATTCCCATCCATCCTTCCATGAAGTCTTCTGACGCGACTCACTCATCTGTGGCTTTCATCTCCGGGCACGTTTGCGGGGAACAAAACTCCGTAATCGACCCGTACAGAAGGTTGATTTGATTGTAGAAGTCGACCACTACAGGTATACGATCAGTAGGCGCCTTCGATGTGTCGCGAGTCGATGCATACCGTTCACTGCCAACCATTCATTGAGATCTTCTCCTTCGGGCAGCTTGACGGCCTTCCGCAGACTCCCACTCCCCAGAGTGGCCTCTGCAAACTGTCTCAGCTGGTAGCTGCTCGTCCCCTTGGTTGCAGAGCGGGGTTTGAAGGGGCCCTTCGTTCGCGCATTTCTGGGCGGTGTCAGCACATGCAGCGTCCCCTTGAGAGCTTGCACAGCGGGAGAGAGATAGGACGGAGGATCAAGAAGGGAGAAACGGTGATGACGTTGGGTATGGATGGTCTGGCAGGAGGGGGAGTCGCTGAGCGACGACGAGGATGATGGTGGGGGCAGCAGGCTGTCAGATGACATGGCGACGTTGGGGTTGGATACAGACATTGTGGTGATGAATGAAGCCATAATAATAACCACCCAGGCACTCCACCGCAAGAATCAAGATCTCCTTTCGTTTTTAAACAACCTCGACAATGCCGTCAGTCCCTCTGTGTTTCGGTCGCGGTGATGTGGATCGCGGCTGCAACATTCCAGTCAGTCAGTCAGTCGCTCAGATCATACTGAAGCAGGCGCATGGCGTGCAAGATTCTGAGTCATACCTCGTAGTTTAACGACCAACCCTCGAGTCGAAAATTAAAGCAAATGTCTGAGGTTCAGATGGTAGATCATCTCTGGAACATTACCCTTGCGGCAGTCAGATGCCATCCGATGCGTAGACCTCTCCGCTCCAGCGCTGACCGCCCTGTTGCCCCGGTGATGACAACATCACGTGGCGCATAGAACTACTCCTCCATCTACGATGGCTCTACGTACTCCTTACTCTTCTTATCGACGTCGCTGAAGATGTGACTGCAATGGATGAAACTAGTGATACATATCTAATAGTTGAGCGTTGTCTCAAAATTGTCGTAAAGTACATCATCCCAGTGCTACGGCTAGTCGTGTCTACTCACTGATACGGACGTATGTGAAATCTCATCGAAAGCGAAAAGATGGTTTATGTTTTATGAGGTGATCTCCATCACTTCACACCTTGACCAAGGATATATAATGTACAAAGCTCCCATAGGGCAATTTGTCCATTGAAACAAACCCAGATTGCCTCATCCTGGAGGCGCCTTCAATACAACAAGCAACAATAGCCAGACAAATCCGTTCGTTCCTCATATATAGTATACCTGATTCTCTTCGGCTAACGGCTCTCGGACTGTCTCCCCATAGACAGTCAGGGGGATCGAAATTTCAAAAGACTCACACGGTAGAGTCTCCACTGATGAAAAGACGGAGCCCCTATCGTCCTCGCCAATGGACTCCAACAACCTGGCCCCCGACAGACCTGCTTCGTCATCACTGTAGGAATGCGTCGTCACAAATTCGAATCGCAATTCCCACTCGAGATTGACCCCGCTCGTCAGTAACGTCGGCGTAGCGGAGATCGGAATGGCGGGGGTGAATACGACTCGAGTGGAGAACAAGGTATTCTCAAAGTAGGACGCGTAGACGCGGCGCGTAGCTCGATAGATGCTGGCGCTCGATCGCATCGCGAGCGAAGGGTCAACCTTTTCTGACGTCTCCAGAGTTGCTCTCAACGAATAGCAAGGGAGCGCGGCATCCGAGAAGTCCACGGTCGCAAAGATCGTCTCTCCAAGGCGGTGGGAAGGACGATTGAGGACCACAACAGCAATCCGACGACCGTTCCGTGCAATTTCGAACCGATTCGCACTGCGGTTGGAACTGGTAATCTGATTACTGCGAAGGATAGCCAAATCGATGGCATCCTTGCAAGAGGGGGACTGCCTGGCTCGCTCTTGGCTCGGCGTTTTCTCCAAGGGTGTGGTAGGAGGAGGTAGCGAACTCCCGGGAGCATGTTGCTCCAAGATCTCATCAACATATGACAAGAATTCAGGGGCTGTGGTCCATATTGGTCCGCTGATGCTCTTGTCTTTCTGCAGCGGACGTGCTTCGTCGCTGCTGCTGACTTTTCGTACACGTGCTTCGTCACGGAGAAGTACGTACGGCATCATGAGATCATGGCCAAGAACATCTCCTCGGGCTTGGAACTGTCAGCTCGATTTCGGTATCGCCAGGATGGAGTACATACCGTTAACGCCACTGAAAACTCGGAAGGGAACGTTGATGCGGTTGACTTGCTGCACTTCCTTGGGGCCGCTAGGTCGCTGGGTACCAATTACCAAATTATAGGAAAACTTGATCGCTTTCCCTTTGTGGCTGGCAGGCAGCCCTCTGGGAAGCGTGAAGGAAAATGAGAACGATTTCTCCTCCCCCGGAGCGAGACGGAGATCGACAAACAAAAGCGACTGCGGTGTAGAGAGTAAAGGAATGGATTTGGAAGAGGTTACACCGCGCATGTCCCGGAGACCATTGAGGTCGCCGCTGGAAAGGAGACCACTGATGGATTCCTCAATCGCATTCCAGCCCAAGGCGCTCAAGAGACCACCATTGCGGCGAGTTTTCTCTGCCGCAGCGGGACCACCGGCACTGCTCCCCTGACTACCCACGACTCCTTTCCGCTTGACTTCTTCAAACACGGCCTGGTTGATCAATGACCCATCGACAGTGAAAGATGCACTGATCTGAGCATATCCCATAAGGAGGGTCAGGGAATCAGAAGACTTGCCAGTCGGTTCGACGCTGGAATAATGCCGCCTGTGTCGCGAAAGATTGGATCGCAAACGGTTCGGGCCATAGTTCGTGTATTCTGATTCAAGTGTCTCCGTCGAGTTATTGCTCAAAGAGTAGAATTCCCCGCTACTTCTGCTGCTTCCATTGACGCTGGAATTCGAAATGATCTTGGTAACCGGAGCCAAATGAGCCTGTTGGGTTAGAGATGGCGGTGTATCTCTTGCGGAAGGTCCGGAAGGCGGACGCGTTGCAGTTGCAGAACTTTCATCATTCGTCGCTGTAGTAGAGTGGTTGCTAGTAGGCTCATTCGGAGTCGGCGGAGCTGGCGGGAACTTGAAGTCCGTGGGGAAAGGCATCGCTCTTCCTCGGGGACTTCGTAAGGAATCGGGTGGCGCTACAGGACTGGCTGCGCCAGAACCCGGACGACTGGGTCTGAGGGATCGATCTCCATCAATTCTCAGATTCGCAATCGAAGGACTCAAAGCAGACTCGGCTGAGTGCAGCCCACGTGTCGGGGTCCTGCCAGCTTCACGTATTGTCAGCCAAAACAGAAACAGATCCTCAATGGATTGATATTTAGAAATACCTGGTGAAAAGATCTCCTCGGGACCTGTAGACCTCCTCGGAAGGAACTGAAGGCTCGCGGACCGGCCATGTCCCCAGGCTGGCCGAGAACGACTGAGCTGAGACGGCACCGGCGTCTTCTCATTCCCTCCATCACTCTCTATGGACAGAATCGACACGGATCGCTTGTGCTTGTGGCCCGATGAGGGCGGAAAGCTATGAGCGACGCCTAACGGCGAGCTCAATGACGCCGACGCGCGGTGAGAACGATCGAACGTCTTCTGGCGAGGAGTTTGGGGAAGCGAGCGCCTGTTGCCATTGGCGAACAGGGCCTGCGGAGACTTGAGCGCGAAGTAGCCGTCGCTGTTGGAGCTGCCGTTCAGGGACCGTGAGGCCTTCCGTTGATGAGGAGGTTGTTGAGGTCCGCTGCTGACGTCGGGGGTTCCATTCTCTGCCACGTTCTTGAATGTGATGATGCACTCAACGTCTTCTCCTGCGAAGATCGTCTGCTCTTTCCATTTCACAGAGACCTGTATGTCCGAGGGCATGGCTACCGTAGCAATGTGGTTCACCGCATTTGCGGGTGACGAAAGACGACCTCAATTCGGCAGTCTGCAGATAGGTAGCGGTAGCGACGCAACTAGACAGTCGGATAGGGACCAAAGCTGGCCCTGGGCATGCTGTTAAAGGGGGCGAATCATTCCCAAAACAACGGACGACGATGAAAGAGCTCAAGGATCAAGGCCGACTGAATGCCGTTCGGGGGACAGCACGTCAAGGGTGGAGCTCATCTCAGGCGTTTGTTCCTGTTGGACTCCGCAGACGCGATCGTTCATGGGGGACGGACGGTGGCGCAAAGGGGAAAAGTGTGGCTGGAGTTCGGCGCCTCAGGCAGAGCGCTCCGGTCTCGACCACTGTTGATTTTTTTTGCGTAACAATTTCAACATGATCTGTTGCGATTTTTTTTTTGATTGTGTTGGAAAATTTATTCAGATGTCCACGAAAATCGTATTATTCAAAGTCCACGGGAAGAAACTACGGCCAGGCTGAGACAAAGAGATTCCAATTATATGAACAACCTTTTGAAATTAACCGCGAGAGTACTGTACAGGGGTATAAACAAAATTATTACAGACCAAAACTCGTGCGCCATGTCCGAGATAGTTACTAATCTTCGTCCAAAATGCGAGCATCCGAGAATGGCTCAGCGCTCTTCCGCCTCGGCCTGAGGCCGAGCTCGACCATCTGACTCCAAATCCTCTCGTGTCGCCTGCGCCATCGCCTGCGGCGGTCCTCCATCTCCTCTTCTGACGGCCGCCACTTGCTCTTCAAGATCCGTCGGATGGCTTCTGGCGATACCTTGAACTCTTCCGCGAGGACAGGTGTGGTAAACTTATCAGGAGCGCTGGCGTGTAGCTGACGGATCCCATCGATAGCGTCGGGGGACAGCTTCTTGGGTGGATTCCAGCCTTCTGGGAACTTCCTCTTCATGGCCTCTTTATGGAGCTGCCATGGCTCCTTCTTTTTCTTCTTCGTTTCTTGTTGCGTACGTTTCGCCGCGGAGTCTTCATTTGCATTTTCTGCCTTCTGAGACTTCCCTTTCTCGCGCGTTGCCTTTTTCTCCGACTTGGAGGCCGCTTTTGTAGGTGTCGATTTTGATTCCTCGATACCAGACTTAGCCCCTTCTACCACATTATCCTGTGCCGCATCTGTAGAGGTGTCCCTCGGCTTCTCAGGCTCGGTATTGCGAGAGGCCTCGGAGACGGATGGCTGGATCGACGAGTCGTAGGACGCAGGGGAGGAGAAAAATCTTCTATGGTAGGGACTTTTAATCTGGGAACATCGCGTGTAGGAAGGGAAGCGGCTGCTCTGTGTAGCAAGAGACCTCGGTCGGACTTGCAAGTAGGGGGCGATTTCAGCACGTAGAATACTCTGCAGTACGTTGGACAGTGTGAATCCTTTGGACACGACGCAGGTCGATGACATGGTGGAGATGTCCTCCAAAGGAAAGATATTGGGTTAGACAATCAAGCCCTGCAGGCTGGAAGAATCGCGCCGAAGATGTTCAATATTGATGATGGATGAGGAATGGCGAGTTTTGGTTCTGTAGATCCCCGGCGGGCTTCGGACAGAGCCTGAAGCTATCAAAAAAGCTTGGCGCCGCTAAGTTAACTCAAGGAGCTTATCTAATGAGATAACCGATAACTAAGTTAACTAGTTAGTTAACTAGTTAACAGTAACTATCATGAATGCATCTTGCATTGTATTAGTCCTTTTCTCGTGCGCATTTCATGAGGTATATGAATTCTACAGAATTTTGCAGAAAACCAGGTTGAATCCTACAATAATATTGTTTGTGCTTTCCTGATAAGACTCTATACTTAGTATGGTTATTCTTACTGTACTTACAAGCCTTACAGGTCTCGCTTGGCTCGACCGGTTGAAGAGAAAATATTTACCTGGTCTATGCCAAGGATTTTCTCCCATGTAGTCTATTATCTGCTCTTCAGGCGGACTTCCTACTTATATATTCTGCTAATATGCAGTATGTTCACTTAATCTAGCCACCGAAATATTAAGAAATTTCTCCTTAAGAAACCTGTCGCATTCTATTACAGCAACTATAAGGACGGGTCACTCGCAGAAGAGAGGAAATATGTGTAACCAGTTGCCTACAGGCCGACCCACAACCAACGAGTCCAATCATCAAGATCCTGGCTACTGAACACAACATCCTGCTCAACTGGTGGGTTGGCAGGGCGGTCGAAGATTTTGTCAAATTCGAGACGCAGAGGAGTCCCCTTGATAACGGAGGGTGTGTTGGACTGATCGATTGTGATTTCTTCAGTCAGAGTTGGGAACGCATTCGATCGAAGGCAGGAGCTAGTTTTCGTAACAGGCGCTGCTCCTGGGACCCATTTCTCGATCTTAATTGCTTTGATAGAGGGCCGGATCCAAATCAGCAGAACGATGTTGACTTTTCCGGCCGAGTGTTCGATCCACCACCTGGCATCAGTATGTAGGCGTGGCATTGACTCAGACATTCCTGCCTCTATAACAAGGGTTGGCCAATCTCCCTTATTCGACCTGACACGCAGGTTCTTCCAGGAAGAATCTCCTTCCTTTGAAGAAGCATTCTCACCAACATACTTCGTAGCGCCATATCCTGCGAATTCTTCGGGACCAAGCTGCATTGCTGTGACAGCACGCACCATACGCTCTCCAAACATGCAGTGAGCTCTCTCGTGAACTTGAGAGGGGAGCTTAATGATCAAGGTCTCTATGTCACCAAAGTAGGTGAAGCTAACACCGCGCCCAAGATCCACCCTATGCTCTTCGATTGTCTCGAATTGCTTCGGAGTGACGTGGCTGAAAGAGAGATGCTGGTTTTCGTCTCCATCGCTCAGTTTCTTGTACTGAGATGCAACGATCTTCCTCAGATCCTTAAAGGTCGAGAACTTGACTGGAGGGTATTTCTCTGTAAGCGCCAGCTCAGAGGATGGCGGGACTGGTAGCATCATGGCGGATGAGGACTGATCAACAGAACTGGCCGTAGTTTTCTTAGCTGCAGTGAAAAGTGAGGAGGACTAGTACTGAGAGAAGCCATGTTAAGGTTTGGTAGAAGGCAGCCTGATAGTGATGTCAGTAGACGAGCCTAGAGACAAGCATGCGTTGTTGGTAGAGAATGAAGGTTTGATGAGAGTTGAAAGATCTGAAAGTTGGAGTGAGATCGATGGAAGAACTCGAATTCTTTTTGTGGGTGAGTCACTGGCGAGGCTGACCCTAAGCCCTAGGCCATTGACGAGTTGCAGGCAGCTGCTGACTACTGTCCATAACAATCCCAAAACAAGCAGGAACGGATGTCAGAGTCACTTCTCACCAAACCCCATACTCTGGAGTAGGCTGTCTCGATCCGTCCCGTCCCGTAATATCTACTCTGTAAACTGCACGTGGTGACTACTATTATTTATTATTACGTACAATTAAGAATAATAAATAATAATCTACGAAGTACTCCGTAGGTAGATTTTTGTTTCGTTTTGTTTTGTTCCTCAAGTTTATGAAAGGAAGGTGGTAAGTTTAGTCCCTTGTAGTCCCTGCATATAATTACCCAGGCCCACTCGACCCCCGATGTCACCTCATGACGCGTCAGAGGCCCAAGCCAACGAAACCAACCCACCAAATGAGGAATGTGATGCCTAAATTACAGGCATGGTGCATCTGACAATGTTTAATGGTGACTGCAGTCCTTGCACAACTACAGTGGCTTCAGGAAGTTGTCAAAAATGGAAAATGGTGTTGAAACTTGAAACTTAAGAATATTCTAAGGTTCACAGGATGGCTAACTGGGCAGTACAATAAATAAGCACTAATGCAAGTTGCAGCTTTTTATTCTTATTTAAGTCTGTGTACACATGAATAGTCGTTAAAATGCAGCTGTGCCTAGCTCTGGCATATTGCTAACTTTGCACTCTGTACTCTCCTTGCTATTATGTGTACTGTACACAGAATCTTGATTCTTCTAGCCTTGGAGGCTTACTCAGACCCAGACTTCCTAAAAGATGAGACAATACTAAAAAAGCCACAGGAGTCAGGACCGTAAGATTTAAGAGCCTCTTCCGCAATATGTCCGAAACGGCGCTATTCCAACTTCCTGTCCTTGGCACGCTGCACCATTGACATGTGCCCAATCTACGTCTGCACTACAGTACACATCCGGCCCCATGACAAGTTGCATCACGGCATTCGGTATTTAGCAGAGGCTGCAGATGTGCGGGGTTAGTTACACCTTAACCACCCAGCAAGGTTGTATCGCTTGTCAGGGTGCATTGATTAGTGCCCTTTTCAATGAGCTTATTTAGAGATCTAACTTTGCTGGCAACTTAAAAGCATTTTAGCATTGATGAAGGCTCCACAACTGGGGTTGCCATGCCATTGCCATTGTATTGCCCGTGGGAAATGGATCTGAGTAAGCTGACACTGGACAGGGGCACGGGATGCCCAGCTGGGGGCCTTACCTGGCCTGGCTGTACGGCATATAAGATGGCGCCGATCCATCGTTCTGCTCTCCTTCCTTCAAGGAAGGCGTAGCAAATAGCAAAATGTTGCTCGCGCTGCAACTCGCTGGCCTGCTGGCCTTTGGATCCCCTGTGTGGGCTCGTCCCCGTGCGAGAGCTGTCACAAGCCCGCAGTCTTATGTCACCTCCTCCGATGGCGTCTACAACCTGAGCTCTTATACGGCCCCCGTTCAGGGTCCAGGGAATCCGAACGGTGCGTCGACATGGAAGCTCGCTGTCGACGACACCGACAGCGGGCACAAGCAACAAATTACCGGTTTTGGCGGTATGGTCTTCACCGATCCTTGTCGTGGACATATCACTAAATGCAAATAGCGGCCGTCACCGATGCCACTGTATCGGTGTTCTCGTCCCTGTCGTCCGGTCAGAAATCGGCCCTCATCGCTGAACTGTTCACCACCACTCCTGACGATGGGGTCGGTTTCAGCTTGATGCGCCACACCATCGGCGCCTCGGACCTGTCTGCATACGCCTACTCCTATGACAACGGCTCCAGTCCCGATCCTTCTCTGGCAGATTTCAGTCTGTACAGCCCTGGCCAGGACATGGTGAGTCTGATAGCCGACTTCGCGTCCGCAAACTCGGCCCTCAAGCTTCTCGGTTCGGTCTGGAGCCCGCCTGGGTGGATGAAACTGAACGGGGTGATGTACGGCACGACGGATAACAACAATCTCAACATGGACTACGCATCCTCGTACGCAAATTACTTTGTCAAGTACATCCAAGCCTTCGCCGCCGGAGGCGTCACCGTCGATGCGATCACAATCCAGAACGAGCCACTCAACAGCCAAGCTGGGTATCCTACCATGTACGTCTCAGCGGACCAGGAGACGCAGCTCATTCAGGACTACGTGGGACCAGCCTTGAAGAACGCCAATCTCGCGACGGAGATTTGGGCATATGACCATAACACAGGTGAGTGGGGAATCATCTCAGTCTTATGGGGACAGACCTAACGGGTGACAGATGTGCCGTCGTTCCCTCAGACGGTTCTCGATGGTGCTGGTGACTACGTCAACACAGTCGCCTGGCATTGCTATGCGACAAACAACAACTGGGATGTTCTGACGCAGTTCCACCAGTCCAATCCTGACGTGACCCAGTACATGACTGAATGCTGGACTTCGCCAACGAATTCGTGGGATAGCACGATCGACTTTGTTATGGGGTGAGTGATGTGTTGGAATTTGAACTTTCTTTATTTTCTTGCGATCTAACCCTTGTGCAGACCAATGCAGAACTGGGCCTCTGGATCCATGGCCTGGACTCTCGCAACCGACTTCAACTACGGCCCTCATCTCCCCGGAGGGTGCACGACCTGCCGGGGACTGGTGGAAATCGACACCAGCGCGGGGACCTATTCCAAGACGCTCGACTACTACCTCATGGGGCAGTTTTCGCGGTTCGTGCCGCGGGGCGCCATTGCGCTTAACACGACGGGCAGCTGGGACTACGGGAACGACCAGAAACTCGAGGCGATCGCGTTCTTGAACCCGGACAGCTCGCGGACGGTGGTGATCGAGAACACATTCGGCAATGAGGTCTATGTGACGGTCACATTCAACAGTGGGGAAACGTGGAGCGGACCGTTGTATCAGCAGTCGCTGACAACGTGGGTGTTGCCCCCTACGAGTGGATGATCGGCAGTTCAGGGACAGAGAGAGCTAGGTAATTAGCCGGGGGATATGGAGGGAAAGTCCGTCATTATTATTATTTTCTTACTGCATGGAATTAGCCTTAGGATCAGTTTCCTAATTGGTCAGGTACTCCGTACTGTAGGTACTGTACAGAGTAGTGATGCCCAATGGACAGATACACTATAACTTTTTACGGAATTAAATCTCGCTTTGCTTTTGACTAGCAAGCAACCCAAAGTTTGAGACTGTCAAGTTGACAGTGGAATTTGAAGCCTGAATGGTGGAAGGTTGGGGAAAGAAAGTCTACTAGTATCCATTAGTGTGACTCTAGTTAGAATGTGCGGGGATTGTTTACACCCCGCATAGCAATTCAATTTCATCGTTTCATCTAAGGCATCGCACTAGACAATAATAGATTCTGTTTCTTCTTGATTCTTTTTTTTTGTCATTTTTCACACTTCTGTTATGATTACTCCGTACGGAATATTTTGTCCATAAACTGGACTTCCCTTATCAGGTTTAGCAATCCTGTGATGTACTCCGTATTGTTTGGCGCAGTTCAATCGCTATCAAGACTCTGTGGATGCTACTACTGATCCATGAGAATGATTTGTCTATGCCAACATTTCTGTCTACAATAATGCCATACTGTCGACCTAGAGCTGAACAAATAAGCATGTTTGATTCTTTCACATCGCTCTTTCTTGATCAATGTAAGCCCTGGAATGTACATACATTATGTGATCACGTGAAGGGACAAGGATGGCCCTGGCTGTGGGGATTGTGCCCCGCTTAGCAACTTCATCGTTTCATCTTTAACGCAACTCCATGGCATTCAACTAGCCAACAGATCTTTCTCGTTTCACTATATACTTGTTATATACTGTTTCTGAGTTGCTCTCTCCTCGTCCATATACATATGAGGCCAACAACTGCAGACTCGTGTGCTGTACTGTACATGTATGTATGTCTGTATGTTCAGTTATGGCGCTGGACCCCTCCAGAAACTCACTTAGGAGAGAGCAGCCACCACATAGTTATAGTTGCATAGTCCCGTCGTCTGGGCCTGCACATCTTTTGTCCCAGTGGCCGAGATGATCGTCTTGTTGGAGCTGTCCACCACTTCGACGCGCTGTCCACCTCCCGCCTGCAATCCGGGCACCGACTGCCCGTTTAGGCCCGCATTGGCCGGGAACGACCCAATCTGCTTATTGTTGCTATACACGTTGATCGTGTAACCTGATGCGCCCTCCGGAAGGATGACGGCGAAGTTGATCGCGTCCTGCGCGTTCTGCCAGCCCGACGGTTTCCCCATGGGGTCGGGCGAGCAGTTCGCCGTCGTCAGGAGGGAGCGGTACCACATCACCCCAACAGCCTTGCCTCCTGCCGGCGTGATCTTAGAGATGTCGGTGACGTTCGATTTGTACGCGTTGATGAATGACGGCAGGACCTGCTGCCATCCCGTGTGGTCGAAACCGTTCGCGTAATTGCCAATGTCAGTGCCGGCGATCTGCTCCGGCCAGAAGTTGCCGACGTAGTGGCTCTCGCCCGCGTCGTTCCAGGTGATCAATTCCACAAAGTCAGGCTGCAGGGAAAGCACCTGCTCCATGCGGTCGAAATAGTTCAGTTCGCCGATGCGGTACCAGTTTTGACCATCTCCGCTCATGTGTTTGAACTGGAATGTGGAGAGGGCTGTTCATATACATTAGGGTTATTCACACGTCTAAAGACAGGACTAGAATATCGATGTTTAACTTACGCATCATGTACACTTTATTTGCTGCGCGAGCCTCCTGGAGAGCAGCCTGGTCTACCGAGTCGCTGACATTGACCTTGCCCGCGCTCACCTCTGGCCAGGCAGACTCCCAACCAAACACGCCGTCCGCGACAGTGAAAGTGTTGAAGAAGCCGTTGGGATAACCACTCCAGTTGTCAAAGTTCGGGACGAAGAACGGATTGATCCCCTTCGCCTGCAGGGGCTGCCGGAACTTGGAATTCCAGTCGTCGTTGCTGATGGTCCCTCCGGAGAAGGTGCTCACGAACGGCCGCCCGTCCTGCTGGAGATACGACTCGTTCGCGGCGTACTGCTCGATTAGCGGCAGGAGCTGCGACGGATGATTGAACTGCGTCATGTCGAAGGAGAAGAACAGCTTGAAGTTGCTGCCGGCGTTGTTGGCGGCGCTGAACAGGTACGAGATGGCCGACGTCGCCCAGTCGTCCATGCTGGGGACATTCAGCGCGAAAGCATCGAAGCCGGCGTTGATTGCGTCTTTGACGTCCGTCACGGCTTCGGTGGCTGTCATGGTGCCCACCTGGGGTGATGTCGTATTAACGATACGCACCAACTATATCCAAGTCAACCTCCGACATACCATATAGTGGGCGAAGACGGCCTTGGCTGCCGCATATGAGCTACACACAGGGAGAGACAGAATCAAGGAGCGTGGTAGGCGCATGTTTCCAAAGAAGGAAACTAAAGGAAAGGCGAAACAACGAAACAAGAAATGACTATTCTTTCCAGCCAAGTGTAAGGAGTGACAGTAGTTGTTCACGTCTGACGAGGGCTACAAGCAAGCAAAAAACAGTGAGACAGTCGGTTGAAGAGGGCTCCATATCGCCGCCAGGGAGATATTATCCCTTATAACCATCCCTCCAACACGTTCACCTGGTAGCCCCAATTTTTTTCCTCCCCGAACATTCCCACGCTACGATGTCTGGCATTCTGACTAACGTCGATCATTAACGCTTGTTGACTGGTTGAGGAATATGACAGGGAGGAGATGATCCACGGGTGGTTTGGGACTCATGTTGGTTCGGTCCATGAAGTTTAATCCTATGGGAGCTGAAATGAACCAACAACGCCAGATCGAGGCAGTTCGTCATACGGCCTTAATGTTATTGTCTCCACTCCTTTCAAAATGCAACCCATATCGGTATAATATCGGGCGAAGTGAGAGAGTAGCGAGATGAACGGCAGTTGGTGATCTACGCTTGCTTATTTCAAGATCCAACAGCAGCGAATCGAATCCCTGCGCGCCATGTCGACTGAGCAGGGTCACACATCGTGTCACGAGGAAGCCAATCGCAAATGAGTTCTGTAGCGATCGCGTGGTGGCTCTGAGGATAGTTCTACGGCTCAGGCAGATGCTTATTGACCCAGAAACCGCCGAAAATCACGCGGACCATAATCACTCCAGTATTATCATTGTACCAGGTTCAGGCGAGTGAACCAATCAGGATGCCAAGCTGGGAAATCATGGACGGTACGAAGGCCACTCCGTCCATCACGACCCATGGGTGCAGCATGGGCTTCCCCAGGTTTTCCAAGGTTGATCACCGCATAACAGCCGAGTCATAAGACCAATAAGGATGCGCACCTGCGGTGATTGCCAAAGTGACGGTTTAATGCCGGTGCCACCGTTTCCTCGCCGTCGGTGTTCCGCCAAGTCACACGCAAAGAAGTAAAATGTAACCCTCTGATAACGAAGAAAAAGCTAAGATTGTGTGACAGTCCTTGTCTTTATACTCAGTACTGTACTCCGTAGATGTCATGTCATGTCGGTTTATTATTCCCCCACATTTTTTGGTGTTGGTCGGCATCCCGATTTATTAAGTGGGTGGAGACGTGACTGGAATGCTACCCTGAGGAATCTGCCAGGTTTCAATCAGCAATAGCAGGCAGATCCCACGTGTTTCAGCCTGGATGAAAATTGTTGCCCTACTACTACTACTACTATTATTATTATTATTACCATCATCATCATCATCATCATCATCATCACACGCGTGAGGAAATATCTGTCCTTGCAGATCGTTCTAGGAAGTAAGATCGTAGGGAGGAGGAATACATATTGGCCTGGGTCTTCCTTGATGCTGCCCTTGTTGTCCCTTTCGTCATGCTCTTTTTCCTCCTCTCTCTCCTTCCTCTGTTCCTCCCTTGTTCGTTGTTGGGGCCAACACCCCTGTTGTTTGAAGATCTACGATCTGGTTATGCTGTCCGAAAAGGGTAATCCTGGCAGATAACCGCCAGAAAAACAAAAGAACTTGTGGTAGCGAGGTACGGGTTAAATAAAGGAGAAACGGACTCACACGTGATACCTCCAATGCCCTGAAGATAATATTAATCTCCTGATAATCTCCTTACGATGCCTCCTATCGACTCTGCTCCATGCGTTCCCTGCTGTTGGGTCGGCCCCACTGGGGACTTGCACAGGCCACTCGACGGGTGATCGTCTGCTCGATGTCATCCAAGGGCACAAGATGAGACCTCCTGCTCAACGTCGCGTCTTCGAGATCAATTGATCGCAGAGACACATCGCAGCGTCTCGACGAGAGATTGACAGGTCACCAGCGTTGACGCAAGAGCACCCCTTTTCTCCGATCATGGCCCAACAGCCGCAGGGCCGGGAGCTAGGAGCCAGCCCTAGGCCGCATCTGGTTGGCCGGCACTCAGATTGGGGAATGCACCAAGCCGACCACAGATCCAGTCGCTCCTCCACAGCTGCACAGCTCCGTGTTTACTGCTCTGCTCGCTCCACGCCGCCGATTTAATCATATCCCTTGTCTTCTTCTTGCCCAGTCTCACTTTCGTCACTCCTTACCTGGTTCATCCTGGCTTCTCCGCTGACGACTCGCCGCTGACGACCCTCTCGCTCTTTGTCCCGACCGCCTATCGCTGTCTCTACCGCCCTTTGTTTACCGCGTCCACCATCTCTCCCCGCCCTTTTCAGCCCTCCGATTCTCCCTTCCTCCTTCTCGAGCGACTGCTGCGACCATCTCCACATGCAGACATTCGTGCCCTTGCCTCCCTGCTGATCCTACGGTCGAAGCATAGTCCCAGGTGGAAATCGCTCTCGACCGATGCAGTCTCCTGAAATGACCGGCTCATGTACTTGGATGTGATGGCAAATAACTCGTGGAGCGCGAAAACCAAATTGGCAGCAGGGCCGGGAGCATCGCTCAAGATCACGCCGTCAAACTCCCCCGTACTGAGACCGGGCACGCGATCCCCCAGGACGTCCCCCCATCAAGCAACCCTCTCCCTTCAGACGGTGATCGGCACGACGACGGCGACGCCCAATGGCTTCTCTTCTCATGAACCAACCCGATCGTTTGCCCTTTGTGTCGGCTCCGCTGCCATCCTGGCCGAGATCGATGCCGACAGCACCGTCAGTCAGCGTTTCTTCCGGGCCCGTCCGACGGCGACGCCGGTCAATCCGGTGACTTCGTTCTACAACCAGCAGCCGGCTCCGACGACCCCGGATAACCGCAATAGATCTACTCCTGGCAGGCTGGGTGCCAGTGCGAGTTGCTATGGAAGCTCTCCGTCAGGCGACTGGGCCGATTCGACTGGTTCCAGGACATGGACGTCCAGAGAGAGAATAAAGGCAGTGACGAGCGTTGCAATCAGTCCGAATGGGCGATTCCTAGCTGTGGGAGAGGTGAGAATTTGGAAATAATTTATATACACGAAGAATTGCACTGGACTGACCTCACACAGACAGGATATAACCCCCGTGTCCTGATCTTCTCCACGGCGAAAGATGCCCCACGTGATGTTCCGCTGACCATTCTAACTGAGCATTCGTTTGGTGTCCGCGGTCTGGCGTTCAGCTCCAATTCGCAATATCTGGCCACGCTGGGCGACATTAATGATGCCTTCCTCTTCGTCTGGGCCATCAACCTCCGAACCGGAGCTGCTAAGCTCCACTCCACGAATAAGTGCACGTCTTTTGTCCGCGATATGTGCTGGATGGGCCAGACTCTGATCACGTACGACATCGCTCGTCCCGTGCCTTTTTTCGAATCTAAATACTGATTGACTGGTAGGGTCGGAATACGACATGTCAAAGTCTGGAGACTCGCCGATGCAGCATCAGGGTCTCCCACGAAACCGCGTCCCAATGGTGATGCCTTCTTGAACTCCCCAGGCGCAGCTCCCAAGGCACTTTCCGGGAGAAATTGTCTATTAGGCCCTCTTGGCGACCATACTTTCACCTGCGTCTCCAGCATCTCGGACTATGAAGCTATCATCTGCTCTGAGAGCGGTGCAGTCTGCTTCCTAGACGACACTGAGGGCGCCCAGAAGTTGACTTGCGTGAAGCGTCTCGAGTTCGGCGTCTACTCCATAGCTGTAGACTCTGAGACGGGCACGGTATGGCTAGGCGGTCGGGGCAGGAAAACATTGAAACTCCAAATTGAAGAGCTACGGGCAATGTTGACGTCTGTATCGCCATCTCTGAATGGCTCGAATGATACAGGAAGTCCTAAGGGGAGATTACCGGCCATCATATCTATGGGATTTCTCTCAACGCATATGGTGACGGTGGACTCGACACGAGCGATCCATGTCTCCCCTATCGATGCCTTAGGCAGCGACGACGACCAAAGTTTCATGGAGGCATTGATGCCCGCCCACCGGGACCCTGTTCTAGGGGTCGGACCGCTTAAAATGCCGAACGCCCACGATGCGGACTTTTTCACCTGGTCTTGTGAGGGAACTGTCAACTTTTGGAATCTGCAGGGCAAGTGCCAGGCGACGAGAAAAATTGAGCTCGAGCAGCTAGGGACCAGCGATGATGAGGTTTCTAATGAGCTTAAAGTCTTGCGCGCTATTGAGGAGATGGACTCGTTCGTATCTGGTGATCGATACGGTGTCCTGAAGGTGCTATCCGCGAACCCGTGGAAATGCGTCAACGAGGTGCGAGCTCATGGCGGTGAGGTGACTGATATTGCCGTCCTGTCGTGCCCCGGTCATTGTTTGGTTGTGAGTTGCGGTCGGGACCGGATGGTCCAACTTTTCAAGAAAACAGAGGAGGCGTTCGAGTTGATTCAGACGATGGATGATCACGTCGGCGCCGTGGGGCGTGTGCTCTTCATGAATGATGGGGAGCGATTACTGTCCTGTTCCGCTGATCGGACAGTGATCATACGGGACAGGGCGACGCGAGAGGCGGATGGATCGATCATTACCGCCTTCATACTGTCGAAGGTCATAACCTTGAAAGTGTCGCCGGTTTCGATGACATTGGCTCGTGATGACCCCGACACCCTGATTGTCTCCACGATCGATCGGCAAATACAGCGATTTGATGTGTCTTCGGGACGACATATCCACTCATTCAGAGCATCCGACCCAGAGACAAACGATGCGGTGGTGATGAGCTCGTTGATTGTAAGCAGTGAAATTCCGGGACACAGCCCGCGACTGCTTGTTGGAGTCTCAACCACCGATAAGTCGATCCGGGTCTATGACTTTGATAGAGACACGCTCCTCACCCGGGAATTTGGACATTCAGAAGGCGTCAGCGATGTGATGCTGTTGGAAAGCAGACCATCTGATTCCGCGGCGGGCACCAAGCGGACTTTGATCAGCACCGGTCTGGATGGTGTTGTGATGATTTGGGATCTGTCCGTCCAGCAGCAGCAGGTCCAGGAGCTTTCTCAGGCGAATATCCGCGAGGAGGATGAGACACCTGCGAAGGAGTTGACGGCAGCAAAGCCTCCGCTTCGCCGCATTCTCTCAAGGTCCGAGCTCGCGGGATTCCAGCGGCAGGACAACCCGGCAGCTACACCGACACCGGTGCGTGATCAGTCGCCGCCCCGAATACGAAGGAAGGGATCTCGGTTCTCGCTGGCTCCGCCGACGAACAAGAATGGAAACACGACAGGGGGGGATACACCAAGCCCTTTGCCTGCTAGCCGGCGCTCTCCAGCATCGGTCATCTCAGACGGCAGAGGAAGGTCTCCTTCGCCTCCGAGCCCAAAGGCTAAAGTGAACGGCCTCAGCAGGACTTCGAGCATCAGTAATCTGCATCGCCCGTCATTGGACTTCCGGTCACGAACGAAGAATACAAGCGAGTTCGGAAGCTTGAACATGTCAACCGAGCAGGTTTGCCGCACGTTGCGGGCGTACCGGAAGAAACTCAACGGGTCTACCGAGTATCCACGTTGTGCAAAGGAGTTGCAGCGCGAGCTTGATCTCACAATCCACGCTTTGGGTGAACGGGCAAAGAGGCATCAAGCGAATGCGGACACGGAAAACGATAGCAGCGGCAAGGAGAATGAGAAGAAGCCCGAACCGACTCCCAGCAAGCCACCAAGGATTGCTAGAAGAGTTCCGTCCACTCCGGTGTTAGGCCAGAAGGGATCCAGAAGGATATCGAGGAGTCGTTCTCTAGACGCAGACGGGGAGGGGTGATCATCTATCATCTCCGGCACTCTTTTCATCATTACGACTGAATTTTTTGAATTTGGGTTGACGGTTGGCTGGAGCAGGGATGGCTTCGGAGTAACGTTCTTATATTCACTCTTTTTTTTCTCCTTTCATTTCTTCCATGTTTTCTCTACAGTGACAGGGCGTGGGATAGGCCCGGTGGACTTGATTGCATTGTGCTGGATCACGTTGGGTTAGGGTTTTCGTCTTGATGCGATTTCGTGGTTGATTGCTTTGTGTACTGGCGTTGCAAAAGTTCCAAGGTCAAGCGTGTCACTGTCGGCCTGGTTTTGTTTTTTCGTTTCGGCTCTTGGGGTTTTAGGAGCCTTGGCGATTCTTTTTTTTTTACTTAATACCGATCATTTTTATGTCCCTTTCTTTCGTTTCCTTTCATTCTATTTCTCTTTGCTTGCTTGCGGAAGAGGGTTGCCTTTTTATTTATTTTTAATTCTTTTTTTTCTTCTTTCGCGGGTTTTTCATGTTTGACGCTTCACCACTTTTTTTTACCACTTTTTTTTCTTTTACCCTCTTCGTCTTCTTATTAACTTTGTTCTTCTATTCTTACTAGATAGACCTTTTTTTTTCTTACTTAGTTAGAAGATACCCGCGTTTACGGACCTTGAGCATGATTGATTGATTGATTGAGATGAGAAAGAAATCCTTGCTCGAGTCAGTCCCAGCACAGCAAGCGAGCGAGCGAACCCTCTGCCTCTACCTCTCTCTCCTTTCTGGAAAGAAACTGGAAGAGAGAGAGAAAGGGAGGGAGGGATATCCATACGCACTTGCTCGCTCGATCGAATGTCATTGAATGTTGTCATTTTTCCATCTTCTTTTTTTCCCCCATCTTGTAAACGTTTCTTTCTTGTTTTCGTATCCATCTGCCTTTGAAGAAGATTCGTAGTTTATTTGTCTAGACTCTAGACACTCCGGTTTTTTATTATTCTGATATTGAAGGTGGGTACAGGTACCTATGTATGTATGTACATACTTACAGTAACCTAGCTAGTCACCTATGTATCTAGGTAGCTAGCTAGGTAAGTAGGCAGGTAGGGAATTCCATTCTAAGTAGTTGATTGATTAATCAGCTTTCTTGATTGAACAGTTGAATTGAACTTGCTCGATACAATCTCCCAGCCTTCTTTTTTTTTTGTTTCTTTTGTAACTCTTATTTAAGGTTTAATTAATATTAATTAAAGGCCATTCTCACAATCTGTTTCCATTACAAAATAGAGAAAAAAGATGAACAGGAGATGAATAATCAACCACCAAATTCCGTTATCATCATCATGACCATGACCATGACCATGATTAAACAATCAGAATAGACAGCATAGACAGCATACTATGATATACTATGTCTATGTTTGTTGTTGCAACAACTCGTCAAATCTCCCCCGCAGCTCATCCACCAGTTTCCCCTTGTCCTTGTCGTCGTCCTCGCCGCGAATGAGTTCTGCCAACTCGATGGCTTTGCGTGCCCAGCGTCGTGCAGTATCCGCGTTCCCCTCGGATCTGGACTGCAGGGAGAGATGGTAGAGATCCACGGCGTGGTTGAAGGCTTCTGTGCTGAGGTATTCGAGTTCTTCACGGGGATAATAATAATCATAGCGATCATGCTCGTCGGCAGGGTTGTTGCTGTTGTTGCTGTTGTTTGCCCCGTGTCTTGTGCTTGTATTCATATTCATATTATTCATATTCATATCCATGGCCATATCCCGAGCAAGGATATACGCTTGATCGAGGATTAGCTCCGCTACGGCCGTGCTAATACAATTAGAAGAGATGCTGCTGCTGCTGCCGCCACTGCACGTTTTTGTTTTCTGTTTCCCGCTCAATGCGAGTTCGAATAGGCAGCGGAAGTATCGTGGGAGCAGGTGTCGTCGTCGCTGCCGTCGTTCAGAGTTGGATGAATCGCCAGATGGGATTTGGATTTGAGGCTGCGACGTGCGGATTGCATGGAGGATTTGCTGTTAATTATTATGAACAACATTAATATACTGTAACGGACGTTTTCCGGTTTGTTATATGCAGCTTATCTGATAACATACCTCGAGAATCCTTATTACCCTCTCAACAGGCGCTCGCGCTTCTTCTGCACACAGCATCATGTCCGCAAATACCGCGTATAAATGATGAAGGTCGTCGTCTGCGATCGAGCGCGCTTCTTCAACCAGCGAGCTGAGATCGTTCCATTGTTTCAGCTGGATGGCTGCCTCGAAGTCGAGTGATAGTATTGCTTGGTAGCGCTTTGTCCAGATTGAATGAGCGGTTTTGTCACTGCCGTCACTGTCGTCGTCGTTGTCGTCGTCGTCGACAATTCGATTTCGATCTAGCTGCTTCAGTTGCAGTTGGATGAGATTGCGGAAACTATGTGCGTGAGCTCGCACGGTTAGGTATTCTCTTTCCTGTAGAGTAGCCAGTTAGTGATCTCTCTGCGGGGTACAGTACAGTGCAGTGCAGTACAGCACAGGGCAAAATAGAAAGTTGTAGCGAGACTTCAGCAGTTAGCATATGGTAAACGGGGAAGCTGACTCTGATAGAGACATCACTTTGAAGCCGTGCACGCTTTGTGATCATTGTCGCTGCGAGCAAGTCACATAAAATACGTCTCTGACGAAGGTCGGCTTGCACGGCTGAGCCAAGGTCGTTTGGATAGTGATCTAGTAGCTGTTCAGCAGTCAGCCGATGGTACTGTATAAATTTATTCTTTTTTTTTTTTGAGAGAGATTATTGGAGCATGGGTTATTGATATATATATATTTATAATTACCTTGATAGACACGTCCAGCAGACGTAGGATCAATTCTGGTGACCATAGTTTGCACATCTCCAGGGCTAACCTGTAGCTGTTGCTTGAAAACCACTCAAGTTCGACAAGTGAGAAACCATTACTGTTCCATGAGATATTGTGCTTGTCTGCTTCAAGTACTGCTGCGCTAGGTTAGCGTTAGTTCTTTGTAAGATCGAAAAGAGGCTTACAACGCTCGAAAATCGTGCACACTCGTTCTCTAAGTGCTGGATCATTGACTGGATTCTCTCTCATCTCGAGTACTATAAGTCGAGCAGTGCAGCTGAACAGGTTAGTAAATCGATGAGACCAACAACGTCAGCGATCTCATACCGCAACAAGGCAGGCAAGCTGATCTTGGTATTTTGACTGTCCAGACGGTCTTGCTTTTTCAGAACTTGGTCTAACGCCATAATCGCCTGTTTTCTGTTCCCTGAACACTGCGCTTCGGATATGCACGCGAGAAGATACGCCATGCCTCCTTCCGCGTCTAGTTTGGAAAGGGAATCGAGGCATGTCGTCCCTAGTTCGCGGTCAGAGACAACAACTTGAGAATGTGGATTCTTCAGTCCTACCTGAGTCGATATCTTCATCCTTCAAGGATAGCTTGTACATCAGGTACGTAGTCGAAGGGTCAGATCGGCCTTCTTCCGGCAGTTGGTAAAAGCAGTATTTCACCAGATAACTGTCCGACGTTTCCAGCGCACAGAGTGCCATTTTCCTATTTGTGAAAATCGTGAGCTGATGGCTGAATTTGAAGTCAGTGTGTCTAACCTTAAGATCTTGGACCGGTTCGCAAGCTTCGCCTGCTGGAAGATCACATGCTGACCAAAACGGCACCATTCTTGGGCCGTTGAGAAGTTTCTCTGCAAAAACTCGGATTCGATCTTCTTCCAGAGGATCTGTTGCCCATTGTTAGTTTCCATCGAGAAGAGGATTGGTGTTTTCTGACAATCAAAGACGCATCCGCAGCCGTGGCGCTCAAGGACAATCGCGAGGCGTCGCTCAACTTGGTTGCTGTATCGTTGAGGAATTCCAAACAATCCTGAGTATCCAGCGATGCCGCAGTAACTAATCTGATTACAGCAACAAAGCTTCTTTCAATCCATGGCATATTATCATAGACTGCATGCTTCTCCAGAAACAGTTCTCTTAGAGCCTCGAGGGATAGTTGAGGACTATCTGGTCAGTTACTGTCTTTCTAGGGAAAATGCTCAGGTTATACCTCCAGTTAAAAAGTTTTTGAATGTAATACAAAGCTCTAGATAAAACTTAGCAGCAGTAGTCTCTCAACGACGGAAGGCACATTACCTTCGAAAGTTCGGCTCTGTAGGCTCCATGATTTGGATAAGAGTTTCCAGGGCTTCAGCGCAATGGATAAGTTACAATGCCGTTGTATATTGACGGAACGCACTCACCCTCATAGAAGCCTTGATGATTTGGTTGGCCTTGCTTTAACATGGCTTCGAGCTGTAATACCAGGATCGGGAATTCCTTTGGATAACGCTTGACACATGAGAGGTCCATCTCCAGTGAATAGGTTAACTAACTCTACCTTCTGTATTATTTTCATTGTTTCCATTGCTTGACTCTGGAAGGCCTCTGTATTCCTCCCAAGATCTGCCATGACTTCATTTTCTAAGTCTGAACAACCTGGCGATCCAGGATATGACTTACCAAGAGTCTGAAGAACGGCCAGATGAATGCGTCGGAAATCGAAATCAGACTTGCGTGTGTCTAGAATTTTGAGCATTTTTGACGCCCTTTGCAACCATTCTATCGCCAACTCTGTCTTATTGCTCTGAAGCGCCCATTTTGCGATGTTGTTACACAGATCGGCGACCTCTTCTGCCATATAAAGGTCATTCTCAATAGCAGATTCAGGAATCTTAGACAACATGTGCTCAGCAAGATGGGGTTTCTCCTGACGCGATGACTAGGTATACGTTAGCCCCGGTCCTCTTGAAATGCTGTAATGGACTTATTACGAGGAAAGCGCGAATCAGGTAGTATCTCGCGAAAAGAGCTTGGGTGCTCCTGAAATCGTCATTGTTATCGTTATGGCATGTCTCGAGTATCTCTATCCGTGCAGCTGCCCTTTCGAGGATCTTCGAGCCCAGATGTAGCTGTTTGCTCTCTATCGCCAGAAATGAGCCTGGATCAGACATTGGGATATGGACCTCAAACCAATACAGAATTTTGCGCATTTTAGTGCCACCTGAAGAGCTCTTGTATTATCTGCAGAGGCCAATAATTAGTTCCAGCCGTAACCTTGACAAATGGGTACCTGCTTATGTTTTCATTTGCTCCTCTTAACACACAGCTGTCCAGCATCAGAAACGAAAGAGCCTGCACTGCGACACTACTTATTATCCCATGCAATTTACGCGGATATAGCCCTGAGATACCTTGAGTAAGCAAATTCAGGTGACCTCCTTCACCTCCTCTTTCATCAAATATGCGTGCCAGCCGAGTGCAGGAATTCCATAGAGCTGTACCGGACAGATCAAGCAAATGACGAGAGCGAGCAGAAAGTAACGAAGGTATCAAGGGAAGACAATTAAGATATTGTTGAAGTGAATCGGTAACGTCATTGTCCAAAGCCAGCGAGGCAAAGGACGGGATATCTGCGATCTGGACTTGCACATCCGCGACAAATGCTATTTCGCGAGAAGTCAGAAATTCAACAAGTCAGCAAATATTTACAGAAATCGTGGCACTTCAGGAAACTGTTGTTTCTTCTGAATGGTCTTGACATGGCAGAGCCTACCACAAACAGATGCAGCTTTCTCATCGGAATCTCTATTTGATGAACATGCCATGGTAACTTGTAGATACCGTTCTGCGATAACAAGCAAGACAACGAAGCCCTTAGGGCTTTAGGGAGGGTTTTGCGTCGTGTTTACCAGAAGCCAGAGTGATGTAGTTTCCTGGCTACGTCTTTCCACGACGGGTAAGTTCTGCGCGATGCGCTCACCTGACACGGCTACTCTCAGAAGGCCTTCCCGGAATACATTTATGATGTCAAACAGATTGGGGCACAAAAGAAAAACCTAGGTTATCTAGTGAACCCCTAATCTGACTGATATCTGCCGGTTGACATATGAAAATTAGACCGTGGAGGAACCTTGACACATAAATCTAAAGAGAAGGAGGAAACCCTGGTAGAAAGACAATCGAGAATCTCCGTTGGCCAATGGCATTGAGACTAGATATACGCCAGTAACGCCATGAATAGTCCTACAAGAATAATCAATATATACGATACAATATACATTTCGTAATTCACTGCTTTAGTCTTCGTAGGCATGCTGCATCATCGTTTCCTCCCTTGTGTTGGTAAAAAGTTCCCAACAATAAGTGCCGGTCTGGAGAATTTGTTAGCAAATATTATTACATACAGTGGAAATTATGACGCCTTACATGTTGTATGGGTCGCGACGGATTGTAAATGAAAAGCAACACGGTATGCCCTGCCCGGAGTTATCGGAATTCGGACTCTTCAGGGTGCAGCTTGTGAGCATGGCTTTTTGAGAGCTATCAAAAGCAATGGCCCCAAACTTTTCCCAGTAGCTAACGAGTTGATCCTCTGTAATAATTTCGTGCAGGGCAAGCTTTCCCTAGAATAAAAACAGTTAATAATGGCTTCATCAACTTCACCCGATTCCGAATGGACTCACGTCTCGTAGCATTTCAATAGGCACATTAATGAGCTCTGCCATCTCTTTGTTTCCCCGGAATATTTCGCCAGTTCGTCTCCAGCAGCAGGCAGGGATAGCCATACTGGCAAAAACTCGGTCGTACTCCATGAGGCTCCGTTCAAACCACATTTCGACGTAGATCAGCTCGATATCCGTGAGGCTTTGCATGCGTTCGCGGAATTTCGGCCGGAATTTATCGAGCTGACGAAGAATTTTCTGTCGTAATGCCGGTTGCATGTGCTTTTCCATGTATTGGTTCAACCTTGCGTAGCCCTTCACATAGTTGAATGGTTTCAACATTCCTGCATCGTACTTTGCCTTGAGTAGCTTGTTCATCCGCTCTTCCGGAGGGTCCATCCCCGACGGATCGGCAGCAGTCATATAGTAAGTCTCTTTGGCTTTATCGTTTGCCACGGCAGAGCTGGGGCGCTGAATCGAGTTCCCCTGAGCATTCTGATTTTGCGTTTGTGGCGCCGGCTGTGTCTGCTGTTGCTGTGGAAAGACTAAGTTATTTCCATTCAAGTTTGTCGTCATTGAATTTATTAGAGATGAATCTGAGGAGAGTCCCTGCAGATCATCCCCTTGATACATGGAGTTATCATCTAACAGGCTATTGCTGAGGAAGTCGCCGAGCAGATTATACTCATTCGTCACTTCTGGCGCGTTGAACATGTAGGAAGGATGGAAGGCATGCATGTCTTGGAATTGACTCTGCCCGCTGAGCTGCCAGTCATTGTAGGCGAAGACTGTTTCCCTAGTTAGAAGATTGGATCATCACACATAGCGATTTCACATCTCACGTGGCTGAGGGTTGGCTTCTAAGTTCTGGGTTGTTGCACCAGATATATTCCCCGGCTGCACAGCTTGCGGCGGGTTCACGGTTGATGGCCGAAGACTCAGAGCTCCCTCAGCGAGCATTTGCTTACCAGCAGCGTCTGATACTGGCATACCTTGCGAGTTCGTGAAATCATTGTTCGACGTGCTCTCTTCCTCGTGATCGTTTCGATTCCGCTTCGAAGATTCTCGGGGCTCATCATGACAGAGATGGCCTATGTTGCGCTTTATGCATCGCGTGCACGGCCGCTCCTGTACATCCACATCTGCATCAGATGTGGCTGCTCCATTTGTCCGACGGGGGGCGAATAGGAAAGATCATACCGAATCACAAGTCATATGCTGTCCAACCACAGTACATTGTCAGCTCAGGAAAATAAAAATTTCTGGATAATGCGAGTAGGTAATTGCGCCAACGAGATGCGCTGAGGAAACCTGCAAAGACGGTGTTACTCACCGAACGTCGGCAATAGACACATGCTGTTGATAACGAACAATCAGATCAGCGACACTTCATCCAGAACCTCAGTGAGGCAGAATTTGTGCGTTTTTACTTACCATGATTGACTTTGCGACGCTTCTTTGGGCTCGCGTGCGTCTGCGCAGCAGCCGCCTCCGTCTTCGTGGTTGGCGAGGACTGCTCTCCGCTCTTTGCGTTCGAATCCTTTGACGATGATTCATTCTCAGAAGCGTTTGACTTTGCCGGTTCGGTTGATGCATTGGTCTTGTCCTCTGCTGCTGGCGCTTTCGCCAGCGTCGCGCTTGCCTCGGTCATCGGTGGCTCGAGCTATCCCGGCCAAATGCGGGGAAGGACGCTTTGTTGGAAGGCGCTGTTCCACAATTCTGCGGCTTTGATGGGCATGAAATGATACTGATATCAGGTACCAACGCAGTAGATCGAACAGGAGGAGAAGCAGTGAAGACGCTAAATCGAGGCAGGCGTTTAAACTTGCGGAGTTCTGTCGCCGCAGTGGGACATGATCCTCTCGTCACGCCGATTCCCCTCCGCAAATCGAGGTGCTTGGCCAAGCTCCTCTTTCCGGGGCATCCAATCAGGATTAATTATAATGCCTTAGTAAGCATACTATTATCTAACCTCGCATTAGCAAGACACGTGCCAATTGGCAAATGGAGTCGTATGGGCAATGATATATTCTAGAAGGGTAAAGGAGGCATACGTTGGCAATGGATATGGCCATAAATCTGGGTAGGAAGCCCGCCCGGGAAGGAGATGTGTGTGTATATATGTGTTGGGAAATTTTGGCTCACAGACCTACTTCGTACAGTTTTTATCTCCTTTCCAGGTGGGCTTCCTACTCGTATTTCTCATCGTATTGATTACAAAAAACGGCGTAGAAGGTCAATTGTGCTGACCTTATGGCCTAGGGACTCTTATTTTTCTTTTAATAATGATAAGGTGAGGAGTATGGATATGTACGACAAGATCTTGCGTTTATCTTAAGACACCCATTCTTGTATTGCTTAACTACCTATTTAGTTATCAGAATGCGTATGAAGAAAACATCACAAGATTATCCTTTCATTAATTATGTAGCTGATCTGAGAAGTTCTGTACTAGTACTACAGGGGTATATCATCTAAAGAAGTAATACACAATAAGTGATCATGTCCCTTGAGCTATACTCATTCCGCAGGCATGGATACCAGATCCAAAGCCACCTGGGCTTGTATGATTGCGTCCTTTAGTCCAACAAATGGAGTGACGTTGTTCTGCATCGACTGGAGGTGCCCGTTCAGTTGCGTTACCAATGATAGAAGCTCCGGGTCAGGTTTAACCTGTTTAGGCTATTAGCAAACACACATAAGGGAAGGGCTAATTCCTGCCATACATCACAAAGTGCCGTGTCACCATCCTGGCCGTCTATAACTGAAAAAGGGGCGGACGATCCTGCTTGATGTTGTGGTAAACTGTCGATATGCCGGAGGACAGGATGTTCCTAGTGAATGAAACATGCATTAGCGAGGTTATGGCGCAAGAGAGCAGACAGGATACGGGTTTTAGACGACGTACATTTTTCATCTGCCTCTTCCGTTCTGCCTCCGCCCTTTTCGCATTCTTCTCCATTTCTTCCAGTTGTTTCGTCTCCTTTGCTAGCAATGCCTCCTCCTTCGCGATTTCCATTTTCAAGAGGTCAATGCCGTTTGTCGTTGTGGATAATTGTGCCTCTAAGGACCGCTGGATGATGAATTTATTATCAGTGAAGCCCGCTTAGAATTGTCTGGGCACAGCCAACATACATGCTCGTGAAGTAAGGATTCGTAGTCGAAATTGGTATCCTTTGTAACAGGGGGAAATGGCATTCGAGGCAGCCGTCGCCCAAGACTAAAAAAGATCGCGAAGAAATCAGCTTCAAATTCGCCATGTAGACAGTAAAAGCAACCCAATATCATCCTCTCCATTTGCAGGATAGTATGCGCCATTGGAACGTACTTTTTCACGACTGCAGCGACTGCTGTCTGGGCCTCAATTCGTTTGCGCTCATCGCGATGTCGCACGATGACGGGGCGCTCTAGTGATCGGAACATCTCGCGGACCTTCTCCTGGACTGGCTCCGGAAGAGTGGTCCATTTAGACTTGATCGTACGCTGCGAAATGTGACGGACACGAGGTTTGAGGTATGCAAATCGCTTGTTCTGCGCTGTCGCCCCGTCATCATCATCTGATCGCTTTCTTTTCGGAGCCATTGTTATTGTCGACGCGCGAGCTGCAGGGGACGGTCGAATGGGCGGGCAATAAACGACGGCAGAGGCTGATTCAACGATGAATAATGATTCTAGAATCTGGCAGCTCAGGTTCAGATGGAGGCAATGATAAATGACTTGGTGTGTGACTTAGGACGCGTCTGCTGCAGCGTTGCACAAAGCACCTTCACATGTCAGCCAAGGCGAGGTGCCTACTACGGAGTAGCTCCCGCCAACCGTCCTCCCCGCTGTGGGCCATCGTGTCAGCAGCCATTTTAGACCCATTATTTACTGACACAACTGCCACTGAGTGGCGCTGTATTTTAATAATTATTACTGGCGTACGGGGAACTAAATGATAACAGTCTCTATAGAGGTTATAACAACACTTTGCAGTTTAGCAAAGACAACACCTTACTTTCTATCCACAATAACTGTATTCCCATGACTTGATACAGGCACGTAAGGAGAGACGTTCTCTGACAACCCATTCCGCCTCTAACAATACAGAGAGAATAGAAAGAGCAAGACGTCCGTAACCTGCCGACTGAGATATGTGGCTGCGTCAGGTATTTTCCTTATTGGGATCAGGCCCGATGCTCGCTCGAGGCGAATGCGTTCTCGATCTTCAAACTCGAACTGAGTAAAGAATTTGAGATCGGTCGGATAAAAAAGTCCAACCCGGATCCTGATTGTAGTCGAAATTCGTATGGCAGAGACCACAAAGCGCTATGGCGTTACGGGGGGCCAGTAAGCTCGACATCTATGAAGTCACGGGCAAACAGAACTGAGATCTATAGAAAGTGAGTTGATTGGCATAATTCTTTCCATGTAGGTGGCAGAGATATACCGCAGGATCAGACTTCGCCAAGATATGCACTGCGTATGGTGGCATGCCTCCACAAAGCCAGCAGCAGTCTCCTGTGAGTCTCCTGGCTTCCAGCTTTGTGCTGGTGGGAAAGCATCAGAAACGTTCTGTCAACCAAATTGGGGCACAAAGGGGGGAAAAAAAAACCCTAGGTTATCTAGTGAACCCCTAGTGTGAATGATAGCTTGCCCAGGTTGACACGTTGTCTTCACTAGATGCCCCCATCCCTTCTTTTCTCCTGGGCTTTTGACTAGGAGTAGAGCGTCTAGACCTGTTGTCTGCTTGGTTGGCCATGATTGCATTTATCATTTGATTGCTAAACAATGCAGATAAATGAGGATGGTTAATGGTTATCATACAAGAACACGATCTGGATTGATTACCAGCGATTCTGGTTTTAACTTCAGTGACCAAATAGGAACCTTGGAAGTCTTCAAGGTTGATGGTTACAATGAGGGGAAGAGAAGGGCAAGAGAAGGGCAAGTTCAACTTGAAAAGTACTTTTCAGGCAACTGCCGACCTACAGCTGGGAGACAAGTCACGCCTGCCTACCTAGGTAGACAGGTTTTTTCCACCCACCAATATCTCGCTCCAGCATTAAACCCTTTTTGGGGAGCAGCACCTGCCTGATAAGTGGTGTCCGCATCATGATGACAATTTTGAAAATAAACCTTGATGTATCCAAATGGAAAAAATCATGAAAACCCATTGGAGAACAAGATCTCATATTATCATTAAAAATATTTCACTCGTAAAAGTTATAGACTTATACATCCATGCCCTGTGATATTTTCCTATGTATCCAAAACAGGAACCTCCAAGCTCGGTTTTAATAATCCTGTACAAGCGGCACCGCCTAATGCATTATGTACCGTATTCAAAGAAAATCCCTGGCATCCGATACCAATGTGCCAGGGTATTTCAACTCGAGAATGACAGAATAGAAATGCTGGTCCTCTGGCTTCAAATCTGAGTACCCGCCCCAGAGCAGCTGGACTGGCATGATGGAACAGTACATAGTAGTGCAGAGAGAGTAAGAAGAGAGATCAGGAAGGTGCTGAAAGGCGGTGAAGTCACAGGTCATCTCGGCATTATAAAGCCATTCATTGCTTTCAACTCCGCAAGTTGAGTCTTCAGCAGCTCGTTCCCCCGCAAGATATCCTCAAGCCAGTTTGCAGCTTGGGCGAGCATGGCGCTCTTACTGAATCCACCGCCTCGTAGTTCAGGAACAAGTGAACAGAGTTCATCAAAGCCCTGTTTGATGAGATTTCGTCGCTTCTGTTCTGATAAAATATGATTTGTACGTTTCTGCTCTTCTGTCAAATTCTCTCGTGCAGGTTTGTTGCCCTGTTGCAGTTTCGGCTTTCGCGAGGAATTTTCACCGGATGCTCGTCTGGCTTTGTTGCTGCCGGAACTCTTCGGTCTTTTGGACTTTGAGAGAGTACCATTCTCATCAGAATCATCAGCCTCCTTGGTTTTAGTCTTTAACCGCTTCTTCGGCGGCATACTGTTGTCGTGGTTGTCGGGGTCCCCATTTTGGAGGGCATGAGGCAGATGCGCCCCATTCAGACCGGTCCAATCTCTATGAGAACTTTCGAACATCCTCACCGGCGTTGGGGCTCTTGTGTTGTTTGTGCTGGTTTGCGGCTCGAGACACTCCAACTTATTCAACAGGTCTTTGGTGCGTTCCTCCTCGTTCGGCACATCTGGAGGGGCCATGTAGCCCTGGTCAACAAAACTAGCATCCGATCCCCAGCGGAGAGTTCTGAATTTTGCGCTCGCCTGCGGATCTAGCGGTGCAGGTTCCTGCACATTGAAGACTTCTGTATGCTGGCCTCGTAAGAGGCGTTTCCGAGAACTTCGAGGGCTGGAGTCTGCCGGCGTATGATGATCATCTGACCTCTCTTGCTTGACGAAACCTGATGCACCGGAGAAAGCCCCATTCATTCCAGGTAAGGCATTGTCAGAGAAGAAATGATGCGTGGACGTTGATCCGAAATTAGATGTATTCATTCCGTTCTGATAGAGCATTGAAGCTGCAGCTAGTATATCCGAGCTTGTGCTCATGCCGTTATTCGTCGAATCACCTCCTCCTTTCGACGCACTGTAAGGTAGAAGGGATGGCTGGGATAGTGATGTTGTTGAGCCTTCGAATATCTGGGGAAGCTCATCTGGCCACTCGAGCCCAAGGGCTCCTGTCCCCTTGTCTTGGGTCTGGTCACCAAACCAAGCGTCACTCGCATCAAGATGGCTCGAATTAAGTGTGGTGAAGAAGTTATCAAGCATGTTAGACTCGCTATCGTCGAGGAGAGCAGGTCCCGGTGGAGGGGCAGGGCCGACATCGTATGGCGTGTCTTGTGGTGAGAAAAACGAATCTGCATATCAAGAATCAGCTGCGGAGTTGATAAATAAATTCAAGATGATGCGATCAGCACGCACATCCAAAAGGACCCGTTTGTTGGCTAGAAGCTCCCGTGCGCCCATTACGGGCTTCAGATCCAGTTGCGTTCATGACAGGGAGTATGCCCAAGCCTAATTTCAGCAGTAATACCTGCTATTCTCTGTCTTCGCGGCGGGCTTCGGCCAGGTAAGAATCAACATGCCTTCCCGAAGGAAAAGCAATGCTGAGGATGTTCACAGTCAAAACGAATGCAACAGAGGGCGGCAGACTGAAGTACACGAATTGATCGCGTATATACAGGTGATGCGCAGGGAGGATACAAGGTAGTTTTGTGTCTCTTCGCAATCAGACGACGCTGCGGCGAGGAAAGCGGGGTGCGATATGGGGAAGACAGCGCGCGCCCACTGAGGTGTGAGATAAGCGCTCGAAAAGGGTCGATTTCCCAGTAGCGCAAAGCATCGACAAAGAAATAAGAACCAGGTATAGATCTTGAAACGGAGATTGTGGAGTTGGCCGATATGTGGAGAGCTAAGGCCGGCGGTATCGAGAGTGCCGGAGGGAGTCGAGTGACAATCACATGCAAACTTCTGCCGCCGCAGAGCAGCACGGAGGTCGCGTGACGTAACCCCAATACCAATCTTACACGGGGCCTGCGCTGCGCCAATGCGGGAGAGCGCTTTGTCCTCGCGTTATGTTACATTACCGGACGCCCTTCCTCTCTCTCGCACGCACGAGGCCGGCATGCAGGCAGGTACTCCGTACTCCGTACTCCATAGTCCATACCCACATTCTCGAACGAGACCCTGCTGAATCGTGATCCAAGCCCATCAGATTTCAGTCGCACACCTCCTTGCGCAGTGTGCCCTCTCAACCCTGTCGTCGACGGCAGTAAACAATTCCGTACCTCCCTCCAACTCGGATCGTCGTTTCTGCCGCGTACCCCTGATCCAGGCTAGCAGACGGGGAGAACCGAGGCTGAATTTGCAGTCTCTGTTTATTACACTACTACGGAGTACGGAGTACTGAATCCATCGCCCCGGTCTTGTCCGAACGGTACGTTTTTGAAGCGGAATCATAGCCTTAGATCAGCAAGCACATCTGGCACCTTGGCAATAGCGGCGCCTAGTCAGATCTCTTAGCCCCATTTAGCTGCTTTTTCACATGAATCTTGCAGACAGTCTATATTCATCCCTGCTTCCCTGATTCATACTCATATTCTGCAATTCATACATTTTCTACCGTATGTGACGTCTGTGATGTTCTGAGATATTGTGGAGCGCCATTGATCTTTGTTATTGATGTTGCGAATAGAGAGCCTTCCATGGACAGGTACCTAATTAACCCGCGCAGTCTTATTAGGGATAGCATAGCACTGAGCCCGGTATGCAGGACATAGCGTAAAGCGGCGCCATGGCACCTCACGCTGGAAAGATTACCAATGCTAGGATTATCAACCCGTATGCTCACACCTTGTGACACCAGCCTGATTGTCCAGATCTCGAATTACAACGTCATACTGATAGCTCTTGTGATTTTCTGTCCTTCCAGGGTCCTGCGTGCTTATGTACTTGGCTATTTGACTTCAACGACCCCGAGGTTGCTCTCTTGGTTGTCGCGTCTTCAGAGAAAGGATGTTGATAGCAAGCAAAAATTCAAGGAGGTATGGCCTCTAACTCACCATGGTCCCTTCACCGGCAAGAATAGCTGACTCGAATTTCTCACAGCTGGTTCGAGTCCTCCTGGGAGGCTGGGGTCTGAACAGATTCCCAACCTTCTGCGCTGCCTTGGTAGGTGGCGCCACGTGGCTGCCTCTATTGTGCTACCAAGTCTACTCGATATTTCGCCAATGGAGTTCGCAAGCGTCGTTGCGGCCATCCAGAGGCTTTGTGCGCCTCATTCGCTTCTTTTCTGCCTTTATTTCTGCGTGGATAGGATTCCAGCTACTTAACCGGAAGCGTGGTAGCCCTCGTGCTGATAGTACCACCGAGAATCATGATTCTCAAAGACAAGGAGAGGCGCTGCCCGCACATGACAGCGATCTGGAAAGATTGAAACATCATGAACTTGCTGGGAGAACCTTAGACCTGACCCTCTTTTCGTTCACCAGGGCGTTGGATGTGGTCGCTTGTATTGCATGGGATCGCTGGAAGAGCCGACGGAAATCCCGGAATCGGTGGACACGGGTGGAATCAATGGCTCCGCAACTTGCGGATGCTGGTCTTTTTGCTGGAAGCGCAGCAGTGGTGATGTGGGCATGGTTCTATCTGCCCGAGAGACTTCCGCGTTCCTATGCAAAATGGATTGGAGAGGCTGCTCAGGTCGACTCCAGATTGATCGAGGCCCTTCGTCGCGCCAGAAGAGGAGAATTCGTATACGGTAAAGATACCGGCCAAGCTCCATTGCTTGGATCAATGTGTGAGGACTACGGCTGGCCAATTGAATGGGGCGATCCCGCCACAACTATTCCGATTCCTTGTGAGATGGTACACATGGGATGCGGCCCGAGCTGTGAATGGCATGCAGCTTCTCGCTTTCTACGAACCTTCAAGTTTGCTTTGGCGACGTATCTCCCCCTACATCTCCTTCTGCGGTTGCGTTCCAGGCAGTCCCCAACTGCCTGCATTCGTGCTGTCAAAGATGCAATGCGATCTTCGTCATTCCTCGCTCTCTTTGTGAGCATTTTCTATTATTCTGTCTGCCTGGCGCGTACAAGATTAGGGCCAAGGCTCTTCGACGCGAAAACGGTGACGCCGATGATGTGGGACTCAGGCCTATGTGTCGGCGCAGGATGCCTAATGTGCGGCTGGAGTATATTGGCTGAGAGTGCCCACAGGAGACAAGAGATTGCTTTCTTCGTAGCACCTCGAGCTGCAGCAACTTTGTTACCTCGGCGGTATGATAAGAAGGTATGTGTTGCTCAGTCCGACCCTCGATGCAACTCTGTACCACTAGGGCTAGCAAACCAGAGTTCTAGCCCAAGCCTGCTTCACGTTCATTGTTTTCGAATGCCTGTCGAGGCATGCTGCGGGACCTGTATCACTAACACCTGTTTGCAGTATCAATGGCGGGAACAGTTTGCCTTTGCTCTTAGTGCAGCAATTGTCCTTACCTGTATTAAGGAACGACCGGAAATGGTTCGGGGCGTCTTTGGCAGAGTGCTTGCCAGCGTTATGGGGTAGGTTTATGAGACGCTTATTCATCCTTAGAATCTCTCAGGCACTTCGAAGCTTCCGGTGAGAAGGAGGGCCTCTATTTTGAGTAACATCAACCCCCAAAGGTGCGCGCAAGATTACTTGATGGACTACAACACGATATAGAATCTGATTGATGCATTTTTGGTTTGGGATGGATTTATTATAGAAGATGCCGTGCAGAGCTCATGTGGTGGGGAGCATACTTTGAATGATTATGTAGTTTACTTGGTGTATTATTAATGGTTTATTGGCCTTATAACTGCGAGTAATAGAAATACAAATTGAATATCAATTGCTTAACCATACCGATGCAGCTTAAGCCAAGAAAGAGCGCATTCCTTAGACATCATAATAGTTTCAAAGTGGCCGCATCATCCTATAGGAGATTGAAAAGGAGACAAAAAAGAACCCGGAACAAGCCAATTGGGCATTTTCTCACCTGAGTTCTTTGGCCTGCACATTCTTTGGCGTAACTAGCCACTATTTTCTATTACCTTTTTTGAGGGCGTGCAGTGTAGAAGCATTAACGGGAGTCCATCCCTTTTGCTATTTACAAAATCTCGAAGTTGATTTGCGGCAAGCGCCGGACGGGAGTAATCCACTTCCAAGGCCGCCAAGACACATCACGTGGTTGCGAGCCTGCCTCGAGCTCCCCGAACTTACGATCATGCTTCTCAGTGACAGTAATGGTGAGATTTTCAGACTGAATTTGGTCTCTTGAAATATGGTAGTTCGTCTGGCCCGGTCAACAGGGCGATGTCTCTCATGCTGGGACATTTACCATCTCCAGCGATTAACGGGTAATGCCCGCTCTCAAGGATTCCAGAGATGGTTTTCACAACAGCCGTCTTTGCGGCAGCAGATCCCGTCAACACCATATAGCAGCCCAGAGTCTGTCAAAAGAAACAAATCCACCCTGTAAGTATTTGATGATGGCTTTATTTTGTATCTAAAAGCGGAACCTTGTACCAATTGGTCCTAGATATTACACAATCAGTGTCATCGTGGGCACCGTTGCGCTTGCATATGGATCTGTCCCGTTCTACAAGATGGTTAGCACATACTGCTCCTGCCCAAGTATTTCTCCCATGAAGGACTCGACTGACTTGATTATATGGTATAGATTTGCCAGCAGACTGGCTGGGGCGGTCAACCTATTCAAACTCATCTCACTGGCGATGGTGATACAGCTTCACGTTTAAAACCTGTAACGGACGCTCGCCGCATTCGCGTTACCTTCAATGGCTCGGTATCAGACGTTTTGCCATGGAAGTTTACACCACAGCAGCGGGAAGTTCGCGTGCTTCCAGGCGAGACGGCGCTGGCATTCTATACCGCGACAAACAATGGACCAACAGATATCATCGGTGTTGCAACCTATAGCGTGACTCCGGCTCAAGTGGCACCATATTTCAGTAAAATACAATGCTTCTGTTTCGAGGAGCAGAAGCTGAATGCTGGCGAGTCTGTGGACATGCCGGTCTTCTTTTTCATCGATCCGGACTTCGTAAAGGACCCAAACATGAAGGGCATTGACACCATTACGTTGTCCTATACCTTCTTCAGTAAGCAAAATGACCCCGGATATTGTGTTTGATATAGATGCTGATAGGGACGATAACAGAAGCACGATATGACGATAACGGCGTCCTACGACCTACACCCTCTGGGTGAGGATGTTCCAACCCCTCAACAAATTCCCGAGCATAATCGGCGTCCCAGTTCATATCAAATATGTAATGTACTACTGTATGAAATGGACATCAAGCTAGACTTTTCTCCACTCTCTAAGATGAGCGGCTTAAGCAGCAGGCATCGGAAATCTGGGATCTGGAATCATTCCCACCAGGGCAGCTGCTGTACTAGCACCGCTTGCGGATGACCACTTGAATGTACTGTATATAACTGGAGAACAACCCGTCGAATAAAATATCGGCGATTTCTGCAAAGAGATGCATGGATAGTAGAAACCATATACTCAAGCTAAGGTTTCTAGATATGAATTTGTACTCAAATGATGGGGACACCCATCTGAACCACTTTTCGTATTCAAGCAAAGGAAGCTCCGGAACAGCGGATACACCGCCCTCAGATCTCGTGCACGGGCCATCATTTAAGTGCGGCGCGTCTCGACGCGTTACTACGCCAAAAGTTCCGAATGCCTCTACTCCATAGCTTATGACTGAGTAGGTATAACTCAAGGTGCTCCTCAAAAACCTATACAGCTGATCTCAGTGCTTTGCCACCAATAAGCCTGCACAATGGCTCTCCTGGTGGACAAGTTGCGGCCTAGGACCCTTGATTCTCTTTCTTATCACCATGAGCTCTCAGCGCGATTGAAGTCACTGGTGCGCCGCTGATCCATCGCACGTATTCTATTTGAGAAGCTTGCGCTCACTTTTACTCCTTGGTACAGGCTCAGAGTGGCGATTTCCCTCACCTTCTGGTTTACGGGCCCTCGGGTGCGGGCAAGAAGACTCGCGTAATAGCAACACTTAAGGAACTATACGGGCCTGGAGTGGAGAAGATCAAGATCGACGCTCGCGTATTCCAGACAACCAGCAACCGAAGCTTGAGTTCAACATTGTCTCTTCAGTCTACCACCTTGAGATTACGCCGGCGGACGTGGGGAATTATGATCGCGTGGTTATACAGGAGCTGCTCAAAGAGGTCGCCCAAACTCAGCAGGTTGACCTTTCCGCGAAACAGCGCTTCAAGGTTGTTGTGATCAACGAAGCCGACCATCTGACGCGCGATGCGCAAGCCGCCTTGAGGCGGACGATGGAGAAGTACAGTCCAAATTTGAGGTTGATATTACTGGCAAACAGCACGTCAAATATCATCGCCCCTATCCGCTCCCGGACCCTGCTGGTCAGGGTCTCAGCGCCGACGGAAGAGGAAATTTGTTCGGTTTTGAGGATGGCTGGTAAGAGAGAAGGGTGGGCTGAAGTGGATGGGCTCAATAAAAGAATCGCGAAGGAGAGTGGGCGGAATTTGCGGCGGGCATTACTCATGTTCGAGGCCGTCTACGCACAAAAGTACGTTTTTGCATCCATTTCTACAAAGTCTCACGCTAATGACATGCGCATGTAGTGAGAAAGTCACCGACAAAACTCCAATTCCTCCTCCTGACTGGGAGGCTCTCATCTCACTGACAGCAGATGAGATATTAGCAGAGCGGTCACCGGCACGGCTATTACAGGTCCGCGCAAGACTCTACGACCTCTTGACTCATTGCATACCTCCTACAACCATCCTCAAGGTATGGAATTATGCGTGGTTTCATGCAGGCTTAGAGCTAACTTAGATTCAGACGTTGACGTTCAAACTAATTGCTAAAGTCGATGATGCTCTAAAACCAGACGTAATCAAATGGTCTGCTTTCTACGAACACAGAATAAAACTCGGGAGTGTGAGTGATGGAGCAGCATTATGACTTCTAAAACGCTACTCTAACCTTCACCTACAGAAAGTCATCTTCCACCTAGAGGCCTTTGTCGCCAAGTTTATGCGTATCTATGAAGGGTTTGTCTTCCATCTGACACATCTTGAGAGCTGATCACAAACTAATCTTTGCTGCCAGGTACTTGATGGGAATGGACTTTTAATTCGGAAGAAGGGCATCGTGAAAAACGCGTTATGAGTGTGGTAATGGCGCAAAAAAAAAATCATGTAAAGCATGGATTCAATCGGCGAAATGGGGTTTTTGATTCTGCATGGGAACTTTGTATTTCTTGTCTCGGTTGTACTATATATAATCTGGAGCTAGCAAATAAGACGCCCCAGATTTGTCTTTTGAGTATAATAATTCGAAAGGCCACACTGGTTCCTGATGTCTTTTGTGTTCTTCGCTGGCTGAGAGGTATAGGTTACGTCATCGTACCCAAGTACATCATCGATATGTCCACAGGTACACAGCCCTGCTGAACCTGCAATTCGGAGAAAGAAATAAAAAAATTCTTAGAAAAATACTAGTACTTCATCGAATTGCAGACCAATTGCATCCTCAATCGAACTGTGTCGATCAACGCACTTATCATTATTATGTCTCCTGAACTCACCGACCTGGAGCCTGGAGGAGAGAGTTCCCAGTGAGTAGTAGCCCCCCGTATTCTCATTTATCTCTTTGTTTTACGACCGTACATGCCTTATTTCGTATCTTTAAAATGTTTCTAGAATGAGAAGCAGCTACTCGGGATCGTTCAGTTCTAATTGTGATATTGGCGTTAGGTACGAATCCATTCGCACAGTCACAGTGTCACCCGCTAAGGAGAGGGGGCAACTCGGAGGTAGGCGTGATGTTTCATCGGTTTTTTTTTTGTCTAATGGCTAATCAGGGACGGTTGTTCAAATGCAGCCAATGAGAAGCACACGGTCAGCGAGATGAAGATACTGTCAGATTATAATCGAGGAAATGAGACGCTTGACAGAGACTCAACTGTGGAACCCGCTTTTGCGGGGACAACTACCAATATCTCAGGTCAGGTTAACAAAGGTATATTTGATAATATAAGCAGCTTTCCTTTTGTTTCATGCTATTCCTGATATGGACACCGTTGCACCGCAAAATAACACAAAATGACGCTAATGTTATTGTACATAAGATCTGAACCCTGAGTCGCAGGGAAACGATGAAGAAACGAGGCGAAGTAGGACGGCACAAAGATACGGGCCCGGCTCAGGGGTCGGTGCATAGATTGCCTCTCGAATTCATCTTCCGATGACGAGCCCGTTCGGTAGAAGCTTGCCTAATTTATTGAGCAGGAGACGTGCTGGAAGAGGCGGTTTGTGACGAGGCGGTTGAATTCGAGGTGGTTGAATTCGAGTTGGCTGAATTCGGCATGGGGAGAGGTACTGCTCTGCGCGGTTTCTTGAGGCTCTCCAACGTGACGCCATTGCCCAATTTTGTTATACCAACGACTGGCGGATCACCCTTCTTCACAAACTCCCACAGCCCTACAAATTTCAAATCAGCGTACCATTCCGTCATTCCCAATGAGAATATTGGACATACCAGGCAGTTTGTGAGCAGCCAATCTGAATGCTTCCCGAGCCACTTTTTCGTGCAAGTCACCCTTCAGTTCAAAAACAATCCTACTGACAGGAATTCTTGCCGCCCAGTAGTCGAATTTTCCCTTTCCTTTACCCATTCGCATCTCATTTCCTTTCGTATAGACGCCGATGTTGGCGCTGACTCTCGTATACAGCTTGTAGTTCATTCCTCGTAATCGCTGCTTGATCGTCTCCGCGCCGAGCTTTAGCTGAGCTGCAGACACTCGCCGGTCATGGTCCTTCATACGCAGGCCGTAGTCACCCCAAACAACGGTAGTACCTCGAGTCGAGCCACCGGTGTGCATCCTCGGGCGACCCTTGGGAGACTTTGACTTCTCCATGTACTTTGGAGTAAGCCAGTCCAGAGCTGGTGACGTCGTTGAAAAACATCGCGCAAACGGTGAGAAGTATGCAAAAGAGGGCGCTGAGTCTATAACACAAGGTAAGTCAATATGAGTATGGGAGTTGACATCCAGCTAGGAAAAAAGAGTAGCACTCACACGAGGGCCTCAGAAGGCCCAATTGAGGCTTAGCAAACATCTTCAACTTTGAATATTTCACACAGGGACATGTGAATCCTCAGCTGAAGAGAACGTAAGCTGCACCTTGCTTATCGTATGAATCTGCCGCTTGTCGTTGCGGGAATGTTCGGGGATGTCCAAAAGGAGCAAAAGAGGCTCATTCACGTGACCCACATGCGTATATTATGTAATCATGATGCTGGCTTCGCGATGCGCGTCTCCCCGCGAATGGACGTGTTTCCCAAATCTGGAGAGCTGGTAGGCAGCACGAGCTCCTGGGCCGTGATATCTGTTTTAACCAGCTGCCCTACCTCTTTTTTTGTCTATTTTCGTTTTGTTAGATAGGGCTATATGGTTCAAAAATCAGAATGCCCGTTGACATAAGGAACTTTTTCGGTCCTAAGAGCAGCCAGGACTCCCATGGGTCGGCTGCGAAGACCCCGGCAAAGAAAGAGGTGCGTGAAGGTCTAATTTATCTGCCACGCTCGTGGAATCTCATTGTTTAAGTCTGAACATTTGATTTCTGGTCTATCCAAGTTGTGCCCAAGTTGCTAAATTGCCCTTGTTGCAAGAACTCAATTTTGCTAATTACAAATGATTTATCCAGGATCCATCCACTGCCCGGAAGAGACGTAAGAGAATGTGAATCCTTCATATCTATACTTTAATCTGACACAATTAATATTATAGGCAGCAGAAAGGTGATTGATGACAGTGAGGATGAGGAAGTCGAAAATACTAAGACGCCACCGGCCAAAGTCATAGGAACAAAGCAAGAGTAAGGACCTTCACGAGTTCATCGGTGGTCGTGCAATACTGACTCATGGGGTGCAGGAAGAAGGAAGAGACAAAAGGCGAACCCACCACTACGTCCGAGTATTTTTCGTCTAGCAAGAAAAGAGGGCGACCGCCAAAAAAGCAGAGCGAGAAAAATGATGGCAAGCCACCGGTCAACAAGACCACTAACGGAAGTGGCGAGAAGGGTACGCCTAAGGCGAAGCAAGCCAAGGAGCCATCTTTGGCTAGGAACGAGGAAAAGCCGGGGGATACAAAGGATACACCCTACCTGATTGAGGACGATGAGGATCTTGGTGGGGATGATATCTTTGCCGCCGAATACGGAAAGTCTGGTCGAGCCGACGATGACTATGTTGAGGAGAAAAGTGGAAATGATTCTGATGACCTCATTGTACGGCCTCCTGTGGCGGCATCTGGGAAGCAAGAGAAAAAGCAAACTGCTGTACAAGACGATGAAGACGTGGAAATGGATGACGCCCCAGAAGCTCCAGCAGCAAGACGTGGAAGAAAACGGAAGTCAGAAGCTCTTTTGGACAAAGACGAGGATGGAAAATCGCGTGATGTCAAGAAAGGTGCAGACACACAGACTTCGTCCGCACCCAAAAAACAAAAGGCCACTCCTTCGAAAAATGATCGGCCAGAGAGTAAAGAGATCCAGGACATTCTTGACAGCATTCCAACTGTGAAACCACCTTCGCCGCCTCCAGACTCTGATGAGAAGAAGAAATTCAACTTCGCAGCCCAGGCCCAACGATCGCGTGATCCCCCTGCTGCTGGAACAAAGGAAATACCTGTTGGTGCACCAAATTGTCTGGCTGGATTATCATTTGTGTTCACGGGAATTCTGGATACATTAGGCCGCGAAGAAGGGCAGGCCCTCGTCAAGCGCTATGGAGGAAAGGTCACTACTGCCCCCAGTTCCAAGACGAGTTACGTTGTTCTAGGAAACGATGCTGGCCCCAAAAAGCTCAAAACTATTCGAGACTACAACATTAAGACAATCAACGAGGACGGTCTCTTTGAACTGATCAGAAAACTTCCTGCCAATGGTGGTAATGGCAAGGCTGCTGAACAATACGAGGCCAAAAGGAAAGCTGAGGAGCAGAAGGTCCGAGCTATGGCTGCGGAGATAGAGGAGGAAGAGAAGAAGAGATCACAGGCCAACGCTGTTCAGACAAAAAGTTCTCAGCCACCTTCAAGCTCTCAGGCACCCAAGGTGGATGACCGTCTGTGGACGACGAAATACGCGCCGACATCCCTTAATATGCTCTGTGGTAACAAAGGCCAAGTGGAAAAACTTCAGACCTGGTTGCGCAACTGGCGAAGGAATGCCAAAGCGAACTTCAAGTTGCCCGGAAAGGATGGGTCCGGTCTTTATCGGGCAGTCATGATTCATGGGCCACCAGGGATTGGCAAAACAACTGCAGCACATCTTGTTGCAAAACTTGAGGGCTATGACGTGGTGGAGACCAACGCCAGCGACACAAGGAACAAGAAACTGCTAGAAACTGGGCTTCTTGGTGTCTTGGATACGACGTCTCTTCAAGGCTACTTTTCTGGAGAAGGGAAGAAAGTCGAGACTGAGAAGAAGAATCTCGTGCTCATAATGGACGAAGTCGATGGTATGTCGGCTGGTGATCGAGGCGGCGTCGGAGCTTTAGCCGCCGTTGCGAAGAAGACTCGAGTTCCGCTCATTCTGATATGTAACGACCGAAGGCTTCCTAAGATGAAGCCATTCGATCACGTCACATATGAGCTCCCCTTTAAGCGGCCAACTGCTGATCAGATTCGAGCGAGACTTTCTACGATTTGCTTCAGAGAGGGTTTGAAAATTCCTCCGCAGGTCCTCGACAGCCTAATCGAAGGCACGCATGCCGACATTCGGCAGGTCATCAATATGCTGGCCACTGTGAAGTTGGATCAACAACAGCTGGATTACGATAAAGGAAAAGAGATGTCCAAAGCTTGGGAGAAGCACGTTATTTTGAAACCTTGGGACATCGTGAGCCAGATATTGAGTGCTCAGATGTTCTCACCAAGTTCCAAATCCACTCTGAACGATAAGATCGAACTCTACTTCAATGATCATGAATTCAGCTATCTTATGCTTCAAGAAAATTACTTGAAGACCAATCCGACACTTGCTAGTGGATATTCGGGAAAAGAACGGAGTCTGAAGCTCCTTGAGCTTGCAGAAAACGCAGCTGCAAGCATCAGTGATGGTGATCTGGTCGATCGAATGATCCACGGCAGCCAACAGCAATGGAGTTTGATGCCGACTCATGCTGCCTTCAGCTTTGTTCGACCAGCCAGCTTCATATACGGAAACCTGATAGATCGACCAGCATTTACTAATTGGCTTGGACAGAATAGCAAGCAAGGTAACGTTTCTTTTATTACATGGAAATGATACCCTTGGCTAACTTAGACTGCAGGAAAACTCAGTCGTTATGTGAAAGAAATACAGGGCCATATGCGGCTCCGAGCATCCGGCGACCGAGATGAGATCAGACAGCAGTACTTACCTCTTCTATGGGACAAGCTCATTCGCAGATTAATGGACGACGGTAAGGACAGCGTTGAAGATGTTATTGATCTCATGGACAGCTACTTCCTCACTCGCGAGGATTGGGATGCTATGGTTGAGCTCGGCGTTGGTCCCATGGACGAGTCCAATGTCAAACTCGAATCCCAGACGAAAGCGACTTTCACACGTCTTTACAATCAGCGTTCGCACCCTGTTCCCTTCATGAAGGCTAGTACCGTGCTGGCACCAAAGAAGCTTCCCAAGGTGAAACCTGATATCGAGGATGCCATCGACGAATCAGATGAAGAAGAGGAGGTTCTGGATGCCGAAGTCGAAGACGAAAGTGAAGAGTTGGACTTGAAAAAGGACAAGTACATCAAGGTTCCAAAGAAGCCAGCAGCCCAGAAAGGAACTGCCGGGAAAGGCAAAAAGGCCTCCAAGGGAAAGAAGGACGATGAAGACGACTTCATCGATGATGACGAAGATGAGAAGCCGAAGAAAGGGCGTGGCCGCAAGGCCAAAGGCAAAGATTAAGGGTGAAGGGTTTGGATGCTGTGGACTATTCTGCCTCGACAGCTTGCATTCGTTATTACGTCCGTTCAGAGGTAACGAGGACTTCTGTATACTAGCGCAAAGCAGTAGGGACATTTTTGTGTGTTTGGTTGGCGTTCTTGAACTCGGATGGGTTGTATGTCTAATGAAAATGGTAATCGGCATTAACTGAAAATAATTTATTTCGTGCAGTACATGGATTTTTCCTCTGACTCCCGAGTAAGCGATGAGACAGTTACCTGTCGATATTCAAACGTAGAGGTATCACCAGTTATTGTCCGTCCACGCAACCCGCGTCAGAAATTTGGCCAATGTCCAGCTTGGTAAGCAGCATGGAAGGTTGGAAATATACTACTCCATGAGACCCGATAACAGTTTATTCCGAATGAATGACAAATCAGCTAGCATTGATTAAGATGAGTACTCTGTATGGTCGGTTATTTCGAGATATTACTCCGTAGATTCCATAATATAGTCACAGACTTAGTCTTTGATCATCTTCCACGTGGCCGGGGTCAGTTCCAGAGATACAGGTGGGAAAGAAAGAGATCCAGCCAACCATTATTTTAAAGTCACTGTACATCAGTCTGATAAACAAGACAGACTGTTTCTCAGTGACTGCTGTTGATGGCTGGTGACGCATGGAGTCTGTGGCGAGTGAACTAATCATTAGACCTTCCCCGCGAGTGGGGACATGCATTAACGCATTATTCGATCCGACTCCGCTCCGCCTCCCTCATCACAGCCGGTCCTTGTTGTCGGCTGCTGTCCACGCCTCGAACCCTTACTGCTGCAGAGTCCTTTCTACATTCCTTTCTCCAGGCTGGCCCTGTTCCATCACTAGACCATTATTCACACTCATTGAAATTCATATGTCGTGAATTGTTACCGCATGCAACCGTGGCACCTGCCCAGTAACCATGCAGTTCATGGCCTAAGTTAACTCGTTGCCTCCTCCCAACGCGTCCTCTTTCGACTCTCACGTAATACCTGTGCACTTGTATCGGCAGAGGGTGAGCGCTTTTTGGATTTCCGCGGGTTTGCTGTGGGGTTTTCAGGATGTCTCTCCTGCAGAATGAAGAGTAAGCGCTCACAACCCCCCACGCTTCCCTGTACAGCGAACAACTACTTTGAGAATCCAGGACGCGTGAATGTCTCTGACACATTTCTAGCTTCACAATCTGGCAGCTGCGTACCTCATACCTTTCAGTCATCAAGGATGGTATAGGCGATCGCCTTATCAACGTGAACAACTCTGTGCTCAACACCCCCGGTTTTCGCGCCGCTGGCTGGTCGCCCGCTGTGACAAATGCAGCAGCACAGGATGGCATCAAGCGTACTTACTCTCCGCCAATTCCGACGACGGCTACAGTGGCATCCGAGTATTACCGCCTCGCGAGATACGCGCATAGGGAAGCGAGCGACGGCGATGGACTGGGAATCGGGGAGGATGGAGACGAGGATGAGGGGGGTATGGTAACAGGTGGTGGGGGGAGTACATACACATTCGGGACAAGACATCATGGCAGAGGTGCGCGCAGAAATCGGCGACGCGAACGCCAGCAGAATGAACAAAGACAGGGTGAGGGAGAGGATGAGGATAGCAGCGACCTTAGTGACGAAAGCGATGAAGATGGGGAGTTTACGCAGAGGTAAGTTGTGGAGGCCAATATTCCCATTTTCCCTCTGTCCATTTCCTTTGTAATCCGTGCTTACATTCTATCCAGAGCTGCACAGCAGATCAAGTTCGCAAAAATGCCGATAAGGCATCGAGCAGGGTCCTCTCCAATTCGATCTTCAGATCGTCGCGATGGGCCGGAAGTGACTGTGACATCACCATCTCGCGCATCACCTGACAATCGTTTTCGGCGAAGTTCGCTGGGTGCAGTGGAGGTGATGAAAGTGCGATCTCGGGGCGATACAACTACGAGCAGTGATCTATCCGACGGCGAAATGGACCCGTCTCTTTTCAAACGACGCACGATTCAATTCTCATCCGAGCATCAGGTCATCGAGGAGCCAGCAAACCAAGAGCCTGAAAGCACTAACAAGGCCAGTGCTGAGAACAGCGAAGCGACTGCTGGAGAAATGCATGAGCAGGAAGAAGATTTTGGAGGGGAATCGCCCGACTCCGTGCTCTCCTCTGATTTTGGGGCTACTGCTGGCTCTACCTCCCTACTTGCAGATGTCGATATGAATGGCACCTTGGATTCGTCACCCATCATGATGCACAAGCTACCTAATGCGGGTAGCACGCAGAGTGCTTCGCCCAAGAAGCCAAAAACCTCTGCCCCTACTTTGCAGGACCTTCCTCCGCCGCGACCTATCAGTACCGTACAACCAGTGAGTCTGTTATCCAAGGAACTCAATGCCCGAAAGAAAGTTCCCAGCAATCCTGTGGAGAAATTTGCCTCGCTATGGGCCAATGGCTCGACTACGGCATTGAATGTAAAGATATACGCCCCGTTCTCCACCCAACCAGATAAACCGTTTGATCTGCCAATTTTCCGCGAGTTCAAAGATGAAGATCACTCGGGACCAGTCACTGTTGCGGACGCTATCGGGCTGAGTCTGTGGAGATACATCAAGGAAGGTCTCAAGCCCCCGATTGAAGGCGAGAAATTGAACGTCAACCGTTGGACTTTGCGAATGGTTGAAGACGGCGAGGTCGAATATGATTTCCCTCCTCTGGGTCGAAATCTGCCGTTGGCCGATTTCACCTCGAACAATAATCGAGCCGCCGCGCTTCGAGGGCGGATAAGAGGTAAACCCTACGATGAATTCGCGCTGGTCGAAGCCACACAGGCCGAATTCGAGGAGAATGAACGTCTTTACCCCAAATTCAGTACAGGGCAATCCGAAGAGAGCGGCGAGCAAGCATCAGCGGCGGCGAATACGCAGCAGCCAACTGCGGCGCCGCAAAATAAGCCGACGACGAGGCTCAATCCTATCCTCAACCAACCGTTCTCCTCTGCGCTGAATGACAGCTCGTTGACTCCGGCTGACCGGCCAGCGGTTCCCACATCCCATGCCACTCCCCGGATGGGAGTCTCCAAGACATTAAAGGTCCGGTTTATCAATTCGGATGGCTCGAGCCAAATGACGACCGTCAACACGTCCACTGACAGCTACATCGCCGAGATCCTTGATTCCGTCTGCAAGAGATGGGGCTTGGACAAGGGTAATTACCTTCTCAAGGTCATGGGTTCCAATACCGTGGCGCCATTGGACCGCACGGTGGAGGCACTGGGCAGCGTGACGGAGCTGGACGTCGTCCGCCGGCGGTTTGGCGCAGGCTCGTCACTGACAGGGTCGCCCGGCAGCTCTTCTCCCAACGCGCCTCTTTTGATTGACAACTCGAACAATGCGAACTCGAAGAAAGGCAAGAAGGGGCATCAAATGCTTCACCCCCTTGCGCAGAAGCAGGACTTGGTCGGCGGCTATTACCGTCGTTATTATGTCTTCCGCAAACAATCCATGTCCTTTACGACTTCGAACCAGCGCGTTTTGGTGCTTGACAATGACTATCTACATATCATGCCGGCCGACTCTGGCAAAGGGGTTTTTGAGCACACGGGGAAGACTCGATCGATCAGTTTCAATGATATCGTGGGATCCAAGGTGAGCCGGCGGCATCCCAAGAGCTTCCGGGTCGTCGTCCTTCGCGGCAACGAGGCCAACGAGCAGAAACGGTACGATTTCGAGGCTCGAAACGAAGTGGAGGCGGTGGAGATTGTGGATGAGATCAAGAAGAACATGGCCCATTATCGGATCTAGTCCATCCTCTTTCTTTTCCCGTCTGCCCATGATCTTCAGAATGATGCGGTCGGCCTCTTTCTGTCCAAGTGTATGACCATTTTCTTGTCGCGACTTGCATGTAAAGATGTACTACTGGCTATTCTGTTTTGCGCATGGGCATTCTTCTTCTGGAACCCGGAACAGGAACAGAGAGGTATAGGCAGATCATTATGTAACATTGATTGATTGCTGTAGCTAGTTTGCTCTGCAGACAAAGTCTTCGACTATTCTTACGTTCTTAATTTGTGCTGTAACGATGGGATTACCCTTGATGATTGCAGTTGAAAGAAATACCGGGCGTACCAGGGCTGATGGGGCCGGAGACAAAGAAACGGCATGGGGGCGGAAGCTGCTGGAAAGTCGATTCATTATTATTATTCTTCACTCAGCTATTCGCCATCCACCCTTATTGTGGTCGTTTGCTCTATATTTATTGTAGCACATCATCACCATTCATAGTCTCTTCAGTCAAGACGAAATAGACGCGAAATGACGAGCAGTATCCCAGTAGGGGCATTATTAGCTTGCAACTCTGTACACTGACCAGTGTTCTGCTGCTAAATAGGCAGGACAAGAAGAATAGTAGTAATAGTAGACTGTTATTATTGTGCTATTCAATACTACGTCAATCCACTCCTTGTGTGCCCGATTGTTGCCGCCTCTCCAAAGGCCTGCCACCTACTGCGTACTCATTTCATTCAATTCACCAACCACCCTCTTTCTTTTCCTCCAAGAACGACCTTATTTCCTGGGAGATCCAGCCTACCTACGGGGTACAGACCTATGTAGCTAGATCCCTTGCATCGTTTTTGGCCCTTCTTGAGTCCTTCACAGCAGGGCTGGTTCGGCCCCCTCGCCGCGGCGGTCTCGATGCTTGGAAGTTGGTGGCTGACCTCACCAGTCGAGACAGGAATCCAGCCCACTGGGCAGACCCCGCAAGCCCCCAATTCCGGAACTGGCTGCAACGCTCTTCGTGACCCAACCTCCAGCCTCTCTGTCGTTTCTGTCTGCGTCTTGCGGCCTCAAATCTCGACGATCAAAGCTCGCTGATCTGCTGTTCCGGGCCGTTTGATGGATATTATTAGGCGCGGAGCAGCTCCGTTATCGATACCGCCATCGCACACGCCGACCCCGTCACCCCCTCGACCCTTTTAACTCCGACCCCGCTCCCTGACCTCATCGATTCCTGGACGACAGCATCGCCAAACAGTCAAACGTCGTACGGACCAATTCTCATCCGAGGCGCTTCGATCTGCTACGCCGGACTACTGCGGAGAACCGCTGATTGAACCTCCCAAATTACGTAGCCGCCATTTCTACAACGGTGCCGTTGTGGCCGAAGATCACTCCCACCACTCAATTGTCCTTCGTCATCCCTCCAAGTCGCAGTTTCAGACTCTTCTGCGGTCTGAAACCCCCTCGAGCAGCTCATGCCGACGCTAGGAGGATTGTTGAAGAAGAAAAAGAATTCCTCGGCCGCTTCTAAGGACTTCAATTCACCCACATCGCCTACTATTGCCGAAGCATCAACGGACAAGCCTGCAGCAGTCGACCACGCCCAAACGTCAGCGTCACAGACGTCTGAGAAACCAGCGCACGATAACCACTACTCCTCGACGAATGCAAGCGGGGGTAACACGTCGGAGACCCGATGAACTCGGCTGCACTGCAGGCGCACCACCACATTCCGACCCCAAGCCACCCCTCGCAGGACCAGCAGCAGCACCAGCAGCAGCACCAACAGCATCAAAATGTCGCCAGCATAAACAACATCATCAACCCTCCCCATCAAGGGGAGGCAGGCCAGGCCCTGGGCCAGCAGCTGATGCAGCAACAGACAGTCAAGACGCAACCCCGGCAGACGAAAGGGAAATATTCATTGGACGATTTCATAATTCAGCGCACTCTCGGGACGGGCAGTTTTGGTCGAGTGCATCTGGTGCAGTCGAGGCATAATCACCGCTTTTATGCAATCAAAGTGTTGAAAAAGGCCCAAGTGGTCAAAATGAAACAGGTCGAACATACCAACGATGAGCGGCGGATGCTGCAACGGGTCAAACATCCGTTTCTGGTCACCCTTTGGGGGACATTTCAGGATTCAAAGAACCTCTACATGGTGATGGACTTTGTCGAGGGGGGAGAGCTGTTCAGTTTGCTTCGCAAATCGCAAGTACGAAAACCCCTCTCTACTATGTCTGGGACTCTTTGTTCAATGAAGATTGACTGCTGTTCTAGCGATTTCCGAACCCGGTTGCGAAATTCTATGCAGCTGAAGTGACACTGGCTCTCGAATACCTACATTCACAACAGATCATCTATCGTGACCTTAAGCCAGAGAATCTTCTGCTAGACCGCCATGGCCATCTGAAAATTACCGACTTTGGCTTTGCGAAAGAAGTTCCGGATATCACCTGGACACTCTGCGGAACGCCCGATTACCTGGCACCGGAAGTGGTCTCATCCAAAGGCTACAACAAGTCGGTTGACTGGTAAGATTCCCGTATCCAATATGTGCATAGAGAGGATACGCCTGTTAATGAGGTGTCAAAAAAAGGTGGTCGTTGGGAATTCTCATTTTCGAGATGCTCTGTGGATTCACTCCGTTTTGGGATAGCGGTTCGCCAGTCAAGATCTACGAGAATATTTTGCGAGGAAAGATCAAATATCCGCCTTACATGCATCCGGACGCTGTAGATCTGTTGTCCCAGCTCATCACACCAGATCTCACGAAACGATTAGGGAATCTGCATGGGGGATCTGAAGACGTGAAAAGACATCCTTGGTTCGCCGAAGTAACGTGGGATCGACTCCTGAGGAAGGATATTGACGCGCCGTACGTGCCTCCTGTGAGGGCTGGTATGGGCGATGCCAGTCAATTCGATAGGTATCCTGAGGACCATGAGCCATATGGATGCACTGGTGAAGATCCGTAAGTTTCTGTTCATGATCCTCGGTCCTCACTCGCTAGATAACGTTGACTGATGTCTCTCTCACACTCTCTCACAGATATGCCGACTTATTCAGCGAATTTTGAGAATCAGCCGCATGAATTACGAGATCATGAATGGCTTGCGCCATACGAAGTCAGCTACTGCATGCTATGCTGGCGCAGTGCCCATAGCAATTCTCGGACTAGTATTTCTATCAACTGCATGATCCTTTTATTGCTTCTTCTTCTCCCTCTTTTTTATTTATTTCAATTATTTTTTTATTTCCTGTAGTTACGCTGGCGTATTTGAGTTATTTGCGAAGATATCTCATAAGGATATCTTACTCAGTCGCCAGTCGACTGATCTATCTCAATTATTTTTTTCAAACAGCCCTGAGGAATGGGTTGTTAGGATCTGGGTCCGGATTTGGGAAAAATTTCTCTACTTGTCAACGGCTTATCTGATTCTTGTTTTTTTTATGACTGGCTTAGAAGATGCGAGGCCGCGAAAGATGACAATTTCCGACTGTAGACAAGGCCCCTTTTTGACGACTTTTTTTTGTTACTTATTTTGCTCGTCATTTTCTTTCTTTCTACATTTCAAATAAGCCTTTTCTTGGGTTCAGATATTTTTTTTTACCATATGTTTTCTTCATTTTGGTCGGCCATTTCCCCTTTGTCCTATTCTATTCTTTCTTCGGTATTGCGGGTTCTGGTTCAAGTAGGTGGCGGCTTCTTGAAGAAAAAAAAAAGATCTTGTTGATTTATTTTGAACAGAAGCTGCCTGCCTAGCGTCTGGTTAGGGACTGAAGATTATCGCAGATCATCCTCTTGTATGCGCCTGGTTTTGTGGGCTAACTACTGTCTTGACATACTTGATGTGTTAAGACTTGTCAACGTTTCTGTTGCTGTAGAAAACTGTGAATGAATACATATACTTATTGACATATCAAGCCCTAGTCTGGCATATCATGAGGAGCATTTATTGCCAGAGTCGTATCTTTGCACTTATTGTCGCTTGCAATATTCAATTGCCGGCGGACCTTCAAGTTGCGATCGCACCCTGTTTTCTCTTTCCCCAAACGCAAATTCTTAAACAAGGAAATATGGGAGTTTGACATTGGATAATATATATATCATATATTGAGTGAGTTGTGTGTGGACGTTCATCTTTCTATCGCAAGTCCTTTTATTATGGACCATGCCAACTTTTGGTTTTGTTTGTTGAGAATGAAAAGCAAACATTAACCGATGGTTATTAGCCCATGGCCTCCCCAATGTTATACACAAATAGTCATACAAGTCTCTGAAATGATACAATAAGCCGGCCCAAGCTATCCTAAGGACGAGAGATAGCCATATCCGAGTCATCCCGATGCGCCTTAGACATTGGCCCTTCGTTCGTTCGTTTGTTTTCTTCATAATCCCCGTTGAGATGATGGTCGTTCATCTTAGCTTGACGGCGTACCCAAGGAGGCCAGGGTCCCGGCATCCACTCCACCGCCCATCTTCTTGCTCTCCCTGCCGATGCGCGCGATGTATGCCCGGCTGGTGGTGTTCCACATCGAGATGTACTTCTCCATGCACGTCGACAGACACGTGGACTCCTGCGAGGAGAGCGAGGAGCCTGGGTTCGGGATGCATCGGTCGAAGCAGTTCTCGTTCATTTTCTGCAGGACGTTTAACCGTTAGATCAGAACGGGCTAGAAACCTGGACTCCATGGACTAGGTATTCGTACGGTCATCAGGGCCCGGGCGTTGTTCAGGGCAGCCTCAGCCTGCACCTGCTGCATGAGGGCCGACTTCAGCTCCGCGGAGGTAGCATCGGACGATGCGGAGTTCCCGGAGGAGGAGGACGAAGAGGAAGAGCTACCGCCGAAGAGAGGCATGGTTGGTAGTGTTGTGGGAGAGACACAGACGGGAGAAAGCTGGGAAGTTGTTCAAAATGACAAGAGGAATATCTGCGAAGGTCGACGGTGCAATACAATTGCCAGGCCGCCAGCCAATGAATGAATTGAGCGTTGGAAGTTGAAAATAAAAGTTGCGGGCGAAAGATCTGCGGAGTTAATCCTGTGGCTGGACGGCTAGCGCTGCGCCACAGCATGTCAGATGTGGACACTTGGATACATCTACAGCTACGACTGCATCTCGAAACGACACCTTGCCCTTCCCGTCCTTCCTTTCCCTCGAGGCCCGGCGAGAATAATGTCCGGGAGCTGATGCTTCAGTGGCACAAGATCAACGCCTGGCCGTCTTAGTTTCTTTTCTTCTTCTCTCTGAAATCATTCCCGTTTTGCCGCTGTTTACCTTACCTGGCCCGCGCGAGCCCTTTCCTTGTCTGTCTTCTGTATTGTATACTCTCGTCGGTTTGACCCCCGCCCTCGCAGTTTTTTGGTTCCATTCGTTCCTTTTTTTGAGCGACAAGTCTATATTCCTTTTTATTCAGCGACGCAAAAGACTCGATATGTGGCTGCCCCAAATCACAGCTTATTTGTGCTTGGCGGTGTTGGCCGCCATTGGGCGTGCCAATGCCTATGAGAAGGATCCCGATATCAAATCCATCCCTGTGAGTATATTGGGTTCAATGCGTTGCTAAGGAGGGAACCTCTTTACTGAAATGATATTCCTTGCTTCTTGGCCTGATCAGCTGCGGACTCACAGCCTTTCTCCGGTACGACCATTTCCAAGACCCGGTATTTGCATGAGAGAATGGTTCAATTAACAGAGGGAATGCACAGCCATACTTGGACTCGGACATGCACAGCAGATGGTGGGATTTCGGCGGTGATACCATCATACGTACGGACAAGTATGTTGGTCGCAATTGCTCCTGAGTCGGTCGTCTGCTGAACAGACCTCTAGGTATATCCGCCTAACCTCGAACCGGCCTTCCCAACAAGGGTGGATCTTTTCTCGCATTCCCCTCATTGCGACGAATTGGGAGGTGCGTACGCACATGGATTTGGCCTTCTGGGAAGCTGACAGTCGTTAGATCGAGGTTGAGTTCAAACTCCATGGCACGGGGCACTTGCATGGAGACGGCTTTGCCATCTGGCTCACGAAAGAGCGCGCCACCCAGGGCCCCGTTTTTGGGTCGACAGACAAGTTTGAGGGCTTTGGAATCTTCTTCGACACGTACAAGAATAATCGACCGGGCGTTGCGTTTCCGTACGTGATGATCATGAGGGGTGACGGTCAGACGAGCTACGACCAGGAGCACGATGGAAAGGCGAATGAAATTGCCGGCTGTTCGGTACGTTCTATTCTATTACTCATGCGATTTGGTCAACGGACCTTTCTGACTCTCCATACGCTAGGCTCGCGGTCTTCGGGACGCATCGGTTCCTACCAAAGCGCGCCTGACCTACTTCCAGGACAAATTCCTCAGTCTCGACCTCCAGTACAAGACTGATGGGTCGTGGACGAACTGCTTCACGCTGAACGCGAACGAGCATAATATCGCCCTCCCCTCGGTTACGTACCTCGGCTTGTCCGGTGAAACAGGTGAGGTCAGTGACAACCAGGACATCATCTCGGTCACGACGAACAACCTGTACAGCGTCGGCAACAATGCAGGCCGTGGAGATACCGGGGCAGGTTCCAGTGGCCGTGGCCGCAAGTCCCACGAGAAGAAAGGTGGCAGCTGGGGCTGGTTCTTTTTCAAGGTGTTTATGTTCTTTGGTGCTATTGGGGGCGCATATGTCGGGTACACCATCTACCGGACGAGCAAGCGGTCGTCGAGATTCTGAAGTTGGAGTTTCATCATCATTTGTCTGGTTTCATATATTCCATCCATCCGCATCTGTTTTCTAGCGTTGTGCTTGCCTTGTTGTTCATCCCTCATAGTCACGAAGTCTTTGCAAGATAAGAAAAAGTGATGATATGATTGAATAGCCTTGTTTTCTTTTCTCTGTCTTACGAGTAATCATCAAACCAAGCAGTCGCTGCAGTTTTGTTGCGGAAAAGCATAATGAAGAATTAGCATATGAAGTAGACAGAATAAAAAAACAAAGGAGGTTTTTACTAGTTTACTAGTCAATCTACTTAGTTGTCTGTGACAGTTTCCTTTATTAGCTTGTCAGGTAACAGAACTGAATCCCCTCACTTTTACCAGCATATAAGACCTCAGCTGACCTACGAAGTATTAGTAGCCAGAATGGTGAAAATCCTCACTTTTACCCGACCCATTATTGATAGGTATGCAGGGACATGATGAGGTAGGTGATCCTGAAAGGTATTACTGCATACTAGGTAACTATATAGGTAGTAAGTGACCTAAGCATAATAACCCTAATAACCCTGTTCTTAATATTGATAATTTGATTATACTAACCCCAGTAACCTTGATACTAATTTATTATTTATTTATTCATTCATTCCTCGTTTATTCTCTGGAGAGATGCTTTCTGTTAAGTCAAATGGAAATAGAAGACCATCTCTCCTTGATGCATTCAAGTTAAGAAAGAAATGTTTAACTGCAGGGGTATCATAAACATCTGTAATCTATGATAATCATACCATACCATACTAATCCCATCCCAACCGTAGCGCCGAAATGTCACTTCTTGACTGCACCATGAACCTGTATAACCCTTGTAATTAGTAGTAAACAAACAAACGAGAAAAATCAACCAGAGCCGGCTTTTGAGCGATTATCGATGATGATCGATGATAATTAGGGTCTATGTCTTGTCCCGCCCTGCCTTCGCCCTCTCCTCGCTCCACAACTGATCCAAGATCTGAAAAACCTCCGTGACACTGCGCATCAAGGTCGGTTCATCGCTCAGTCCTAGAGACCCGTACCGATGAAGCATCTTATCGGGATGCCAGCGCACACGCTCGGTTTTGAGCGTGGCGACGATGTCTGCGTGTCCAGAGGCGGCAGCAGCAGCAGGGGCATGGCGCATAAACTCCGCCACGGCCTCGCGTGAGATGTCCCGTCTTTTCCCGGACTCGACAGGCCAGAAGAGGTGGTTGCGGAGGATAAACGGCTTCTTTTTATTCTCGGGACCGTCGCCAGCAGCAGCGCTGGTGCCAGGCTCCTCCTTGGCCGCCACCGCAGCATTGAGCTCTTCCCAGCTTCGCTGATACTCCTCCCATGCGGCCTTCCAGGCCTTGGCTCGTCTTCTCTCCTCCCCACGTCTCAGACTCTCCTCTATCGCTCGTTCGAATTTCAGTTGTTCTTCAGCTCGTCGTCGCTCGGCCTCCGCTCGCCTCTTCTCCTTCTCCTTTTCCCTTCGAAGACGCTCCCGCTCTTCCATCATGCCTTCGTGCGTTCGCTCCCACATTCGGGCCCGTACGTACTCCGCGTACTCCTCGTCTGTCATGCGCTCGAGCTCGCCGTTGGGGCCCTTGGGCACGGACGGTATCGCGTATGTGTGGATAGGCTGTCCATAGATCGATTCCCAGAATGCAGCGCCCTCGTCGTCTGCCAGGGCGTCGAAGAGAGACTCGCGGAAAGCGGTGTTTGGTGACAGAGGCGGATCAAAGGGCGGGGATGGCGGCGGGGAGGACTCGGTCTTTCGCCGCTTAGAGGAGCGGTGGTGTCCATGGTGGTGGTGACGGTGTCGACGGTGATGGTGATGGTGACTGTGACGATGCTCATCATAATCTTTGTCCGAATGTCTATGCGAAGAAGAAGATGGCGAACCGTCGCGCTTCAATCTGGATTTGGACGATTTGAAGCGGAACCTGCCATGCCGCGAACGCGCATATTCATCTTGCTCATCAGTGTGGCTTTCTTTGGTCGCGGATGAAGTCTGTGGATTGTCTTCTTTCTTGCTGTGAGTGCTACCATTTGTGGCAGTCGAGTCCATTGTTCCAGGCTGCTGGCAGACTGCTGTTGCCTTTGGAGGGAAGCTGTATCAGTGGTGCTTAGTTGGGAGCGTTGGTTGACGTCATGTTTTTCTCTGTCTGAACTGAACTGCCTGTGCAATTAATGAATTGACTTTGTTTTCAACGCGACTTCACAAGCAGCAGACGCGCACGACTGAATGCTTGATTGATTGATTGATTGATAAACTCGTGGGGCCCGTGCGAGATCCCGTGGCAAATGCGGGATTCCGATCTTCAGCTCCAACGCCGATGATATAATTTCATTCAGTCAAGCAGGACCACTTCGCCCACTTCCCCGTCCACATCCACAGCCACCATGGCGCTCGTTTCCTACTCCGACTCTGAGGGTTCGGACTCAGAGAACCAGACTCAGAACAGTCAGCCGGTCGCTGCAAAGAAGGAGCCATCCACCGTCTCCGCCGATACGTTCAAGCCCTCCAAACCTGCGCAAGGCTTCTCGTCGCTCGTTGACCGCGGAAACCCCCGCAAGATCCGTGTCGCTCTCCCGGAAATCAAGCCAGAGGATGGAATTAACGAAGACGAAGAAGGTGGCCCCGCACGGAAGAAGCCTAGGACGAATGGAGGTGGCGTGTTCTCCGGTTTCAATTCCCTACTTCCTCCACCTAAGCGCACCGCACAAAATGCAGCGGCGGCAGCGAATAAAGATCAAAATGGTCCTGATGCCACTCCAAAGGTGTTCAGTCTGAAGACGGGCGCCACTCCAGGGTTCGATCGCCAGGCAGATGCCGAGATGCGGCACGACCAGGCTCTCAATGAGAGCACGGGACCTGTTGCTGGTGGAAACGAGGACGACAGTACAATACCTAAACCTGGGAGTCTTCGGGAAGATGGAGGTAATGATGCGGGACTACTAAAAGACGAAGACTACAAGAAGAAGGGCAATGCCATGATGTTTAAGCCGCTCTCCGTGGCACGCAATCCGAAAAAGAAATCGCCATCGACGATTGCAGCTTCACGAGCTGCAGATGGAGTGGCTCAGAAAAAGGAATCAGCAGCAGCAGCAGCATCGACAGGACCAACGCCGTCCTCTTCATCAAACGCCGCGCCTGCAGCTCCTCCAAAACCAAAGGTCAGTCTGTTTTCATTCTCCAGCGAAGAGACTTCTACGACGACCCCCGACAATGCCCAAGCTCCAGTGCAGTCTTCGTCCGGGGAGTATGAATCTTTACTCTATAACCCTTCGGATACCGACACAGCACCCGGTCCTCAACCGGATCCGTCATCTCTTGATTCCTCCTACGAGCAACAACAACATCAACAAACGGTGGCCGAATCTTCTTCTGCCTCCGCAGCGCCTCAATCCCAACCAACTCTCGACACTATCGCCAACGACCTCAATCTCTCCAGCTCCCAGAAACGCCAGTTACTCGGACGGAATCCCAACGCAGCCAAATCGCGCGTTCTCACCTTCGAAGGGGACGCCGAGTACGCCGCAAACCAGGAAATGCACACACGGGAGGAGATTGCTGCGCAGCAACACAACCCCGTTCGTCCCATCGCTCCAGGAAAGCACACCTTGCGCCAGCTGGTTCAGGCAGCCAGCTCGCAGCGCGAGGCTCTGGAAGAGAGCTTTGCGGCGGGCCGGAGGAACAAGAAAGAGGCAGGCTCGAAATATGGATGGTGATGGTGATGCCGATAGCGATTGTGATTTGATGGATATGGCACAGCTCGGTGGTCTGCCGAGTTTTGTTGTAGTAATGATGTATACCCATTTCCCAGCATGTTCTCTTAAATTCTTCACTATGAAGAGTATTGGGAGTAATTCAAAAGTTTCTTGCTTGTTCCGTAATGTTAGAACTTTTAGCTATTCGCACAACGTCCTTTCAATAAAGTATCTAAGAGCTATGCACCTCTGTGATTCTCACTTTTCTGTCTTATGCAGATGTTGTAAACTGATACTATTACATTGTATACCAATATCTATCTACCAATATCGATCCGGTCGATATTTAACAAGAATGGTTCCAGGAAATTCATCTTTGTATTGGGTATTTACATATATACACATTCTTGATCGAGTTCCATCCCAAAAAGAACCATGCATGGCAAATTCTAATACATAAAAAAAACCAGAAATACATCATGCATATCCAAACCATATACAGAGAAGCCACTCTAGTCTAACAAACCCATCAGAGAACCAGAGAGAGCGAGAAAAAAATCACTTTTTTTTTCCTTTAGGATGATACTTCGACAACCTCGGCAAACCACTGTTTCAACGCCATAGCCAATACCGCCGGTAACTCCCGCACGTCGCGAACAATCAGATAGTAGGAAAATGGAAACCCTTCCAGATACCGTTTCATTTTCAGCTTCATCTCGCCGGTCCCGCCGCTGCTGTAGTCTGGCTCGAAGCTCGCCTGCGTGAGATCCATGATGGAGCTGCCTTTCGCCGCGTCGAGAATGATGAAGACGATCATGATGCGCTCTTCCTGGGCCTGGCGGACGAGTCGACGTATGGTGTCGTGGTCTTCGCAGATCCCGTCGGAGATGATCAGCTCCAGCTGCCACAGGTCGGCGCTGGCGTTACCTGTCGAAGAGCGCCGCGCGCGGGCTTCGCGGAAGAGCGCAATCGAGTCGGCGACCAGTTTCCGCACGTTGGTGCCTGTCTGCTGGTAGCTGAATTGCTGGAAGACCTGGACCCCGGCCTCGGAGGAGAAAGGCTTGCCAAACTCGTGCGCAACCCGGACGTGCTCTTCATCGCCAAAGCCCACGATGCACAGATCGCCGACTTCCAGCATGCTGAGACTGCGCGCGACCAGCGTGAGCGTCTCAAAGGCTAGTTGCCCGCTGCCGCTTTCCATCATGGACTTGCTATCGTCAACGGCAAGCATGACCTGGTAGTTTCGCTTGGAGGGAATCGACCGCCGCATCCAGATCTTGTCCCGCTTGTACTGCGATGCGATATACGGGATGATTCTCTTGATGTTGAGACGCTTGCCGGTCCGGAAGTCCCCTCGAAGCTTTGTGGCAAGGGTTGGGGCCAGAATCAGGCGAAGCTGCTCAGTCAGGGACAGCGAGAGGTCATTTGTAGCAGACTCGTAATGAGACCAAAGCCTCCTAGCCTCTTCGGGTGAAGTCCGCGGTGCGAGGGATGAGGACAGATGGATTGCAGCAAGATGCGAGTCAACTTCGTCCAACGCTTCATTGGTTTGCAGCTGACCATCCTTTTCATTGTATGGCTCGCCGATCTGGGCATTGTTCCCGGATAAACTCGTGCCCGTTTGGTCATTGACATCAGTCGGAGCCTCGTTCATTTGAACATCCTCTGGTGCCTCTTGGTCCGCCAACGCATCTTTGCTGTCCTCAGAGACATCTGGCAAGCGCTGTTCATCAGCAGTTGCGGTTTCCGATTCCACGGCCTTCTTCTGGTCTAATGCCTTTGCCTGCTCTTCGCTAGCCTGTCCCAGAGCTTGTGTATCAGCGACATCGTCCTCATCAGCTAAGTGCTCGAAGTCGGCATCCGCCATGTCTGTATCCGGCGGCAGCGCCTGAGAATCTTTCTCCTTCGAGGAATTCATGATTTCTCGCTGACGACGATGCCACTGCTCAAGGACATCTCCTAATTTCTTGAAGGCCTGCGTCTGAGGATCTTCTTGCTCCTGCTCGCCAGCGCCACCGGATGTATCGTCAGCCCTCTGTCGATCTTGCCCGTCTTCCGTAGCACCATTGGGCTGCTCCATCTGGGCGCCTGCGTCCTTAGAACCGCCTTGTTGTTGCGCATCACCAGATGTGCCCTTTTCCTCATTGATGTCCTGATCAGCACCAGGGCCGCCGGACACTGCTTCACTCGGGGCAACATCATTTCCGTCAGCATCATTATCGTCGCGCTGGGTTCGGAAGATATCTTGCTGTTCATCCTCTTCCTCATTAGATGGTTCATCCTCCCCAGGCTTCTCGGCCTCATTCCCGTCATCCGCTTCTGCAGAATCTCCTTCCTCGTCTCCTTCCATATTGGCGTCCTCTGACTGTGAAGCAGAATCGCCGTCATCCATTGTCTCATCTTGAGCTTGTTCGGCTTGTCCTTCATCGAGGTCTGGCCCCAGATCAGAAAGATCGTCCATTCCATCATCTTCGTCCGATCCCGCATCGTCCTTCTCTTCACCATCCAGCTGCATCTCCTCCGGAAGGTCAAGAGTCTCTTCTTCTTTGGCATGCGGATCGGTGACGTCCATCTCCTCTCGCCCAACAGCTTCGCCCTCATCCTCGGGAGCCTCTTCCTCTTCCTCCTCTTCCTCTTCGTTCTCCTGCGCTTCACCCTCTTCTTGGTTCTTGCCCTTTTGTTTATCACTGGATGCAACTTGTTGGTCAGATTCAGATACACCCTTGCCCTCTTCGTTTTCGGTCTCTTTCTGCTCTTCATTGTGAGAGCCATCCCACAGTTTCTCATCCACCGCTCCGGGATCAAGACTGTTAACACTGCCCACTTCTTCGTCGATCTCATCGTCTTCTTCTTCTGAGCCACTCTCATCCTGGTCTTCTCCTTCTTCTTCCTTGTCATCTCCGTCCTCATCATATTCGCCCTCAAGCTCTTCTTGATCCATGTCGACGGCATCGCGAGACTTCTCCATATCCTTGGTAGATTGGTCAGGATCCTTCTGTTGGGCAAGTTCGGTCAAGTCTTCATCATCCTCAATGTCTTTACTGATATCTTCAGCACCTTCCCCTTCGCCGAGTCCGGTTCCAGCTTCTAATTTACCAGATTGGCCCTCCTCGTTCGATTCTTCAGCGGGGCTACAGAAGCCTTCTGATGCCACCTGGGTGAATGACTTTGCAAGAACATAGGACATCTTGCAAACCTCCCGATGAACGGAGAGGAAACGACCTATTAAGTCCTCGCATATGGCCCGATGTTGCTCCACGATTGGAAGCAAACTTGTTATAATTGCAGAGGCCAAAGCAAGTGCAGGACCATGTTCGTTTTGAAGAAATTGGAGTTTGCCCAGGACTGACTCAAAAGATATGGCAATTTCCGAAATATGTAGCTCCTTGAGGGCCTTGCTTAAGACAGAATCGGCCTGGGCGAGCCAATCTTTGTCTTCCGTAGAAGACGGCAAACCGCCAAGTGAACTCTTGACACCCTGGAGAGCAACAAGAATTTTGTCCACTGCTGACAGGACCTCATTCTTCAGGTCGTCAAGAGTCAATTTGCTCCCCATCTCCGTTGTTGCTGCACTAGTGTTTGCCTTGAAATCCGCCCAGGAAGCTATTTGCTCAAGCACGAAGGACAAGTCAGGACGTTGGTTCTTCCAGTTTGTCACGTTGGCGCTCAGCTCACGCAAAGAATCAGCAGCCTTCCCCATGACATCGGCTGAAGTTTGTGAAGAGATGCCTGCTGGAAGCTCAGGAAGACCGGCTAATGACTCCTTCAAGTGGTAGAGACGATCTTTCCATGCCTGCAATTCCTGCAAGATGTTTGAGGAGTCGGTTGCAGAATACTTCGAATGGATCTCTATGATTTCGATTCCCACTCCGACAATTGGAGCCAGCCAGGCCACATGCCTCATCAGATCCTGTTTCTCCTCCTTTCGTGAAACTTTCTCCTGGCAGAGAGACTGGGTCCAGAGGTTCCTCATCCTCAGCGACGTAGACCTAAGAGTTTCTACGTCACGAAGAGCGGGAGAAATAGCGTCTCGCTGTTTCCTAATCAATAAGAGGAGACCTTCGGCTGAACCCACGCTCCTTGTTATCTCGACAGGGTTAAGATCCTCGGAATAGTCTCGCGACGCTTGTCGGACACGAGGGAGGAGGTCCAGGAATCTGTGGAAATACAAGTCTGCGCTTTTCGCTTTATCAGACCCAGAGACATTGTCGCATGACAGATTTGAGGTGGTCGCAAGGACTTGAGAGACAGTGGCCTGTTCTTCTTGAAGAACAGTGCTGACATTCCGCTTAACACCCATAGAATACAGTTGTCGTAAGGTATCCGCGTAGAAGCGGCGTTTTTGCGCCTTGAGATGTTGCACTGTCTCTTTGTTTTCCTCAGTTAAAGTCTTTGGGGTCTGAGATTTGAGATCCTGGATGGTTTCAATAGCATCTGTCACAAAATTATCAAGCTGCGAGGCAATGTCAAACTCGGTCAGCGAGCTGCCGTAAACACGCGACATGTTCATCGCGGTGGCCTGGGGATCTCTGAATCTGGGAGCTCTGCTATTCCACGTCTTGTCATGCTGTTGGCACATAGCAAGAGCCTCTGCAGATGCCGACGAGCTTTCTGAATGTGTCCCGTTCGTAACAGGATGCCCTGCTTCCTGCAAATCAGGCATACCCTGTTGCAAAAGTGTCTCAGTGGACTGGGCAAGCAACTCTCTATATTTCCGGATAAGCTTGAAGAGCCTGTGGTGTGATCGTTTTGCGCTTTCTCTGAGAGCGATAATGTTTGTGTCCTTCCAGCTTGCAAGCTGAATCTGTTCTTTGATTTCCTTTTCGAGAGACTGTCTACCCTCCTCGATAGACTTCGAAATGACAGATTCGAACTGCCGATAGTGCTGCAAGAAGTTCTCAAGAGCAGCAACTAAACGGCTCAGAGGTGGAGATTCCTTTGCGTATAGCAGCAGGAGCGATTTGAAGGATTCCACGAGCCGTAGACGAGGGCTGAACTGACCCATGGTTGTCGACTTGAAGAAACTTTCGAGAGTGGAAACAGTCTCTTTTGTATAATTCGTGATATCTTCTCCCGTCTCTACCATCTGCAAGGGAACCGCCAGTAACACCTCGTATGCGATGAACCACCAGGAGCTCGCGTCTTCCTCGCATTTCTCATTTTCAATGTCCAGTAACTTTGCCCATGTCGCCAGTTCCAGGCGCCTCCAGCTGATGATCAGAGCTGTCAGGTCGTTGTACTGAGAGGCGGCCGAATATTCCCTGCTTGCCACAAGCTGCCATTCGTGAACGAGGGCATGAAGCTTTTCCACCTTCGTTAGAAACTTTGCAACTGGCTCCACATGCCTAAATTGAAGAACCTCCTGGCAGCAGACAAGAACATCGTGGATTGCTGCATGTTCCGGCCAGACAGTTTGGAGCTGACTGAAACGCGACTGCACCGAAAGAACCAACGAGACAAGCTTCTTTGCTTCGGAAATGTTTGGATCCGTGTAGAAATTATAGCTTCTTGACGGAACTTGCCCAAATTTCTTCATTTCATCATCAAGCGCAAGAATGATACCTGGAAGATGGGCTTGCGGCGGTAGAGCTGTTGGGGACGACTTGTTGTTTGACCAAACAGACCCGAGCAGACGAGCCGAATCAGTGATGAGCGCTCGTACCCTTGTTTGTACATCTCCGGGCTCAAAAATTGCGGAATGGAGTCTTGATAATCTAAGAGAGACAGACTTCGGGTCAATGCGCGAATCTTCCCTTTCTCCTTCGGCGCCATCTTCGTAAGTTGGGAACAGTTTGCGAAACTCAGCTTCGTCCGCTTCTTCTTCGTCCTCGAAAGAGCCTTTGTAACGATATAACTGGGACCTCTGAGCCTCTTCTTTCTGTTCATGTCTTAGCTGCGTCTTCCATAGTCGATAGAAGAAATCGAGTATGCGGCTCAGAGCGTGAAGGCCCTCAGGCGCGTGCAGTGTTGAAAGATCTGCGCTATGTGCCGCCACTAAGACTGAGAGTTCCTGAAATTGTACATCTGTAGGGACTTTCAGAGCCAATTCCTCTTTTCTTGTCCCTGAACTTGACAGCAGATGCTGCCTGCCACCAAGGAATGGGGTCCTGTCACTAATTGCTTGTACGGACGTGACATCTAAGGAGCTCGGGACCGCGCTCAAGACAAGTGAAATTCCCAGGTCCAGCATTTGGAGAAATCGGCTAGCAAGTACTGTGATGTCGTCATATGACCTGAAGCTTGACCGGAGACGCTGGCATATCCGTTGAATGTTGTCATGCAGAAGGCCGCCATATTCCCGAAACTCTGCAGCTCCATAATTGTCTGGTCTTCTGCCCAAAACAGAGTTTATCAAATTGGAGAATTCGCCTTGCAGTTGCATTAATTGAGATTGGCTTGGCCGGGTGACAGGAGGAGCTGGGGGTTCTGATCCGAGGTCTTGCAGCTCCTTCTGTATCAAACGGCGACGTAAGTTCACAGACTGGCCAGAGAACTCAAGTTCAAATGCCATAATGGCCTTGTCCCTAGCAGCAAGCTCAGAAACTTGCTGAGCATAACGTCTCCGCTGAATAACTAAGCCAAGAGACGGATCGCATGGTTTGTCAGGGACGAAAAGGCGCAGGCAAATGACTGCCAATTCGATGGAAATACGACCAACTTCATATACATTTCCATCAGAGTATGTCCCTCTCATCGTTAACGCCTGTAAGCACTTCGAGAGACCCCCAACAAATTCCCTGAAGTAATGGTCGCTTGGGAGAGACTCGCTTGGCAGAAGTTCCGGGACTGGTGGACCGTCATACCATCCCTTTTCCTCGACAGTCCGGAGGGCATGCACAGCAAGCTCAAAGCGATCTGAGTTCAAAAAATCTCTGTGCAGCTCCATGATTTCCAGACAGACTCTCGAAAAGGCCCTTAGAAGAAGTCTGATCTGATCAAGAGCAATTTCTTGAGAACTCAGCGCTAGGGCTTGGGCTAGAACATGCTCTTCGGTCTCCAGGAATTCAAGCCGGCCAAGCGTCACGTCACCAACGAACGCCAATCTCTCCAGTAGAGAAAGAGAGAAATTCCCATTCCAAGGAGATACGATGTTTGGCAGCGCTTCACAACCATTGTACGAGGATAATTTTTGCAGCATATGCGGAACCAGAGACCCGAGATTAGAGGTATCTGATGGGCGCGCTGGCCGACCTGCGAGTAACGGTAGAGTGCTATTCAGAATTTGGTTATCCATGTATCTGTTCTGAGACCAGATGGTCGGCAAGTCGTGGTATTGACAGAGTGTCTCGAAGACGCCGGAGAAATGAGGACGCTGATCCGGGTCGTAGAGGTTGATAGCAGAAGCAAGCTCGCTAACTTGTTGCTTCAAGGCCTAATAGCAGTGAGTATCAGATTTCGCTAGAAGGGATAGAAATTACCTACCTGCACCAGAACATTGCCATCTGCTCCGTTTCGAAGCACTGAATTCTGCGCATCGATTAAGGAATTTCGTACCCGACTAAGTTGACCTAGGTCAAGCCGCGCTTGGAGAGCAACAGTAGCGAAGTGCGATACAACCCCTTCAAGATCGATGAGACACTTCAGTTGGTCGTTGTCGACGCAGGTTATCGGTCGCCAGGAGTCCCAGATTCTCTGCATGCTTAATCCTGTAGTCAAAGCCCACGTTGACTGAAATCTAGCGAGGAATTGGGCGAAGAAGGAAGCCAGAGGTTCTAAGAGAGGTCCTTGATCGAGTGCAGAAGAGTGGATATCCTGACCAATTTGAAGATAAGTCTGAAATTCCCCCTCATCCATGTCCTTGGCCTGCGTAGCTGCAAAGATATCCCAACAGAACCTGGTAATAGCTTTCAGAGCAGAAAGAGAGCCGGAAGATAGGGGAATTGTACTATCCAGACTTTGAATAAACTGGTGGAGAGACCGACTGCAATCAATCAGGAACGAACTGACAGGCTGTGTTGAGTCTTTCATCAAGGCCGGTATTCTCCCAGAGGCCAATGAACGCTCCAATCGCGTCATTTGAGAAGGCTTGAGATACTGGGAATTTTCATTCGCTCGAGCCATACTCTGTTGCATATGATGCAGACTGAGTTTGAGTTCTTGCAAACAGGCGACGATACTCAGTTTATCTATAGAAGTCGCTCCAACAAAAGCCAGCGGCTCGTTGATAAGAGGATGAACAAGCTGATCATTTCTGTTAGCCAGCAATTTCCATTGAGAGTTTTCCTCCACGACTGCGATGTATCTGGAGATCGTAGGAAGGAGATTCTCCAACACAGGTTTATCCGAATGACGTGAAACGAAATTTCGAATTGAGTCTTGAAATCGCTCCAGGTCCGGCGTTGCTAGATGGTCCAGACAAAGCTCGAAGGACACGTCGCGGATATCTTCTGCAACCGTATTTTGATTGAACTTCCAGATATTGCGTAGGCGGTACAAGAGAGACTGACAGGTATAGGAAGGTCCAACTGATCGACCATGGTCGTCCATGGCGTGTGGCAAGAAACATATCTCGACAGATCTGTTCCGCATAGCACGAGATAACTCCCCATTTCGAGGATCCATCGTTAGAAATAGCCTGAAATTGGGATGAGGTACGATCACCCTCGCAGAGCCATCTTCCGTCCTCTGCTCGTTCAAAACAAGGTAACCGTTTGGCTCCATTAGGGAGTTGAGGCGATCAAGAACGGACGCGTTACATAAGTTTGCATTGTCGAGAACCACCCAATAGCCACGTTGGATAGCTTCGGTGAGAGCACCCTCGGTCCATTCGAAGCCGACCTTATTCGCATCCTTGGACACTTCCACCAGGACATTGCACCGACGGAGAAAGTCTTCAACATCTAGATCAGGGTAACTCGACCTTAGCATGGTGATTGAGGAGAGCAATCCGTCCAAGGAGACATCTGCATTTTGGCAAAGCTGATAAACTTGAAGGAGATTGGATATCGATTCTGAAGACTCTCCGGAACAAAGAGAGGTGACAATGTGGCGATGAAGAAACAACTCCAAGTCCTTGGCAAGCGACGAGATCTGTCTCCGATAGTCAATCTGCTCAAAGCCGCCGATCAAATCCATTGTGTCGGTATCAGCACTCAGAGCTAATTCGACTAATTGAGCGCCATTGATAGCTGCAAGTTTGCGGAGTATGGTTGTTTTGCCACATCCAGCTGGTCCTACTAGAATGCTTGGCCATGCTTTCTCTATGCAAAGAATGAGTGACTCCAGAATGGGAAGATCACTCGGGGTAATCTTCAACTGTGGTTCATGGAGATGTTGAAGAACAAGATCTCTCTGCATGAATCCACATCCAACTTGGAAACTATGCGTGGTGAGATCATGATAATAGGATTTATCTGGCGGTGGCTCTCCAAATGTTCGCTTAAAAAGTTGGGAGATCAGGAGTCGATCCTCCGCCGTGCGGAATCTCTGGCTGATGATGGTGTCAAGGAAATGGCCAGTAGGAATCTGGACACGACCACGATCAGCTAGTTGGAGCCATCTTGTGATATCACGGAGGTTGATTTCCCACGGTCCACCAACACTTCCTAGCTGTCGGTCTTGGGCGATAGTCGTGTTCAGCAATGAAATGAAGTCCACGAGCTTTCCAGTTTGTTCGAGAGGGCTGCCTGGAAAGAGTTTTGCGCAAATTTTCTTCAAGTCTGTGTCGCTAAATGAATCGGCGTACACGACTGTAAAGCGATTGACAAACGAAGCAGGCAGGCCCTTTCTGCCGCCTCCCTGGTGATGGGGATTTTGGGCGGCAAAAAGAACGAAATCAGGATGTCGCTTGAAGGTCTGGTCTAGCTCAGCAACATAAACCTGTTGTCGATGGTCCAGGCAGGAATTCAGTCCCTCGAGCACAGACTGAGAGGCCAGATTCATCTCATCCAGCAATACCCAATCTCCGCGTTGCATTGCCTGCAGGAATGGTGCATCTCTCCAAGCAAACTGTCCGACATCACCGCCTTCTACTGGGACGTCCGACCCAAATAGATCAGTGAGATCGGTTTGCTCTGAGAGGTTGATACGAGTAAGAGGCTTTCCAAGTGCTCGAGCTAGAGATGCCACCAACGTGGTTTTTCCAACGCCAGGACTACCTTCGAGAAGGATTGGTTTTGATACTTGTAAACCTCGGGCAATTCGAACAGAATTAGCGACAGTTGTAGGGGCATCCATGACGAACTGAGGGTCAGGAGCAGATTCCGCACACATCGGGAGCTTGAAAGGGCCCACGCAGAGATATCCGTCGGTCACCGAGACAGTGGCAGGCTGATAGTAGATGCGGGAGGCATCGAACCCAAATAGTTCGCTCAGCTTTTGAAGACACATGTCACGATTCTTTCCGATACTATCTGGTGCCATGGAAAGCATTGCCGAAGGATTAGCGCCTAGGGTGTCGATAAAAACCATGGCTGCACCGTGTATGAGTGCAAACTCGACGTCAGGGATTGAGCATTTGTTGACGAAGTCCACCCATGCAAGAAGATCACGAATTGAGACAGAGGTAGCTGAGGAACTTTGAAACGTTTTCTTGAACCATTTCGCGAATTCCAGCATCGCCTTCGCGCAACCCGTGGCCCGTGAGGTCAATTTCGCCGTCAGGATTGGTAAGATGTCCTCGTCTTCTGACAGCTGTGGAACCCATATCTCCGTAAGTCGATTCCTTAGAGCCGCTGACAATTCTCTCTTTCCGTAATCACCACCAGGGTTCATTGTTGCGAGAAATTGGAATCCCTCTCTGGCCACCACCAAGGAATCAATGGGACCTTTCTCAGCAAGGAGGAGTGATCGATGAGGTTCAAGGACGCTATTAAGCCTCTCAAGAACAGAGTCATCAGCGAGAGAAATCTCGTCCAGAAGAAAATATTGGCCAGCTTTCATAGCAGTCACGAGACTCCCATCAGACCACTCGAACAGGGCATGAGACCGTGCCATATTCGTGTTAATCCGTCTCAATAGTTCTGGATCGCTGGATTTCACTTGTTCCGGACTCAATTGAGAAAACATCTCTTTCAGCAAATCCAGACTTTTGGCCTCGACATCCTCGCCGAGTCCTGGTAGGTCCCGCATGAGAGCTCGCAAATCGTCCAGCAGCTGTTTTTCGATTGCAGATCGATTCCTCAGTGGTCTTTGGGCACCTATCAGATCACCCGTCTCTAGATTGACATGGGCGTTAACTGTGAAGAGCTCCTTGCCATGGGTATCTGCCACTGCCTGGCAAAGCTGGGTCTTCCCACAGCCAGTTTCACCCACTAGAAGCACAGGTTCGTTGTTCTCAAGTGCCTGTGAAACTAGGATGAAGAGACGCCTCATTGCCTTTGTCCAAACGATCCCGTCTGGAAGAGTCCGATTAAGCGTGCGCTTCTCCAGCTCAGAAGAGCTGTAAATGGCATCTTCATCGATGTGAACCCGCATCACCTCTTCTATCACCTTCTTTACAGCTTCCCTTTCCTGCGGATTGCGAACTCTTTCTGCAAGTAGCATGAACCCATTAATGGCCAATTGCTCGCGATCATCAGCCCGACGAAGGGCCCATCGAAAGAGATCACGCAGGGTAGCGAAGCTATTCTTTTGCTCAAAGAGTCTGCTAGACTGTCTTAACATAGAAAGCTTCTTGTAAACAGAAACAATTCTGGTACAGAAAGAAGGTGCGATCTGGCTTCTTTCTTTAAGGATAAACTCCAACTCGTCCTCGGGGATGTCGTCAAAGTGCAATTCAAGGAACCGATTTCGAAAGGCGCGTGACAAGACCTTCCGTCCGCCATACAGACCAGCAGGATTTTGCGTGGCAAAGAGCATAAAGTTTGGGTGCGGGTGAATGACTTCCTGCGTTTCCGGCAGAAACAGTTCTCTGTTGTCGTCTAGAAGGCGATTCAGCGCCTCTAACACGTCCGAAGGTGCCAAGTTGAGTTCGTCGAGGACAATCCAATATCCATTCCTCAGTGCTTCCACGAGTATACCTTCCTGGTAACGTAATGTCCCGTCGTCACCAGACACGTAAGAACCCAGGTATTCTTGCAAATCCGTGTGGTCGTGATTGTTGATGCGGACGAATTTATTTCCAGAGATCTTTGCCAGATATTCGACCATGCTTGTCTTTCCTGAAGAGGTCGGCCCTTGTAGCAGAATCGGGAACCGCCGGGTCGAGCTGGCTCTTAGCAGATTCTTCAGGTTTTTCTCAATGAATGGAGTGATGATATAATGAGGCTGTTTTTCTGGGGTGAAGGGACCCTTCCTCATCCAGTAGTGCTTGAACTGCACATACTCATGACCATCATTAGGCGGTCTAGGTGTCTGGCTGAGAAGTGACCTCGCATTCTTGGCGGTATCGAATATATACTTTTCAATGAGCGGTGCGACTAGCTTCTCTGACTCTTGACTCAAAAGTGTCAAGAAGCTCATGCAAAAGCCCTCATATGCAGCCCGTCGAATTCCGTAAATATGCACATGATCGACGACGTAGATGAGGGTTCGCACTAGCGTACGAATACTGAAGTGCGGTCGCTGTCCAGCTCCATCCGTAAGTCTATTCTCCACTGCCAACTGCTTCGTTTTCAGGTACAAATGAGCAAGGTCTGATGGCAAGCGAAGGTCGCCGATCGTCAGATCTCCTAGATAAGTCTGAATCAGACCAAGCAGATCATCGAAGTCGCTATCTGGGGAATGAACGTAAATTTCCGTAAACCGAGAACGTAGCCCAGGAGCCAAGTCCCTCTTTCCTGCATCGGTAGCGGGGTTCATAGCTCCAAATATGCGGAAGTCTGGATGCCCATAAACCCTTTCAACATCTCCGGCTTCCGAGAGCAGTACAGACGGCCGGCCCTCATCACCATGATGGAGCAGACTCGCGATACTCTCCAGTATATCGGGAGTAGCTAAATTGATCTCGTCTAACAGGACCCATTCGCCGTTTCTCAGAGCCCGAACGATCTTTCCCTGGACAAAGGCAAAGACAAATTTCGAATCCCCTCTGGTTGCGTGGGCCTCGAATTCCTTCAATTGAGCGGCAAACGCCTCCCACTTTTCCCGCAGAGCTACGTACTTCGGCGAGTCTAGCTTTCTCTTCTTTGACGGCTGTTCCTCGTTGCCCGTCTGCGGTTGACTGGCATCTTGGGACACACGAAAAACGCCTTGGGCCATGCGAACGGCCTCATGCCAAAGATTGACCAACCGGGGCCAGTTGCCTGCAGTAACACTCTTTGCCACAGATGAAAGAAACTTTTGGTTCTTTTTCGCCGAAAACGTGAGCTCGAATAGCTGGTTAAATTCATCCAGCAGAGGAACGGCCATCGAGCGAAGATTGACAGGTCTAAAGCCCCCAAGAAGGTCTGTGCTTTCACTCTGCTGTGAAAGGTTCACGACAGTGAGTTTTTGGCGCATCAGACTCGCCAGTTGTTGAATAACAGCCGTTTTACCAATGCCGGTTTCTCCGACAAGCAAGACAGGCTCCGCAACTTGCACGGCTGCCGCAATCTGCTCCATAGTTTTCAGAGCAGCTCTTGTGGGAGCAAACCGAGAGGAGCTTTCCGAAAATTTCTGTTTAGCCATCTTGGAAACCTTCATTTTCGTGAAAGACTCTCTTCCAAGGACAAGGTTGCTGTCACGATCTGCGTATGGAGGAGTGCGCTCGTGGAGGCAGAACTCTGCTCTCTGAGGAGATAGTTGAAGCACTTCTGCCACAACAGACGATAGCTTGTTTCCGAGAGCTCTGTCAGGGAGATAACGAAGGAAGACGTCCACAGCATCCAGAAATATCTCATCCTGAACACTTTCAGGAGTCGCTTCGTTACCGGTCTTTGCACCCAAACGCTGAAGTCTCCGATTTAATCTGTTGCATAGCTTAATGAGGTCACGGAAGCCGGGTGTCCTTCCCTGGGAGCTTCTCACCGCGAGACTGCTGTGAAAAGCGGAGCAGAGTCGATCATACACATCCATTAATGTTGGCACTCGCGATGACAGCAAAGGATACTTTTGACTGATTACGTCACGGATCTCATCCAAAGGTAACGAATTGATCTGGATTTTTTCCCAATGCCTAATGCCCAGTAAACCATGACCGGGAGCAATTTCCTCTCCCTTATTGTTGAGTGAGGACTTCATCGTTGCAACGATTCTAAATCCATCCGCGCATTTGATCCGTTCTTTTCTGCTTGGGATAATCAGTTCTCCCTTCTCAATAATAGGAAGCATGAGTCCAATGACTTCTGAAGGAGCCCGATCGAGGTCTTCGATCAACACCCAGCGGCCCTCTCTTGCGGCTTTTGTCAACACTCCAGGCTGCCACGCAAAAGCCCCAGTCATGGAAGACGTCGCATACATCCCAAGCAGACTCTTTGCATCAGTCTGCTCGTTCAAATGAAGTGTGACCATAGATGATCCTTGGCCCATCGTTTTTGCAATATCATTGACCAGGGAAGTTTTCCCAGAATTTGGCAATCCAACCAGGAGAAGTGGCTTGGGCCGAAGCAGTGCTTTGGCAATCTTCTGGAGATTTTGCACGACTGTGGGTGTCTTCACAAGAACAGATTCAGCAGCAGGCGCGTCCCATCGCACTTTCGGAACAAGAACTCCACCGATATCAGCAGTACGAGCTGTCAGGTGGGCTCTGAATTTCTCTACTTGAGTCAGCGCATCCTCTGCTGATAGTAAACTGCGTCTCTGCTGAAGATTCTTGTCAAGAGTCTGCCACCGTCGTTCTTCCCACAGCCCGACAAGCCTGTAGTCAATGGTGATGCCCTCCCATTCTCCCTCAATGGGCCCATCGCCGATATGAGCTTGTAGCATCTTCTCTGTAGATGCGTCCGCGGCATGCATATATAAACAGAAACAGCGGATAGCCAAGTAGCGCACGCATCTATCAGAGTGCTGGAACAATGACTGGAGTTGAAGCGGCGACACGGCGCTCGAGAACGACTCCAGGTCGAAAGACAATAGGCGAAACACCGCCAGAAGCAGTGTGCGGATCGTAACATCGTCCAGTTCGAGAAGCTTCAACTCCCTAGAAGTGGCCAATGCAGTCAAGGGTCCATCTTGCGCTGCGACGCAGCGGCTAGCGAAAGATCGGAGGAATGGCGCAAAGGGCAGAATTCGAGAGAATGCCGAGATGACTCGAAATTGATGGACCTGAGGATCCAACGACAGCCACCTGGCTGCCAAATCCACGAAAAGAGGCTCGTGGGATGAAAATACCCATTCCGTACAGTTGGGTTCCAGCGCCGCAAGCGCGAGCGCGTCTAAATACTGAGACCCAGAAGCGCTGCGTAAGAGCTCCGCAAGGTGCTCTGGAAGCAGGCGCAACATCTGGGACTCCGAAAGAGTCCCCTCATAGGCAGGTCTACCATCCATACTGGGCGCCCTACCGCTGGGGGGAAGCTCTTGATTGACTTCGAGCGAAAGTCGATGGATTATCAAGTCCAGCGGAAACTTTTTTGATAGTTTTATTTTCTGCCGCTGTACTGTGGCGTCGGGAGCTCACCGCCTTCGATCTGATCGGCGGAACCGGACTAGCAGACTTATCGGTTATCGGGCCGGGTCAACTACCTAGCTCCCTGTCAGCCTGCGGAACCTTGGAAGCCGATCAAGGCCATCCATCGAGTATGGCAGCCAGGTCCTGCAGGCTCTGTGTCCTCGATGTGCTCGGATGACAAGCCATGTCGGTGACAACGCCTGGCTCAAGCGGTCACGGTCAACAGACCTTTCCGCAGGATGTGTACGGGAACGAGGGACGAGACATTGACGGACACGATGATTCCGACAGCGACGATCCCGTGTTGAGGCATCAACGCGACGAGGCACTGTTCGCTGACGATCCGCTTGCACAGAGCCCTGAGGACCCGTGAGTCAAGATTATTATGCATCTGGCTATGGCTGCTTCTAATCATGTCTCTAGCATTTCTTTTAAGCGCAAACAGAAACGGCCCGCTCGTTTCCGCCTAGGGAATCTCTTCTCCAACAGCGCCGGCGGCTCACCCCCAAGACCTAATCAATCGACGTCCCAAGTCGCAAGAGAGGATTCTTTACAAGGGTTGTCCAGTTCCTCCGGGTTTCATGGGCAGTCCACTACTCACGGAGGCATCGACGGTTTCAAAGAAGGAGGACCGCTAGATTGGTATGTGGAAGGGCCAGGTCGAAGGGTGGGATATGACGATCTCACGGCCATTGATTGGATTTTCGAGTATACAAAAGAACGACAAAGGAAGAGGCTACTTTATTCCAGCGGTCAGGGGCTCCTAGGCCATTTCCGCCAATTGCTCGACGCGAGCCATGTCTGGGTGGTGCTTGTCGCGACGGGTGTGGCAGTCGGAATCATCGCAGCATGCATTGATATCGCAAGCGATTGGTTAGGTGATCTAAAGGCCGGATACTGCAGAAGTGACAGAGGAGGCGGCAAGTTTTATCTCAATAAGAATTTTTGCTGTTGGGGCCATGAAGGTGACACACGCCTATGCGACTAATATTTTCTCTCCAGCGCTAATGTCTGCCCAAAATCCAGAATTTTCGCAGTGTATTGGCTGGACGTCGTGGAGTAGAGCTTTGGGAATAAATTCCGCTGGCGGAGCATATGTGGTCGAATATATTTTTTTCGTTGTATTCTCCGTATGTGCTCTCTCCGCACTTGCTTGCTCCTGATGATTTCTAACATTTTGAGTGGAAAAGGTGCTTTTTGCTTCTTGTGCGAGCATCCTCGTCCGCAATTATGCACCATATGCAAAACATAGCGGAATTCCGGAGATCAAAACGGTGCTCGGGGGCTTTGTTATGCGGCGGTTCATGGGAGCATGGACCTTGGTAATTAAATCGTTGGGTCTGGTATGATCTCTTCTATGCCTTTAAAGTCCCGTTCACTACTTACGCTCAAATAGTGTCTTGCTGTCGCCTCTGGCATGTGGTTGGGGAAAGAAGGTCCACTGGTACACGTTGCTTGTTGCTGTGCAAATCTGATGATGAAGCCATTTGACGTTTTAAATAGCAATGAAGGTACGGGTAGTGCATATGATCATTCATAATTACTCATGCTGAAAAATTTTACAGCAAGGAAACGGGAAGTTTTGTCTGCGGCGGCAGCAGCAGGCATTTCCGTTGCCTTCGGAGCTCCCATCGGCGGCGTTCTATTTAGCTTAGAGGTATGCCTGTTCAAGATAACGTCCTTTTCACAGTTTACTCTAACTGTCATTAGCAATTGTCGTATTATTTTCCTGATAAGACCATGTGGCAGAGTTTCGTATGTGCTACGGTCGCCGCAGTCACTCTGCAAGCCTTGAATCCTTTCCGCACTGGCAAGATCGTGCTCTACCAGGTCACCTATACCCGGGGATGGCATCGGTTCGAGATCCTCCCGTTTGTGCTCCTCGGCATTGTGGGTGGTCTCTATGGAGGCCTATTCATCAAACTGAACATGAAGGTGGCAAGATGGCGCAAATCGCGAGGTTACTCTAGTCCGGTCCTCGAAGTAGCACTAGTCGCCTTCATTTCAGCAATGATTGACTTTCCAAACAAATTTATGAGGGCTCAGGCGTCTGAACTCGTCTACTCGTTATTTGCCGAATGTTCGACTTCTACAGACGATCAACTGGACCTTTGCAAGACAGGTGCTGCATCTGCTGGTGTAATTGCTCTCCTCCTCCTTGCCGCTGTCTTGGGCTTCTTCCTGGCATCCGTAACTTTCGGCCTGGAGATCCCTGCTGGCATCATCCTCCCTTCCGTTGCTATTGGTGCCCTTTACGGCCGCGCTCTCGGCATCGCGTTCGAGATGTGGCAGACTGCCTACCCGGACTTCTTTCTCTTTCGCAACTGTGAGCCTGACGTCCCGTGCATCACTCCGGGAACATATGCAATCATTGGCGCTGCTTCAGCCCTAGGCGGTGCTACCAGAATGACGGTCTCAATAGTGGTCATCATGTTTGAGCTGACCGGCGCCTTGACCTATGTGATCCCCATCATGATTGCAGTTATGCTTTCTAAGTGGTGTGGTGATACATTTGGCAAACGAGGCATCTACGAGTCGTGGATCCATCTCAAGGAGTATCCGTTTCTGGATCACAGGGACGACAAACCGCCGCCAGACGTCCCGGTTCACAAAGTCATGACGAATATTGATGATCTCACTGTGATTCCTGCAGTTGGTCATACTATCGAATCTCTTAGAAATCTTCTGGCGAAAACATCTTACCGCGGATTCCCTGTGGTGCTTGACACGTCTAATCCAATTTTGCTCGGTTATATATCCAGGACGGAATTATCCTATGCCCTAAAATCCTCCACGTCACCCACTAACCTACCTCCGGAGACTCAGACTCTTTTCGTTCATCAACCGTTTGCCGACCCGCTGGAGACGCTCGACCTTCGACCCTGGATGGACCAGACTCCTATTACTCTTAACAGCCACATCAGCTTTTCGATTGTGCTGAGCATGTTCCAGAGACTTGGCTTACGCTATGTGTTATTTGTCAACAAAGGCATTCTTCAGGGCCTGCTCACCAAGAAAGATGTTTGGCTCATACTCAACGGAGCTGAGACTCGTAGAGAGAAGGGCTTAGGAGATGGAGTTTTAAGGGAAGGCAATGCCGCAGAAGAGATGGGTTTGCTAGCCAGTGACGACGGCAATAGTGTGATTAGCCCCTTGGAGAGCCGTCAATCACTCTGAAGGCTTATTGGGTTTGCTTTTGTGTTGTATAGATCTCTGTTTGAAAAGATATCCACCATATGACTGCTTAATGTCATGATCTTCACTTATTTACACGTACTCCACTGTAGAACAATGTTCTGGTCGACCCGGTCTTCGGAAATTGGAAAATGGCCCGAAACGCAATCATCAAGGCTACAGCATGTTTGTGTCGTGGAGAGGACAAGAAACTTAATGGCTTTCTTTCTTTCTTTCTTTTTTCTTTTCGGGAAAAATCAAGATACAGGGAGAAAACAAGGATTTCCCAACGTCCTAAGAAATACACCAGTTTTCAACATCGAGTCTACCACCGGGTACCATTAACACCCTGGACGCCTTTCCCGAGCTGGCTCGCAACAACAGTTGCTTCTCTAACAGAACGCGCCAGGCTCCCTCTGACTGCAGCCTCCTCGAGGACGAGCAGTCCACCGATGGTACACCCACCAGGGGAGGAAACCTTCTCTTTAACAATGGCGGGATGTTCGCCATTCTGAATCATACTAACAGTGCCCTGCATAACTTGACAGGCCATGAGCTGTGCCGTGGCGCGCGGCAGGCCCATTGCCACAGCCCCATCCGTGAGTCCTTCGAGGACCAACGATACGAAGGCAGGGCCAGAGCCAGCTAGTGCGGTACAAACATCCATCTGGGACGGCGGGAGATGGACCACCTTGCCAATGCGTGTGAAGATCCAGGAAACCAACTCATTCCACTCAGAAGGCAAGGGAACCTCTGGGGTGCCAATAACAGTCATCGACTCTCGAACCATGGCTGCGGTGTTGGGCATAGCGCGTACGACCGTGCATCTCTCCGACACAGGAACCAACCCGTCCGGATACAAAGTATCTTCCACTTGCTTGACAGAGACTCCGGCCAAAACACTGATCAGCAACTTGCCCTTCAGAGCCTCCCGGATACCAGGGGCGGTCAACACATCCTTAAGCATATAGGGTTTGCAACCCAGAAGAACGACATCGGCTTCCTGGACGCCTTTGAGGTTTTCTTTCTGGAGGACTGTTACGGGAAATTTGGGGTAAACGCTGACGGCATCTTGAATGCGCTTCGCTGATTCAGGCCGCTGTACGCATGCTATAAATCTCGTCGGAGGCTGAAAAGAAGGATTCTGTATTTGGTTCTCTGTTTCCGAGAGAGAAGAAAGGATTCCCGTGAGGATAGCAAGACCCAAACTCCCTGCACCCTCTTGTGATTAGTGACATCTGTGTTTCTGCATTCTGACCACTGCGCTGTCATACCGCATCCTAGGAAAGTGAGAGTCTTCTCTGATCCATCACGGCCATTGGTGGGGCCCTGGGCAGACATTTTCTTTAGCAGTGCCAGTAAAGCAAACGCCACAACAAATGGTAATAAGTGGCCCCTGAAATATTGTGGTTGCAGAAAACAATGTCTTATCGATCGCTTCTGTCTTCACTTTTTGTCACTCTGACAGTCCAATCCACAATGCTCCCCAGATTCGGGCGGCGTTCCGATGGCGGACTGGAATCCCCACTTATTCTGCCCGCCAATGCACTCACCGCCTTACAGGAAGACCAATAGCCGCAGCGTACCCCGTTCGCCGCATCGGAGCATCAGGTAGCTTTTCCCCCTCAGCTTCAGTTGTGCAAGCAACTCACCACCTTTGCTTTTGTTGTTGTGTCAAACAATTTCCATCATGACAGATCCGTTTGAAGTGCGCATGCGCTTCACAGCGCAGCTCCAACATCTAAGTGCGTCTGTCACATCATCCCAGAAAGCCGCCCACTATGCTCTCAAGTACCGCGACATGGACGAGGATCTTCACTCGTGTATTCTAGAACAGCTCGAAAGGGTTCGTTCCACTGTACTCTACAAGATGGAAGACTAAGCGTCTCTAACGGTTTCCCCAGAATAACATGAACAACAGAGCGAACATCATGTATTTCATCGAGCATTTCTGCGAAATGGCCACGAAGGAAAACCACCTTAACTACGTCCGGATGATTCAGAGGGATATTCTGCGCGTGGTCGATGCTGTTGCGCCAGCAGACGGGTCCGGTGCTGCCAACGTCAAACACGTCCGTCGGGTCCTCCAGGGTCTACAGAACAAGTCGATTCTCTCTGCCGAAACCGTGGCGGAGATTGACGCCGCTCTCAAAGAGCGTGAAACGCACCCCTTACACCTGCTTGACCTTGAACCTGCGGAGGGACAGGATGCCTCGGGGAAATCGAAGTCGGGGACCCCGCGAGGGTCGAAAGCCAACGGTATCATGCGTGTCGATAAAAGGCAGATCGAGCAGCGGATTGAAGAGGATCGAGAGCGCAACAAACGTCTACGAGAAAGCATGTGGGCGGTGAGCGGTGACGACCGAGGCGAGTTTCGGAAGTTCTGGGACGAGGGTAGTGATACGGGGGAAGATGATTATCTCGGAGCCGAGGAAGAAGTCATGGAAAGGAACCAAATGGTGGCTGTGTGAGCCATTGGCTTTTCTGTATTTTTCTTGTTCCTCTTTTTTCTCTCTCTCCAGGTCTTTTTTTGCAAGTCCTGTCTGGCTACAGGGTATTTCGGAGTTATGGGTCATGAGAACGGCTGCTATGGGAACTGGCGTGCATTATTTACATACATTACGGAATACATGTATTTTTCTGGCCTTTTACTAGAGTGTCAAGGTGTTTGGTGTTACCAGGGATAATCCTCACAGATACCAAGACTTCAAGGCATTTGGTCAATATGTGTACGGACGCTGCAAACAAATAATGCTGAGCGTCAATGCCACTTTTGTCAATTAATGTCTGTATTCGTATCTGCAATTACCGTAGTTTTTATACAGACGGAGTAGGGTTACCCTTCGGTGAAACGTAAACCCGGGTAGTCGCGAGTGGATCCACGAAGCGGTGGGTTTTTTGATCTCCGCTCCGGAAAATAAAAAATACAGCAGCAAGTTTGCAGCGGCATACCGCCCTTTCTTTTTGCAGTACTGGGCTTAATTAGGGCTGTTTGCAATTGACTTTCGTTTTTTTGGTCGCCCTATGTTCTCGCAATTTTTCACTGCGGCAAAGGGTCTATTCGCAACGCAGGACTCCGCCCCAGACGTCTCATCCGCCGACTCTCTTGCGGCCTCCACGAACGGACCCCAAAATCAATCGCCTCAAACTTCTAACATGGTGACTGTTACAAGACAAGGGCAGATTTCGTCCCCGGAGTCTGGGGATTCTCCAAAGTTGAATGACTCTGGCATCGCGAACGGAAAGAGGAAGGGTCGCCCGGTTGGCTCAGGCAATACGGACGGTCAATCCAACAAGCGGAGGAAGAGAGAGTCCTTGGAGGTCTCCGAGCAACACGATTCTCCTGACATACCAGAAACACAAGATGTGAATGGTGGGGTGCAGACCGGCGCTGTCGATGGAGTGGAATCCCCCAGTGAGGAAAAATTACAAGCCTCACAAAACAAAGATCAAATTGCAGAGGAGTCCGCATCAGCTCCGAAAAAGTCAAATCACATTCGATTTGGAAGCGAGGAACCCGACGAACCAGTGAACATGGTGGAAGAGGAAGTTGCAGAGACTCAACAAGAAGAGGAGGAGGAGGAAAGCGATGACGATGAGGCACCTGAAGCCATCGATAATTCTGCCCAGTTGAAGGCACTAAAGGCTCAAACACAGAAGCAGGAAGAGGCTAAAAGGAGGTTTGTGCTGGTCTAAGACTACACGAATTGACCCATCAGGCTGACTGCTTTCAGGGCCGAACTTCTGAAGAAAGAGAAAAGAAGACAGTTGGATGAACAGCTCAAGTTACAGGCCAAAGCGTCGGGCAAGAAAAAGAAGGAGTCATCAGTGGGATCGCGAACGTCCGAGCATAAATCAGCTCCAGATGACTCGGTTTCCGAAAGCACCGCAACCCTTCAAGGGTCAGTCGCGAAGGAGTCGGGCCGCCTTACCCTCCCTGCACTTCTCCCTGACGAGATCTTGAACGCGGAACCTGTTGCTAGGCCTCCAACGCCTCCACCAGAGTCAGGCGACCTTCAGCGGAAAAAGCCCCAAAAACTCAAGTTTCTTGAGAAGGCGGAGAAGCCACCCAAAGATATCCATCGTGGTGGTGTGACCATTCGGGTTCTAGAGGACCATTCGTCCAGCAAGAAAGCGACGCCCACTCTACCGCCGAAGATGTCCAAAGCAGGACGCAATATACGAGAGGCCTGGATAGCTGGCCAACGCAACAAGAATAATCTCAACGGTCTCAGACGGGTCCCTGGGGGCCCTTCGAGCTTTGTTCGCAGCCGATGAGACGATGCCAAAAAGTAATCGACGCACAATTCTTTTTTCGACCTGTTCCAGTTCAAACGTCGTCTAGACTCAGTCGATCTGTCATGTGACAGCCGCTACGACACCGGTTCCTGCCTTTAATACTCTCGGTGACAGAGAACAGCAGGAGCTCAGGAAGCCGTGCTATGACGAGCACTTGATCAGGCGACGCAGAATGAAATAGTCGCCAGGATACTCTATCGGATCATCCAGAGGAAGCGAGCCTTCTTCTAACTTGTGTCTCTTAGGCATTCTGGTGTAGAGCTACATGTACTGGGTACTGGTAGTTGTGCGACAAAATGAGATACCCGGTCCTTCAGCCAAGCCTGGTCTGTGCAGTTTTGAATAATTCCATAGATAATGAAAGTACATAGTTGCAATGTGCTGTCTTTAACGACCACATAATGTAGCGATTCCGTGAGCTTGCTTGTAGTTCCTAATGCGGGCCGCCGGGCCAGTGCACGTGCGGAGAGCAGCAGTTCGCAGGCGGCAGCACCGTCTGGGCGGGTCCGAGCTCCGTCAAGCCCCAAGCAAGATACGCTGGGCTGTTCTTCTGGATCTGCAGCGCTTAACAGGCAGGTTCGGTCCCTTCGTGCTGTCAATGGAACTGTCCTTGAGCCGGCCTCTCTCTCCATCGCCTTCATCTCCCCCAATGCCACAGCGACCATGGCGACAACAGAAACCTCTCCGCTCTTACCCCAATACCAGCGCTCTGGCTCCTCGACTACGTCACCGCGGGCAGACCGTCCGACTCGAACGGTGACATTCAATCCTCTCACCACCATCAGCACCTACAATGGGACATCAACTTCAGATTCCACCGTCCGGCCCTTGCAGACGGGCTCGCCTCCCGTATCGTCCAGTGGACAGCCCATGCTGTCTGCCTTGAACAGCAAGCTCCGCAGGCGGAATAGCTATGGCGCGCCCTACAATACTCCGAGTACTGCCCCAGCCGCCCCTAAGATCGGACCGCAGAGGACGACGAAGAACGCACAGAAATTGAAGCTTCTACCTGATCCTGTGACCGGCGAGGAGGACGAGTTCGTCGACGACACATTCCCGCGTGATGTCTACTCGCAGCTCACCCGCATCAAAGAACCCACAGCAAGAAGAGACGCGGCAAGGTTAGGTAAAGCGGATCGCGATCGCTTACCAAGGGTGACGGCGTATTGTACTGCGAATTCATACCGGCTGGACGGCGTCATTCGATTCCTCAAGTCCAGAGCAAAGACTCGCGGGGCAAATCCAAAGCTCTACGATGAGTGCGTCTACTCGCCATACAATTACGACTACGAGGCAAGACAGGCAGAAACATCATCGCAGGGAAAGAATGGGCGGAATGCAGATGCCATCCCGCCATCGAAACCGCAGGGCGAGCGCAGATATTCTGACAGCGCTGTGGAGGTTGAAGACAACACGAAAAATAGACGGGAAGACTTGATCGATCTTAGTGATGAACGTGCCGAACGTTCAAGAAGTGCAGAATCGGTGCCGTCTTCCTCGGAAGTAGATGAGCGACTGGATCTTGACACCACTGTTCACACCCCCGAGATTTTCCTCTTCGACTACGGCACGGTCGTGATTTGGGGCATGACTCCGGCGCAAGAATCGCGCTTCCTGGCGGATGTGTCCAAATTTGCGACATCGATCCTGAGCCCTGAGGATACCCAAGTCGAGAACTTTAATTTCTACTATGCGCGTGATTATCAAGCGCGCATATACAACGATTTCATCTCTCTCCGCGAGCCCCGAAACCACATGATCAAGCTCGCCATCTCTCATGCATTGTCACAGTCAGTGAAAACGTCGCTTTTCGAGGATCTCGTCTCCGAAACCATCTCCAAAACGGCGCCGCTTCCCGCTCAGATTGCGAAGACAGGGAGCGTCAACATGACCCGGCGACAAATCAACATGCAGATCGGGGAACTTTTTATCCTACGCATCAACATCCACTTGCAAGGATCCGTGCTCGACAGTCCGGAACTCTTTTGGGCGGAACCACAATTGGAACCAGTCTATCAGGCCGTACGGAGTTATCTGGAGATGGACCAGCGGGTCGGCCTGTTGACGGAACGGCTAGACGTGATTGCGGATCTCCTGGCAGTGTTGAAAGACCAGCTGACCCACCGCCATGGGGAATATCTAGAATGGATTGGTAAGCGATTTCCATCCTTTCGACTTTCCAGCTAACATTTCCTGCAAAGTAATTGTCCTAATTGCCGCGGAAATCCTCGTCGCTGCGATCAACATTGTTGTCGATTTGTATGCCGGAGTTGAGTAGACAGAGTCTGCTTTTATTTGTTCGACCTTTTCATTTCGGTACTCATATCTCCTTGTCTTTCTCATGGATACATTGGGTATATCTCGGGTCAGGACAGGTTATATTCATCCGCCCAGTTATACCACGTCCGAAATACACATCCATACATCATACATACCATGATGGTCAACTCGGAATGACGAGTTTGTTTTGCTCATTGGTCCATCCTCCGTTGAGACGGACGAATTGATTGTTTCGATCATGGGTCAATCAATAATAATGAACTTTGGGTGTTCAATATCCAATATCATCATTTCAAGGGCCACTGCATTACACTCTCGCCCCGCATAATTTGTCCTTGTTTTTTTTTCCCTCCTTAGCATTCCAGGCGTACTAATCATCCTCATCCTCCCCATCACCACGCATCTACTTAGGTAGGCAAGGAACAATGGACATGTGGGGCTGTATTCTACTGTACTGCTAGATGTAGTTTTTGTGTGTTTTTGTATGTGTTTATACTTAAAGAAGTACAAGCAAAAGACATACTTACTTGAACATTAATTTCTGATAGTTCATCTCTCCTTATCTGTTTCTCTCCCTCCTCTCTTTTCTTCAAGCACGAAAGAATAGAAAGGGGGGGAAATGGATGCACAAACATACTTAACTGTCAAGCAGAATCATCATGAAAAAAATAAATAGCTAGATGCTAGTATACAATCAATACAATATACAAATAATAAACACATCGTCATTATCATCATACCTTGCCTCATCCTTCCATCCTTCCTTCCCATCCCATCCTAGTTTGTTAGTTTGTTAGTTTAGTTAGAAGAACGACTCTCAAATCAGACAGAATAGGATACTGAAATAAACAGAACAAAGCAAAGCAAAGCAAAGCAAAACATAACAAACAGACCCCATTTATGCGTCGAAAATACTGGGAATCATTTCAGTTCAGTGCCTAGGTAGGTATCTATCCGGATATTCTTTCTATCCTCTCCTTTTTTTGACTCTCCCCGTTCTAGAGTTCTACGCCAGCAGCTACCTTTTTTTAAGGCTCCCTCTTGGGCTCCTTCTCGTCGACTTCCATGGCTGATGGATGAGCAGCAGCGGCGGCAGACGCTTCAGCGGTATTGTGCGTCTGATGGTCTGTCGAAGGGGCTAATGCACTACCACCACCACCAGCGCCGGCACCAGCACCAGCACCACCCTGGTGGGCGCCGGCGGCGGTAGCGGCGGCGGCAGAGCTGTTACTGCTGGTCTGCACGCGGAACGAAGACGACAGCTGCTCCTGCGAGGGAGCAGGGGCGATCGGAGGAAGAGAAGAGGAGGCCCCGCCGGCGCCGGCTGCATTAGCGGAGGCAGAGGCGGAGGCGGATTCGGTGGTTTCGTTGTTGGTGGTGGTATTGACGTTGTTATTGTTGTTGGCGGCCGTCTCCTCCGCCTCGAGCTCGTCTAAATTGAGGTTGGGCTTGCGCGAGCGCTTGACGCGGAGAGGACGTTCTTGGGGCTGTGTTGAACGGAAAGCAAGTCAGTATCACGGTGGATCACGTAGATACAATGCAATGGATATAGTGAAAGAAAGAATGAGAGGGGGAAAAAAAGACGGCTCCAAGGAAACGTACCGTAGGAGGCTGCTCCTCCGAGCTCCCTTCCGTATCATCATCCAGATACCCCGCACCATTGTTATTTCCAGCACCAGCAGCCGCATTGTTCAGCGCAGTGGTGCTGGAGATGATCGCGGCCGCGCGCGCCCGCAGCTCCGGATTCATCCCCGCCTGCGCCTCCTCGATCATGCCCGTGACCTTGGCCAGGCGCTCCAGCAGGATGCACGACTCGAGCCGCATCTTCTGCACGTACTGCAGGCTGCGCTTGTTGCGGTTGCGGATGTTGTCGTTCTCGGCCTCGATCTCGTTCAGGCGCTTCTTCAGCGCGATGCATTTGCGTTTGTAGGCGGCTTCCACGCTGGGTGGGTTTGGGGGAGGAGGGGCCGTGCTGGTTTCCATTTTTCTTTCTTCTTTCCAGTATTATCTCGTAAGAGAGGATATGTATTGATCTGATAGATCTGGGAGTATCGAGGGAGGAGATGAAGGGGAAAGTAAAGTCGCTAGTTGAGGTCGATGTTTCGGAGTGACGTTGCTTCTAGGAACTTATAAGAAGCTGGGTACTTGGGAAATTCACTCAAAGAGCACCATAAATCGAACAGAAAAAGAGAGTCTTGACAGACGAGGTCGAATAGCGGAGACCTCCTGCCAATCAATAGGTAGTCGATCAACCGGCGGGCGACGCTCCAACCTCCTGTGGGTAAGACTATTCACTTTCCGAAGCTTTGATTAGCGACTAGCTCATCCAGCGACAATTAGATGGATAATAACTCGTACCTTCTTGAGCAGTGAGATCTGCCGCCCAGCTCTGGGATCAGTCGTCACTAATAGGAGGCAATTGAAGCTTCGCAGGCAAATGTCATGATAATGAACCGATTCTGCCGGCGACCGACATAATTAGATCGCGCCGAAGGAAGGCGGTGAAAGGGTAGCACTACTCCGTAAACCGTCAACACCAATACTGCCTTTGCTTTACTTCTCGTCCGTTGTCTTTACATGCGCAATTAATTAATTAATTAATTCATTGATTGGTTATATGTCTGTGAGATGCTATGTATTTTATCTGAGCAGACTGAATCGAAACTAGGCATACTGACTGGTCTACCTAAACCCCCGAGATCGAATCGCACGCAACAACTGATAAAGTTGCTGTTCATCGCACAAGAAAATCCGAACCAAAAAAAAAGTTTCCAAAGAAGACAGATTGCGAATTCAGCGAATAATCAAGTGAACTGAGACGTGTTCATCGAACTTTACGATTAGTGACCGCCAGTCGTGGGAAGGCCAAGGAACACCTTGAAAGAGTCATAGCTGCGAGAAGCGATCATTATCAGCCATATTCGTATGGACGATATCGACGTTGCCTCACTTACATCAACCATTGGAAGCCCGTCAAAGTTCCTAGCATGACTATTCTGACGGCGAGACCGTTCCACAGCCCCGTGAAACCAATGTTACCGTAGATCCTTGACACGGCCGTCATGGCGGATTCCCCAGCTGAAAGAAACGTCAGTATGCTCGTTGAGAAAAAGGCTCTAGAAAGGACACGCTCACCCTTTCGGTCGGCATTTAGCTTGCTGACCATGACATCTGCAGGATGGCTGACGATGGCACAGAGAATACCAGCGAGATAACCACCCAGGAAACTGATTCCAGTCTGCACGGCCCCGCTGTAGCTCTCCTTGGGCTTGCCCAGGGTCTTATAGATCAGGTTTACCGTCTCCTCAAAGGTAGCGAACTTGGTCATCGTGTACGGGATCTGCCGGGCCCAGAGCGGGTAGAGACCCTTGTACAGCCCGCTGATGCCCTCCTGAGCCACGACCTTGCGCCATCCATCGCAGAGGGTATGCGCGTAGGGAGGGAGCGTCGTCTGCATGCGGACCTTGACCGCTTCGTACGGGCAGAGCGCGACATCCGCAAGGAACTCGGCCGATGCGCTAGCACCGAGGAAGACCAAGGTGCGGTTGCAGTTGGGGAACAGCCTCTCACCATAGAGGTACTTGAACACCTCATAAAAGCCGTATTTTCCTGCTCCCTGGAACGAGTAACCCACGAAGGTCGGGGACCAACCGAAGAAGACGCCACGCAGGCCTTCTTTGGCGTAGATCTGGCGCCATGCGGAGACGTTGGAGGTGTAGATGTTGGGATCAACCTGACGACGACATTTTACCAAGTCAAGGGGAGTGATGGCCGTATGCGTTGGTCCTGTGTCAATCATCAGGCCCGAAATATCACCTATGATTCCAGCAACACTTACCGCAGGCTATAATAATGTATCCACAGAAGAGTCAACAATTAGCCTCTTTGTTTTCGCAACATTCTGGGACAGTTTCCAGGATATGATATAAAAATCTCCTACTCACCAATAACCCCTCCCAGAGCACAGCTCCAGAAATATTTCGCGGAATACGGCTCGATCTTGCCAAAGGGGAGCTTCCTCTTCTCCTGCACCGCAGGCATGGTGTTGGCGTTGATATCGCTCGCCTGCCCAGTCTTCGATTCTCAGTGAGACTGCTGACACGTGCTTATTGTGTTCCAGTCAATGGGTTATAATAAGTAAGTACTGTTGTCGCAGAAAGAGGAATCAAAAAACAAGTACTCCCTTCTTTCTTTATCAGTGAAACAATCAACCAAAGAAACAAAAGACGAGACTAGCCTTGTTATATATATGCTCGCGATAAGAACAGCAGTAAGCAGTAACTACGTCAGACAGCAAGGTTCCAAGAAAATATATATAAATTACAGATCATGTACTGTAACTATGGCCCGTACGACACAACAGACAGGGTTGCATCTATTATCGCAGGAGACGGACTGAAAGAGATTATTTTTTTTTTGAAAAAAAAATACCCTAACCTATCTCATACCTATTACCACTTACCAGGTCCATTGTCTTTCTCGTCAAGACATTCAATAATGGCTATTATGGCTATTGTTTTCTGTATTTAGCTGCCGAAGGCTTCCGGGAACGGCAATGCACGGTCGATGACATTATTGAAGGCTTATCGATCGATCGTGGCCGTCCCGTTCGCGGGGAATACGGACTAAGACCCGCAAGGTAACGTTAACTATGCAATCTTATTAAGCGTGACTAAGAACATAGGTATGTTGAATACCTAACTCTCGTTCGTTAATTATAGCTACTACTGTGCTATTCCAATGAGAATCCTAGGAAATAATCGATACAAGCTACACAATAACAATACTGCTTACTACTGCTTATTATCAGCAATCTATCAATTAATTATATAAATTGATGCATGCGGGATCAGCCCAACCAATGCATTTTCATTTATATACATACAAATTTTGAGATCCACTCTACTTCCAACAAACAGGACGAACCCCATTTTGAGGACGATATTTTAAAGAAAAACTATAAAAAAAAAGAATAAAAAGAATCAACGATCGAAAGGCAGCTGGACTCGCGAGGAACCCCGGACAACCCCGGGCGTAAGACTGCAAATACCGATTTCTCTTGTTCCAGAAAGAGATCCCACATTTATTTTTAAACCACAAGCTCGCTAATTCTGGTGAGTCGTAATGTCGCACAGATAAAATTCTGAATGCCGTGTCTTTCGTATGAGTGCAGTTGAAATCCCAGGAAATGTACCGACACCCAGACAAGAAAGATCAAGGTTCAATTGCATCAGCCAGCCGAGATGCCAACTTGATTCCAAGAATCGACCCAAGCCGCTGCAATGCATTCCTAGCTTGACGCTTTTGCCTCGGGGTAGAGTGATTGTTGGTACAGATGCCCCATAATGGCCATATTAACTCGTACCCCTCTATCGCTCGGAGCCGTGAGTTGTTGCGACGCTCTCCCAGTCCTGACGAATTGCTGGCTGGCTGGGCTGGATTCCCCATCATATCAACATCTCCCAATGTAAATGGGATGCTCTTGCATATATCAGAGATCAGGTCGCGGATCATATCAGATGGTGTCACATCGGCAGAGACATCGTTGACTTCATCTTCTGGGTATTCGCCAGGCAGCGACTCGACCATTTCATACATATTCTGGATCATACTCTGCAGGATGATCCGTGCAGACCGATAGAAGTTCCAGAGAGAGCCAGTTGGGACATCAAGGTATGTCAGCAAAGATTCCCCGGGCATCGAGTACACAACCCTGGGGAGCCACTCATGAGGAAGATTTCGACACCAGCGTCCCAATTCCGAATCCAATGTCTTTGCGTGCATGATACGGAAATGAAAGTGTGCTCTGGTCACGGCGCTGTCGACATTCTTTGCGGAGAGCGGACACTGAGCATCCAGCACCAAACGACTTATTTTCGTCACAGTGGACATTAACTGCTGTAATGGATCCGAAGGGTCAAAGAGTTCAACTAGGGACCCTAAGTCTATTCTCGGGCGATTGCCCAAGCCCAGAATCTGGATTTGCTGTATGTCTTGTGAGCATAGCGATGTCACCAATGACCATGTATACGGATACACCTACCAATTGTGCATATGCAAAATTGAAGAGACATCGGCTATACTTCCCATCAAGTCTTCTTTGGCTGTGGAGTCTCGCAAAAAGCTCAAAGCCTGCCGTATGGGAACTGTGAAGCCCTCTTCGCTCACCATTGATGTCCTCGAAAATGGCGAGCAGGAGGATCGCAGCGAGCGTTTCATCCTTTGCTGATTCCGTGGGGGACGCAAGCGCCTCACGAAGGCCACGCAGCGCCATCCCATACCTCTTCCTCGCCTGGTAGTCTAGATGAGAGGCATTGGCTTCATGGGCGAAGGCGCTGAGAGCTACCGCATCCACGGCCCATCGCAAACATAAGGAAGAACTCCCTGCCACCTCATTCTCCCGGCAGAGTATGTATAGAGCTGGAATAGACTCTAAAATGCCGAGAGCACCATCAGACTTCTTTGGGATCGTATATTGGTCAAAGAAATAGCAGAGTGCCCGGTCTTCCCATGTCGCATCAGCAAGGTATCTTAAACGAGACACCAGTGAGGTATTCTCGGAAAGAGTCGAATCGGCGAAACTCGAACTGCCTTTTCTGACCGGACTCCTCCATCTTCTGAAATGGGCAGTTGCAGGCTCATTCTGGAAGACGATTGCAGGCCGATATCCAGGACACTCTTTCCCATACACGAAACAATTCCGGCAGCCAGGCCTAGCCTCATCGCACTGCAAATTGAAATTAATTTCAATCTACCATGTGAATATCAACTACGACGTAGATAATGCAGACATCTAATGTGATGGACGTCATGTAGCACGAGAAGACCGCTTTACCCACCTTGATCTTCCGCCGGCGACACAGATAACATCCAGTGCTTGGCTTACCGTTGTAAACCATTGTCTCGAGCAATTCCTATCAGTGCAAAGGTTTGTATGCCTTCATTTTCGTCTCCAACATATGAGCAGGATCTGTTGTGTTGGGGGTCTGGGGGGCTTTGACGCCAAATCTGTTGAGGCGCTGTGCTGGCTTCCTGATGGGAAACAACGATATCCAGAGCTGCATATTAGCAGTCCTGCTCTCTTGAATTTTTCTTGCAGTTTATATGATGCATGCTAAGTCCACAGTTGTGGAGTGAATCTTGAGGTGCTGAAAGGAACAGAACATGGTTCCCTCTGTATCGTCCACTAGTAACAAGCCTCTTGACTCTTGAATCCGAAACAAGGAGTTCTTGCAGGGATTAGTCATCCCCTCAGCAGCCGTAATTAGCAGTAGAAACTGTAGTAACTGCATTACTTACATTCGACACTTAAACGACCTTAAACGACTCATCTCGCGCGTTAAATAATACCTGGTCGTTTGGGACCAAGAAGAAATCTAACGTTTCAGATCCAATGCATTCCTGAAACACATAAGGACAAGCCCCATGTCTCTACTCTCAAATGCTATCTGATGCTAAGTCGGGCATACAATAAGCTATTGCACTGTCTGCCATGCTAGACGTTCAGATAGCCGTCATAGAAAGAACTCCGCGCCGGACTGGACATTATATATTCCGTCGTGGCGAGAGAACACACATATTATCCAACCCGTTCCAAGCAGGGTATCATAATCCTGCAACATGCAGAGATCGAAGCATGGAGGGTAGTGCTAACATAACCAAAAAAAAAAGAAAAAAAAAGGGACAGCAGTATTGTTCAGAAAACAAACATTATGCATAAATGCTCCAGACATAAGTAGGGACAGATTTTCAAAAGAAAGCTCAGATAAGGCCGCTTGGAAACACCAGATCCCTTCATAAATGCTGCAATAGACGCAAACGACACAAGATGACAGGAATATTAGACAAGCTACGCCGCCGACTCCGTGAGCTATGCATCAACCAATGGGAGCATCCGACATGGGCTGATCGCCATCCTCTGCCAGCGATATCGTCGGCGGCGGATCCGACATTAGCGCTCTTTGCCTGCTGCTTTTATCGCCAGATTTACCATCCCTAGTCGGACGCAACCCCGGCGTGCTAGAAGCGCTTTCGATCACCACGTTATCGTCAAAGAGTTCTTCAGCAGGTGGAGAGAAAGACCAGACCTAATAGGCCAGTTAGCAACAGGATAACTCTCAAAACAAATACAAGGCTGGGGTACAGGGAAGGGAATAAGAAAAGTTGTCAGAATGGAGATACCCAACTTACCTCCATGACAGTGCGACCTGACCGGCTCGCCATGATCACGGCTTTCTCTTCCTCAAATGCCACTCTCCAAACTGCGTCTGCAGGCGTCGACAACTCCCTCAGCAGCTGGCCTGTTTTGAGACTCCAGACCTTCACACGGCCATCGCTACCACCGCTGACGATGCGGGTGCTGTCGAATTGAAGACTAGTCACGCTATTATCATGGGCAGCCAGCCGGTGGATCGGAGCCATCCGGGTCAACGACCAGACACGAACGGAACCATCTGATCCCCCGGTGACTAATGTATCACCTCGCATCTGTAGCTGCCCGACCAGAGAAGTATGACCCTGCAAAATCGCCTGGCAGTGACCGGTGTGTGGATCCCATATCCGAACGCTGGTGTCAAGACTACCCGTCGCGATTCGCTTGCCGTCAAAGGCGATTGCATAGATCTGGCTGAAATGACCAGAGAGCGTCCGCAAGCAACGCCCTTCGGAAATACTCCATATCCGGGCGGTCGTGTCATAGCTTCCCGAAACTACCAGGTCCCCGTGGATTCCAAGGCACCTGACACTAGCCTGGTGACCGACCAGGACGCTTCTGCACATTCCGGTGGAAAGATCCCAGATTCTCAACGTGGTATCTCTTGAGCCCGAGATGGCGGTATTTCGGTCGGCCATCTTCAAGCATCTCACCGTAGATGTATGGCCTCGCAACAGATGGAGACAAGCACTAGACAATGCTGTCAGTCTTCATACACTGGTTCAGGTCCGAAGGCAACCTACCCAGTCGCCATGTTCCAAACCCGCACTTCCCGGTCACAACCACCGCTGACCAGGATGTCATCCCACGGAACCATAGCCCACACGCCCATCACATGCCCCTGAAGGGTCTTCTGGTTTGCTCCATTGGTGTCGTAAACATGGATCTTTGCGTTGTCTAAAGCGACGACAATGTACTTGGGAGTCAGGTGCAAGCTTGTCACCACACCTTGGTCCGGGGTAACATGTCTTTGTGTGCACCGTCCACCCTTCCTCCATGCAGACTCGACCATGTACTTTTGCTTGAAATGCGTTCGGTACGAGGACGGCTGAACCCGTCGCTTCCGCGTTGGCGTACTCGGCCAAGAAGACTCCATGGACAATTCGCTGGACGTACCAGCCATACTATCTGTAGCGGATGACGTCGACTTTCTCCGGAAGCTATGAAGAGAGGTCTCCGAACTCCTCGCGGAAGAGTTCCCATGGAAAGGGTCGACAAAATCGCGTTCGTCGTCCGACAGTCTTCTGCATGCATACGAATGTTTTTCACACAGATTCTTCCATGTTATGTCATCATTGAGAAGCTCGTGCCACCGCTTGGACACCTGGGAAGCTCTCGCAAGCGTCTTGGGATCGTCGATGAAGGAGAGGACCTTATCCAGATGATTTGTAATTAGCACATATACTATAGCTTCCACGGAGGGAGGACCTCCAGAGAAATCATCGCCTTACTCTCAAACACAGTTCATTTGGAAAGACCTGGAAAGGATCTTTCCTCAGACGAGGGCTCACAAAGCTGGAAACAAAGCTGAGTTGCTGGTTGTCGCACAGATTCAAGATGTCGACCAGGAATTTTTGCTTCTGAGCACTGCTCAGAGAGCTAAAACGTATCCGGGCGTTCAGGAGCAATGTATCGTCGTCATCTTCAGAAGACTGCCAGCTGGAAGTCCTCTGATGCGGTGTCGGACTTGGCGCGGGAGTCGGAGGGGAAGCCGGCGTAGAGGAGAGCAGACTGGTGTGCAGAGGAGAGCTGGATTTGTTGGGAGTCGGCAACGGCTTTGGGTGAGAGCTCGAATGATGCGAGTGTAGGCTTCTGCTCCCTGATATCCGGGACGGAACACTCGTGAGCGGCTCAGGGACACTGCGAGGAGTGGTGTCGCCATCTGCAGTCTCTCTCAACGAGGCTCGCCGCTGGCTCAGGGAGCGCGGCGGCGTATACCGCGCAGCCATGGCTTGGTCGACTGGTGTACGCAGCAGAAGAGGTTTTCTTCAGTCTTCGGTCTTCAATGCAAGCTCACAGCCCTTTGTATGCCCACAGCAGCCCTGTCTGAGACCGGCTGGGGGCATCAATATCGAGGTCGGGACGAGATAGAGAGGAGTTCCGAGTTGGGGAAGGTGGGCGGCTCGCCGAACGGGGTAGGTTACAGCAGAGAGTCAGGGGAACGGAGGCGGAATCTTCAATCGAGGCAGTGCGCGAGAGGCCATCCGACAGGAAGCACGGGGTATTTCTGAGCTCTGATCCGGACGGCCAGAGCATTCGAGCTGCACGCTGGGGAGATCGCCGATGGTCGGGGCAGGCCACAGACCAGACTCTGCGAAGGGCGCTCGGCATCCAGCTGGGATGGGGTCGGTCAAGCCGTCTTGGGGAGGCCGCCTGACCGCGCCAAGCACGACACCAGCCTGCTCGCTTTCGAAGACGGCCGCTCCCACGCCCGTCTGCAGTCAAGCTCGCGCCTCTACAGCACGCCTGCAGGGGCCCATGAGGCCCAGGTCTGCATCTGACCGACTCTCATTGTCTCCTGCTTGCCTGCGCCTTTTTATATCGAGATGCAGATCCACCGGGGTCGCAGGTGGGAACCCGGCAGCATCTCCGCATCGTGCGACACCGCTGCACACAGGGCCGTGGCAACTAGCTCTGCCTGCACCTCCTTTCAGCAAGATCAGCACTAGTTGAGCGAGAACCAGACCTGTGCATTGTTCCGTCTAACAGAAGAGAAGCGCTGCAAACTGCAAAATGCCCACCAGAGTAATGTGGCTGCGGACATCGCCTGGCCAGAATCGTGCTTGCTGCTCACGGTTGTCAAAATTAGATTAGGCAAACGCGCATCACTCGGTGTCTATCAGGACCTTGCCTGCGGCCGGAACTCTGGACTGTTGTTCCAGGTCCTTGGATGAGTGCCTTTGGTAGAAGCCATCGAACCGTGGAACAGATTGCAGTTGAACAAACGGTTGCATCACAGCAGGCTCCGATATCTTCAAACAGTCTCTAGATTCTACAAAGTGAAAAAGCCATCTCATTATTGATTCAACAAGCACTATACATAAAAGCTAGGTCGGCCCAATCAGAGACTGCATCTGCAGCTATGGACCCCACGAAGACACGTTGGCTCGAAGAAAAACAATAAAGCTCGGATAAAATCTCTCTATAAAAACAATGATTTGGGGGAGCTCGATATCTTGCCCCGCAAGGAATCCTCCCACAAAAGAACCTATTCTAGTCGGGTACAGAGCGTATTCGCACACTGGTAACGATGAAGCCACCTTAATGAGCATGACCGATTTGCAAGAATAACGGCAAGAGCATGCCAATAATGGAGGCGATCAGGTCTCTCATGGATCCCTTGGGCCGTTGTGTATCTCTAGACTCTGCATAGCCGTTGCTATACGAATCGTATGAGGAAGGACGGGGTGCGTTTTCCTGCATAGTGTGCATGGCCACATACCTTGAGACCTGTTAGTTTACGGGGCCTTGACGTTCAGGCGTAAAAGCAAAATAGGAGGAACTCACAAAAATGTCCCGGCGGAGAACAACAGTAGCATGCCAGTCCGCCATCGGGTTGCTACCTCATCCCCGGCCAAGCCTGATCCAACAGTTTGCACAAAGACGAATGTCAACAAAGCTCCCACCGGTGCTGCTAAGCTAAAGACCAACAGGTGAGCTCGAGCACTTCGACTAGAGAGGCCTTGCTTCAGCAACACCGACGTCAGCCCGAATGAGGCGGGCGCCTTGTGAACTAGAAGAGCAAGGAAGATGATAAAACTCAAGTTCGTATTGGACCCGGACGCCCCGAGTGCGATGCCATCGGCAGCCGCATGAATCACAAGTCCAGTGGTAGTCGCAAAGCTGTGGCTGCGTGATGAGGGGCTATCCGGCTCCAGTAGTCCTCCATCCCGGGAGGGTGAAGCGCTGCGTCGCAATCCGGATCCTAAGTTGTCCAGCGAGATATGATATGGTGGCCGTTTCTGCTTCGAGGGGGATGCGAACCCAGGAAGCTTGTCGATTAGGTACATGAGAATAAACCCGCTAATGAGGGCGACACCTATCCAGGCGTGAAGAGAGCGCTCGTTATCCTCATGCTCATGCTCATGAGTATCGCTTTCGGAGTCCTCATCCCTCGCTTTGTGCTCCTGTAGCTCTGTATGGCCGACATCAGATCCTAGAATATGCACCTCTTCTGGCTGGGTCGGTGTAGATGGTGGGCTTGCCGGCATCGAGGGCACTTCGGGGATAACTGGACCAGGCATGGCATTCAAATCTGCCACACTTGGAACTGTCCTCGGCAGAATAGCATGGGTATCCTGATGCTGCCATCGTACATCCAGCGCACGCGCGTGAAGGCTTTTTTGAATACGATGGATGTCGGAGCTGTATAGTGTCTCAATTCCTTCGGGTATGATGACGATTAGAGCAGTCCCAACCAGGACACCCATACCAAGCGATGAAATAAATCGCAACTGCGACGGAGATAATGCGAAGCTAAGCGGTAATGAGCCGACAAGGAATGACCTGTTCCGAGGACGCGAACCGTCAGCCATATAGTCATAGAATCGTTGCAAGCAACAGGCTCATGTCTGTATTGCTCACGTTACAGCCATCACGATGCCCAGAATGAGCAACGTGAAGAGGCCCTCCATGGTTGCTTCGTGCTCCAAATCTTCGCGCCCTTTCTTTGTCTAAAATCTCCAGAGCATCGTGTCAATTCCGGACAAGTATCCTCCAAACACCCAAGTAAGTTTCCCCCAATGTTTGGCCCTCAAAATGTCGCACAATTAGAGAAAGGGGATAGCAAGCAATCAGTGAAGCTTGACCTGCAACAAAATTAATAGGTGAATGAAGAAGCATCAAAGCCTGTCGCGGCTCCAGTGTTGAGGAGACATGTGGTTGTACTCTGTACTGCACAGGGGTTTGCAGTATATACCTAGTGAGCCAGATTTGGCGCAAGCGCCAAGAAACGGTCATATCTGGGCGCTAGCCAATGATCTACTTTGCACCCCAGGTATCCTGCTATTGCATATTAATATTTAGATATAGAGTACACCAGAAAGCATTATATTCATTCTAATTCTACGAAGACTATGTCTTGCGCCAAATGTAATTGCTCATTCTCCGTTGCTGTAGTAGAGAGAATGCCGTATAGCAGCCATTCTGCACATTCATCATCCGTCAGAAAATAATGGGTGGAAGAGACATCCACAGTGAGGCAGGTATACTTAGTTGCTTAACAAGATATAGCCCATCAATTAAGGCAGGAATGGCATATTATATTAAAGAAAAGATCCATTTCTGTCGATATTTTTGTATATTGGGGTCGTGGTAGACATCTGGTTACTTTGTATTCACGTGACCACAGGGCCACGCTAACCACAAACAGCCATAGTAGTGGAACTGCATCCCGCAACGCGGTCCACGACGCGCCTGCAAAGCAGCTCCATCCCTCTCGGTCGATGGCGCATCCCATCGCCATTGTTGCTACGATCAGATCAATAATCGAGTCAGCCGAATCTGGCCCAGACGTGTCATCACAATGGCGAACGAGGATTGTAAGGAATTTTCATACGATTCTGCCGCAACCCTTTCAATCGTTTCCCGACTGACGAGGTCACTTCCTATCTAGGGTCCTGCGACGCCAATGACGCCGTGCAGCTTACCATAGTCCAGCCTGGCGAAAAGAAGCCCACGACGATCGCTACCTTCCATCCGCAATTCACATATCCCATCTTTGGTGATGAAGAGCGCATATTTGGTTACAAGGGCTTGATCATACGGCTGCGGTTCGCGGCGCATGATTTGCGCTCTCACGTGCATATTTCGTATGATGAGAAGTTCAAGGCCGTTGGAGATACGGCAGCGACGGATCTTAACAAGACGCTGCGCGATTGGATTTCAGAATGTGAGTCAATGACGATCAGTTGCTCTCTTGCCTCCCGTTCGATATCTTGACTAACGTATCTGAAATCGTCTAGCTGCATTTATATCCCTGCCAGAATACGAGAAGGCGGTCCAGAATGATGAGAATGCCAAGGATTTCGTGCCTCCTGGAAAGCGAGTTCATACTTATACGACAAACGGAAGAAATTATGAGATTTGGGCGGGCTCGCTTGTGGAACCAGACGTTCGAGCCCTTCTCGAGCGCGCTCAAATATTCGTCCCTCTATTCATCGAAGCGGGCACCCCTCTAGCGACGGATGACCCGGAATGGACACTTGAGAGATGGACGGTCTACTTTGTGTAAGTGAAGTCGTAGGTTCCTAAGGCGCCAATTGCTCACTGTCGTGCAGATATGAAGTTGTTACCCCGCCAACACCTACTGCTTCGAAGTATTCCATTGTCGGGTATGCGACGACCTACCGCTGGTGGTTCTACCATAACCGTGAAGGGAAAACACACCCCACAGTTGGAAACGGGCCATTCCCCTATCCAGAGCAAATCAAGTTCTCCGAGCTACCGTCCCGGCTCCGAATAGCGCAGTTCCTTATCCTTCCCCATCACCATCGCTCGGGCCATGGTACCCAACTCTACACCACTATTCACAAGGTCTGTGTCGAGGATCCTACTATTATAGAACTGACTGTGGAGGACCCGAACGAAGCCTTTGACGAGCTTCGTGACGCGGCTGATTATCATATCCTCCGCCCGGAATTCCTCAAACGGGATTTGAATATCAACCCCAACCCTTATCCTGCAAATACAGGCAAGAAACGTCCGCGTCTGATGCCGACTGCCGCGCTCATTCCCACAAAGACTTTGCATGAGATCCGTTCCAAGTACAAGATCGCTCCCACGCAATTTGCTCATATCCTGGAGGCGTTCCTGCTCAGTCGAATACCACTCAAACACCGTGCCGCCGGAAATGCAAACATGGCACGGCTTCTTATCAAGAAGCACAACGCCGAGGATGAGAATGACAGGCGCTACTACTGGTGGCGGATGCTGGTCAAGCAGCGTCTGTACAAGCGTTCCCGCGACGTGCTTATCCAGCTGGAGCTCAATGAGCGGATCCAGAAGCTCGACGAGACGCTGGCGAACGTGGAAGAAGGCTACGAGAAGCTCCTCGAGAGGTTCGGCAACCGAGAGGAGCGCATAGGGAAGATGGCCGAAGAGGAAGTCGATCCGAAGAAGGCGTCCATGGCGGAGGGTACTGCGAATGGCGCCGCTGGCAGGGATCGCACGAAGCGAAAGTACACGGTCATCGAGGACGATGAGGACGAAGGGGAGGGGCCGGCGGAGGCTGCAAAAAAGGCAAAAGTCTAGATGTGATGACCTTTTTTCTTTTGTTTTGTTTTCTTTCATGCCAACTGCGATCATTACGATCTGCAACGTCCACTGTGTCTTGTCCGGTGGGTACTAATCATATCATGTTATGTTATGCTATTCAGGTTATCAAACTTTTGTTTTACTAGCTTCTTCTTATAGAGCAACAATCAATCGCTCTTGGAACGGATTGCAAGCGTTAAAAGGGGGAAAAAAAAATCAAGTACTAAGAATTATATTATGCGTAATGTTTACTATAAATTAATATGCGTATTGCTATATATACTAGCCAACCTCAGGTACATACAAGTATCAACCTCACAACGACCTCACCAAGGTTGTTGTTTTAGTTGATGTTGCCATTCCATCCATCGACCAATAACGCCCAAACTATTTACCTTTTCCTCCTTCCTTTGCTTGATATCGATACACAGGTCTCTGCTGAAGATTGGAAGAAACAAGAAAAAGAAAAGATTCACAAGTAGAAGATGGGACAAGGTGGCCAGCCACCAGATCTGGAGAAAATAAAGACAGGGAAAAAAAAACCTAGTCAGTATAGATAAATGGAAGAAAGTGCCGATATCATGTCAAAAATGAAAAGCACAGGATCACGAGCGGTATGAAGGAGGGGCGCTAGAATCCAAAGTATCCAGCGTTTCCAGAGTGAGCGACGAAGTGGTTTCTAGACTCATCAAGCTGCTTGATCGTGGTGAATTCATCCCCACTGACGCGACATGAGGATTGCCGCTTATTTCTTCGTAACGAGGAGGTGGGGGTTGTCCGGGAAAACGAGCGAGATCTGGATCGTCCTCATTCCCGACGAGCTGGCCCACGAATTCGAGAACACGTCTCAAGCCTAAGATTTCGGCATGCATGGTGCCTTGCTGGGTCTCTGGGTCAGGGAGGAGATCGTCACGGGGCTGTTCGGTGCGGTCAATCTGAGGGAGACTGTGACTGGAAGAAGTGCTAGGTGCGGCGCGATGTGACCGCCCTTCCCACCATTGCCTCCATCGAAGACGCCGTGCAGCCCTGTTGTAGGCACGACGAGCCCTTCGCTCCTCGCGTCTCGCCGCGAGGTCAGCCCGACGACGCCGAAAAGTCGGGGAATTGCGGAGAATTTTGAAGGCAAGCGCGGAAACGACGATGACGAGGAGCAAAATGAAACATGATCGGAAAAAGTCTTTGGTTGGAGACTCCAAGGAGATAGATGGAACCGTGAGATAACGGGAAGACTCAATTCCGATGCCTGGGTTGTCGATCTCTCCTTCTGAACGATTTCGGGAGGGATAAGGTGATTGCAGAGATGCACCAGAAGCCGGAGAAGGACGATCGTCTGAGTTACATGCCGGGACAAGTTTCTGCGACTCCAAAGAACCGAATCGATATCTTATCGAACGAAACATCTCGGGTACCGTCTGTAACGAGACCTTGAAGATGCACCCCAAGTCTCTGCACTGTTCCCATTTGGAGGACAGAGACTGGCAGTCCTCTCTCAACAGGCTGCGGATCTTCTCTTCCTGGACCCTGATCGCATGTCGCAGCTCACGGGCCTCAGACCGGAGATCCTGCAACTTCTGGAGCTCCCGTTCGATTCGATCCTCAAGCGTGTCCGGCTCAAGCTTGTGAACGGAGTCCTGAGTGTCGAAGCGCTCGGTTGTAGGCGGATCTCGCCATGCTTCGAGTGCCAACTTATCGTCTGGTATGTCTACGACGAATGTGGACAGTCGAAGGATTTCCGGCTGTTCGGCATTCGTGAACGAAACCGTAAAGCCTACCCGGTCTTGGACAGCAAGCTCTTCGACATTGTCAAGCGTCAGGGTCAAGACCTGAGCTGTGTGCCCTGTGGGAGCGTCGGACGGCGCTTCCAAGCAGACACTGCGCCAATTCGCCGACCTTTCAGAAGTTGCTGCATCTTGAGAAGGAGCACTTGGAATCATGCCAGAGCCCGAACCTTGATTCCCATCCCAATGAACAGGCAGCTCTTTCCCATTGAGGAATAAAATGGCATCTCCGCATGCCCCCTTGGCCTCTCTGACACTCAGCTCAAAGGGCTATAGTCCATATTAGCCGGGAAAAGAAGACAGATAGGCAGACAGCTGATGGTGAGACACCAGTTCATACCCAATCGTGGTAGCTGCCTGAGGAACATCCTGAGCAAGACGCCTCAAATTTGACGGAAACACCTTGGGCATCTGTTCGCAATAGATACTATACATTAGAACCACCATGTGATGACACAAGGCAAGCCAAATGGACTGACCTCGCCACCAGACCACTGAGAATTCTTCAGTGGAGGCATTGGCGTTGCGGGTCTGGAGAGAAGGGACAGGCAATGCGTAGGCGATAGCGGGACCGAGCACGAGGATTGCTGCCGTAGTTGAGCAGCGCATAGCGTCTAGAAGCATAGCCGACTGGTGCGCGACCAATTTCAGGCTAACATCATGGAGGCAAAGTCACAGCAATGGAGGAACAGCCCTGTCCAGGTACATCCAAGCATTACTGCAGACTGATCTAGATACAATTGAGGGGGATTCCTCCGAAGGCCGAATAATAATCTACACCATCTACGGAGTAGTCCGATGCTAATATTAGCGGAGTTGAGGCTGACCAACCGCTTGTCGGCGGTGCTGGTCTCCGACGCGTGTCCGGCCCGTGGTTTTTCCGAGCTCCATTGCGGCGGGCAGCGGCTGGCCAGGGCAGGCAAGCTTGGAGCATCGCATAGAGAGCTGTTGTATACGGTGGAGGCGACAACGCTTAACAGCCTCCAGAGAGGAACAACTGCGTTGATTGAAGTTTTCTGCCCTCTCTAAAATTACTGAGCAACCTCAACGATCTTATCTCAAGTTTGGTCCTTCAGAGTGATCGTGCTATTCTTGAAACTCCGTTCTCAATATGGTACGTCGCAGCTATCCTTTCCGTTTTCCTGCAGGAATTCGAGCCTTTCTGGATCACCGAATCTAACTGGATTGATTAGTTGCCTCTGGGCCTTTTGACAGCCGCGCAAGGCCATCCGATGCTTGTGGAATTGAAGAATGGGGAAACGTTGAACGGACACCTTGTCAACTGCGACAACTGGATGAACCTGACGCTGAAGGAGGTGGTGCAAACAAGTCCCGAAGGCGACCGTTTCTTCAGACTACCCGAGGTCTACGTGAGGGGCAATAATGTGCGTGACAACCGCTCCGCTGCAAGAAATAAGTGGTATCATCGACTCACCGTGTCCTAGATCAAATATCTCCGCGTCCCAGAAGAGATTCTAGAGATTGTAAAAGAACGGCAGCAGAACCAGCCTTCGAATCGGGGCCGTGGTGGTCCATCGCAGCGAGGCGACGGCGGCAAGGGAGACCGAAACCGTGGTGGAGGACGAGGAGGACGGACCCGTGGTCGTGGCAGAGGTTGAGCCTGCAAGGCCAATAAAGAGTATAGAAAAGAACGAAATAAGATACCCCTGCGACAAAAGCTCTGAATGGATGTGCGATGATACCTTTGGGCAGATTAGACAAGCATGGTATTGGCGTATTGTGGCTGCGTACCAGGAGAAGGGCGGTACTTTCTGGGACTCTCGTGTAAGCCTTTGGCTCTATTTTCTGAAAACTTGCGTACTCTTTAAGGATTGTAGCCCAATTAATCCGGACATACAATTACGACTTCTGCGGGGAGCCCGAATCTCTTAAATCACGTGATCAAATATAAACTTGTCCAGCTGCAGTGGTTGCAAGATGGACGATTTAAAGTAATGCACCGCGTCAGCTAGAGATGCGACGAGGGAACCTCCGCGTCGATGGTTTGTGGTACTGTCTCTGTCCGTCATTCTGCCATTCATCGCTAAGACAGCCATTTCCCTCGTTCGTGTCAAGACGAGCATCTCCGACAAGATGTCGTGTCTCCAATCTTGCCCCGGATGCGGCGCCCGGGATACGACGCTACAGCAGTGCTGGGGGAAGTGATACAGCTCAGACAGAAAGGGCCAGTGAGGAATTATCCAAAAACCACGCCAGAGAGTCGGTCTCTAGCGCACAATCACCAACGTCGGCCGAAGAAGTCCAGCAGCAACAAGACGATCAGCCGAAGATTCGGATCACACGCTACTTTGCTCGAGATCCAGCGCTAGTGAGAGTCCCCCAGAGCATAAGCCAGAAATCAACAGAAGATTTGGAGAATTATCTCAACCAAGTGACTTCCGAAAAGTCGCCAAAAATGTTGACCGTGACTGCCGTCCTGCGCGCCCTGATAGCGGAGCGACACATTGAGCCAAAGGTGCGGCATTACAGAGCCCTGATACTAGCCAACACAGACCCGAGATATGGATCGCCCGAAAATGTCCGTTGGTTGCTCCAAGAAATGGAGGAAAATGGAATAGCAGCAGACTCGTCGACCCTCCATGCTGCATTGCAGGTGAGAATGTCTCTCATCATTTTTGTGGAACCTCTTAACTGATATCCCGGTCTTGTACAAGGCACTCGCCGTTCACCCCGATTACCTCTTGCGCCAGGAAGTCCTCCGTACACTCCGGGATCGATGGCTATCTCTCAGTCCAACTGGCTGGCATCACCTTGTTGCTGGGCTTATTCGAGAGCAACAGTTCGAATTGGCCCTGGATCACCTTGATCACATGGCGCGAATGGAGATCCCTGTTCAAAGCTGGTTACATGCCCTCCTGGTTTACAAGATGTGCGAACTCGAAGATTTTGACCAGGTCTACGACCTGATGAGTTCGCGGGCCAGTCAACAGCAGGATATTTCAATGGACTTGTGGCTGTATGTTCTGGACGAGGCAAGTGAGGCTCTTCATCATAAGACGACGAGATATGTATGGAAACAAGTGGTGGAATTGGGATACTTGAACCCGTCGTATGGGGTGTGCGGCAACGTCCTGACGGTTGCGTCCCGTACTGGCGATACCGACCTGGCTGCGTCGGTGATTCGCTTCCTCGTCAAGACCGAAGTCCCACTGACCCTAGAGGACTATGAGAAGCTTGCCGAAACCCATGTCATGGCTGGCGATCTCCAGGCGGCTTTTGATACTCTGTGCTTAATGCACAATGCCGGTATCCAACTGGAAGAAAGCTCAACTCGTTCCATTCTTACATACATGGTGCAGAAGAAACTGAAACCACAACTTGCATGGGAAACGCTAAAACGACTGAAAGCGCAGGGAAGAAATGTTCCTGTTGGTTGTGCCAATGTTGTCATTGAGTATTGTGAGCATGAGCTTGCTCGCGACCAGGGGGCTGTAGACAAGGCCATCAAATTCTACAAGGAACTATATGATCTCTGTTCCAGTCCTGCGGATGTCACGACCTACAATTGTCTTATTTCCTTAAGTCGACGTGCCAAGCGCTCTGATGCCTGCATGTTTGTCGTCAAAGAAATGGCTGCGCTTGGGGTTACACCAGACATAACTACGTTTGAACTTCTCATCCTCATGTGTCTGGAGCTGGAAAACTTCCGCTCTGCCTACATGTACTTCCAAGACCTCCTAGACAGAGGCTGGACGCTGAGTGACAGCACATGTGCTAAGATCCGTGAGCTCTGTCAGGGATCTGAAGACGAATTTGCTGTTCGATTGGTGTCGCACCCAATGCTCAGCATTCTTGGATAATGATTTAGATTTGGGGCGTATACTCCGTAGATTGGTGGCGGAATTCTGAGATACCCGAAACGCACTGACTTTATGTATGTATAATATATCTGATTGTTTTCTTACAAGAATCCCTTCCACAGATATGCTATTCCCAAGATAAATCGATAAGTATTTAATAAATATAGGTTGGAGTCTCGATCTTGGGTTCGAGTCCGTGACACGGGATCTACACATGTGACATCATCCCGCATGGACCATCGTACCTGACCAACAGCGAGCTAAATTAAACGCAAGGCCCAGAACACAGCTTAAACCTGGTTCTTACTCTTCAATACATACTGACCAATTCATGATCTATTGAATACAAAGAAAAGATAGAAGAATGGAGTTGTGTCTTCGATAGAACTTCCTAGTCGACAGATTATACGACAGGATCGCAGAGCGCCGATGCGGCGACTGCGTGCCTAGAGCAAGCAACCCACTTAATCAGCCCGTGCGACATGGTTCGTTTTGGAGGTTCTATAGAGAGTTACTGTTCAATTCTGCAGTTTACTAGGAAAAATGTTCTAACATAATTGCTTGTACCACTGGCAGACATCCTTTCTCCGCCAGATCGTGGCTGGTCCGCGATTGCAACACCCAGAAGCTGGTCTGGATCTATGCTATGTGACAGATAATCGTGAGTACTGTTTCCACATATGATGCTACCATTTTGTCTCTTTCACTAATACTGTGTGTTTCTTGGTGATCGTAGTCATCGCGACGTCTGGCCCCTCCTCTACATACCCCCAGCGTGCCTATCGTAATCCGACCGACGCCTTAGTGCGCTTCCTAGACTCCAAACATGGAGAAAATTGGTACATTTGGGAGTTCCGGGCCGAAGGCACGGGATATCCTGATTCTGAAGTGTATGGACGGATCCATCATTTCCCATGGCCGGACCATCACCCGCCACCATTTGCGTTGATCCCACCCATCATGGCGACCATGCGAAATTGGCTACAAGGAGCAGACACAGAGGGCAAGCAGCAAACAAAGGGGGAAAGGGTGGCGGTGGTGCACTGTAAGGCAGGTAAAGGACGCAGTGGGACCGTCGCCTGCAGCTATTTGATCAGCCAGGAAGGCTGGAAGATGGAAGACGCGCTGCAACGGTTCACCGAACGAAGAATGAAAGTCGGGTTTGGGAATGGCGTCAGCATTCCGAGCCAGATACGCTGGGTTGGCTATGTTAACCGGTGGGCGAATCAAATGGACAACGTCTACGTGGAGCGGCCGGTGGAGATCCTCGAGATACACGTCTGGGGATTGAGGGATGGGGTTAAGGTCGCCGTGGAGGGCTACGTGGATGAAGGCAAGAAGATCAAGTGCTTTCATCTTTTCAAGCGCAGTGAGCGCATAATCGTCGATGACGGGAAGACCGTCCCGGTCAGTAATCCACGGAGGGTGAATTTGCAGAAAGTGACGCCGGCAAGTTCTTCTCTATCGTCCTCATCTATAAATATACCCGTTCGGCCGACAGAGACTGTTACATCACCGACGTCCCCAGGTGAATTGGAAAGACCTCCGACTACTATTAAGCAGATATCTGCTGTCATTTTGCGGCCGAGCCAACCGGTGATTCTGCCTACATCTGATGTGAACATCGATTTCGAGCGGCACACCAAAGCCGCTTACACAGGCTGGGCAATGGTGACGTCCATTGCGCACGTCTGGTTCAACGCCTACTTCGAAGGGGGTGACAAGCACGACTCTGGAGTCTTCGAGGCGGAGTGGGACTCTCTCGACGGGATTAAGGGGAGTAAGATGAAGGGGACGAAGGCTCTTGAGCGGGTGAAGGTTGTATGGCGATACCCTTCGTCCACGCAGGTCGGAGTACCAGAGCCGGAGAAGAAGGGGAAGGAAGCAAAGGACGCTGCGACACCTGGAAAGGTCATCTCGCTCCCGAAACCAGGAGAACCCGTTCCAGAGAGCCATGCTGCAGATTGGCGTGGTGAAACTGTGACCCGTGACGAAGACTGTCAGTCCTCGCGGGATCAGAGGAATAATCCTTTATATCCGCCCGTCCCTTCTAGGGAAACCTCGCAGAAGAAGAGCAATCCACTCTTCCGGAAACTCAGCAGGAAGAAGCCTGGAAACGAGCCCAACGGTGTGGCTGGTGAGAGCCATCCTACCGGTCGGAGAGACCACAACCACGACGACCAAGCCGTTGAGCTTGCTGGGCAAAGGACTAGGGCTGCGTAAACAGACCACGGCCCGTCGAGATATCAGCCTCGCAACAAGCGTCGAGGACTTGAAACAACAGGAGGAAGAGGAGCAAGATTTGGGACAGAAGGTCCAAGAGGAGAAAAGAGAGAAGGAAGAGGCAGACACCGATATGGAGGGCGTCAAGTCTTACTTCAAGGATGAGAAGGACAATGGCAACGTCGTCACCACAGACCCAAAGCCAGAGACATCGCAAACAGCAGCGGCAGCATCGTCTAGCAAGGGTTGCTCCGATCCTCTAGACGGAGGACATGATCTGCTCTCCCCCTCCCCTTGAAGAAGGGTGGAACCAACGGATTTATGCCACTTTTTTTTATCGAACCACGTATGTGTCCAGTTGTTGCATACGAGGAAAGAACACACGGAAGATGGATGGTTTACGGGCGCTCAGCGGTATGGATTCTTTTTTTTTTTCGTACACACATACATCAACAAGGTACATACATGAGGCATAGTACATAGATATTAGGTGCCTAGGTCCCTAGGTACCTGTTATTATCATTATCATTATCCAATGATCATAGATCAACTGACTGACTGATTGATTGATTGAATTCGATTCAAACAACCACTCCAACATCAACACATCAATACATCATCAATCACATGCATAATGCGTAACGTGCATCCAAAACGATGAACCTCCCAAAAAAAAAGAGAAACATAAACATAACCCCAACTGAATTGTGGAGAGTAGGGGAAAATGTACTGTACTGTACTTATTCAAACACCTCCTTTTTTTTAAAAAAAAAATCTAAACCCCCACGCCTCTATTTTTATGCAATGCGACCTTTTTTTTTTTGTTCTCCTTCCCATGTATATTTCTTTTTTTTTTAACCATTCCTTCTTCCTTTCTTTTTTCTTTTTTTTCCCGGTGAGTCTTTACACATGCATGCCTATGCCTCTTCTTCTCTTCTCGTTTGGGGGGGAAAAAAAGACAGAAAAGATGAACAACAGCCGGGGACGGAGGAAAGGATGAGTCATGACTGATGATGGATGTACTTACGGAAAAAAAATCCCGGGGTATATGTATAATAAAGAGATCAAGAAAATAAAAAAAACCATGGTGTTTTCTCTTTTATATGTTCGCGCGGTCCTTTGCTGATTTGATTAGAACGGCGCGAATTCCTCCTGCAGTCGCCGTCGTTCGTCTTCTAGTTCCTTGAGTTTCGCCTCCAGGGCCATTCTCTCCCTCCGGAGACGATCTCGCTTCTTCCGCTCGTACACGCCGCGCACGACGCGCTTCACCTGCGCTTCGCCCTCGGCGAAGTTCGCCTTGGCGAGTCCCACCACCGAGTCGATCTGCTCCGGCGTGTAGACGAAGTTCCACGTCGAGAGGAAGTCGTCCACGTCCGGGTTGATCGAGCTCGGCTTGGGGGCTAGCGGCTTCACGGGGTCCGAGCCGTCGTTCCTAGCGGCATCGGAGGATTTGGCTTTGGATTTGGCTCGTGGGGAGGATGATGTCGAGGGATTATGATCAAAGTCCGGCGCGGACGGATTGGGCAGTAGAGGGAAGTAGACCACGGCGATGCCGGCGTCAGGCTGCATGAGGCGGAAGTCGGATTCGCGGTGGTCTCCGTGGCTGGGATGGAAGAGCCGTTTCGATGGTGGTGGTTCCTTGTCCGATATCTTTTCTTCCTTCGTGCCCAGCCATACGTTGCAGTATGTCAGTTCGCGGTTGTCGGCCTCCAAACGCTGTGTCCGGAGGGTCAGGTCATTCGTGTCCGAGGTCATGAGTGTGTCAATCATCCGGGACTTGTGCTCCGTGCGCGAGTCTTTCGCCTGGACTTCCGTGAGTTTGTCTTCTGCAGCCTTTTCGTCTAGGTTCTGTGTCTCGCGCAGCGTCTTCTCCGTGTCCTCCGGCTTTGTGTCTTCCCTTGGCCATCCCGCACCGATGGGCCAGCCCTTGATTCCTCGCTGTCGTGCGTAGCCATCCACGACCGACAACCAATTTTCCTGCTTGATGTCGGCAGATGCGTCAAAGGCAACGATGATATCCACGTTTCTCCCAGGGCGCAGAAGTGGGTAGATCGGTAGATTATTACTCATGCCCGCGTCCATCAACCGCAAATGTGTGCTGTTGAAGATGGACTCGGGACACGATGCAGGCAGCTTGTCCTTCATGCCAAGCACATAGTTCGGTATGGAGGCCGGGTCAATGGGATGGACTCGAATCAACTCCCTGTTCCGTCCTTCAATCAGCGAATCAATCCCTCCAAAGCCGGCGAGCCCCTTGACCGCAGGTCGGATCTCCTTGTAGTAATGGGACAGGGTCGCGCAAAAGGCGCTGCCCCAAATTCCCATCAGCGCTGGAAGCCGTAACTCTGGCACCGCATATTTGTTGGGAGGCACGGTATTCCTGCCTTCGTTGAAATGTCTCCCCACTGCCCACATGGGGATTCCCGCATTGAATTCCTCGCAAAAGAACTCATAAGGAGTAAACTCGAACCACTGAAACCATGCCTCCTTCCTCGCTGCTTCCTTCAGCTTCTCAGCTGCTTGTTTGCCCTTCGTTTCCTTTCCTTCCACGGCGGGGATCTCGTGACGGACGGCGGTGTAAATGGGCAGAGGGTTGCTGCCATCATCGATGTAGTCTCGCTGGTTGGACAGCTTCAAGTCCCGGTCTGAGAGGTCCAGCTCGCTGCGGGGAACCAGCAGTCGCGCACCCAGCAGCAATCCGTATATGTCCACCAAGCCAAAGTCCGAATCCGGGTCGCCCTTCAACTTCTCCACCAGACCACAGAGGAGGTATTTGTTGGTCGGTGCAGTCGTGAGCAGATTCAAAGCCTTCGGAGGAAAGGCAATATGCACCCCCAGTCGGTTCTTCAAATGCTCGACGAGCTTGTTGAAGTCCCGCCCAGACAGAGACGAGTTGTACAGAGCCTGCAGCCAACAAGTCCCACTCACGCCGGCCGTGTACGTAACGCAATCCCATAGACCGGCTTCCTGCGCCGCGAGGTACGATCCAGTCCCCGCGACAAGAGCCCGTAGCCCTCCCCCCGAACCGCACATGGCGATAATCGGGACATCGTCGGGATGGATGTCCTCCTCCTTGAGGTCTAGATATCTGGCCAACGCCTTGACGGCATGCATCCGGCGCTTGCGCAGGAACGCCAGTTCCTCTCGACAAAGGTCGTCTCCAACACGAACCGTCGCATTGAGGGCAATCTCCGGGTTGATGTCCACATCGTGCGCTTCTCTCCAGATTTCGTCCGCAAGAGACCCGGGAGCCATCGACAGCTCTCGTTGGAGCTTCTGCATGGTCGCCGGTAGATATCGCACCCAGTCGGGCACAATGTAGTTCTTGATGCTGCCGCCGATCCCAGACCACTCAATTGACCCGAAAGAGTCCCTTATCACCCCAAACTTCTGTGTAAATGTCGCCCAGGCGGTGCCCTTCCTCGCGGGCCCTTGCGGCGCGCCATTGGGCTCAGTGTCGGGGGAGTCCGTCGTCGATGGTTCAGCAGGAGGCTCGCTTGTTCGTTTGTTGTCCACATATCGAGATGACGAAGTGGAAAACGCGCTTCTTTGATCCCAAAGTTGTGTTGGCCCGTCAGCGTGCAGTCGCTCCGGGCCCGGAGAATATCCCCAACCACACCATGCGGCCAAGAATGCGGCGGGAGGGACCGTCCAGCGCAGGCGCAACAGCCTTGCGCTGCGCATGGTCGGCCTGGCGTAGCAGAGAGACGGCAGCTTCGAGGACGATGGCATTGAGGGTGTCGCATGGAGCTGGCGGCGGCCTGACGCGCTGCAGACCGTCGCCTGCAACCAACGCATGCGTTCGCGGTGCCTGGCGATCCCCAACGACGACGTCTATGACGACATGATTTGATTGTGGATGGGAACTGTTGATGCCTGAGGCACAAGCGACTGATCGGGCTTAGCTGCTGCAGCTGCCTCAGATCCAGCACTGCGGAGAGCAGCTTGGGCCATCGAACTCCTAGCAATGCCATCGTCCCAGGGCCAGTCTCCTCCCAGCGTCCTCAGGCTGTGCGCATACAGCCAAAGGGTTGCGGGGCCACGAGCCTCTCTCTGCCGCGCGCGTCTTCTTGCGATGACCTGACCTGATCCTCCCCTCCCCTCGGCGACTTAGCACGACTCCGCGACCGGATTGCGATCATGGTCGCCCCCAGGAACGCCGCCTATGCGGAAGAGAGCGCGGAGGTCGAGGTGCTCTACGCCAATCTCGACAAGCTTAAAGTGCTCACCAAGAAAATCCAAGGCTCGCTGGACCGGCTGGAGACGAGCGGCCGCGTGGTCAAGGAGGCCATCGGGCCCATCTACAGCAACACCCAGTCTCTCCAGATCACCAACGCCAACATCGACCGCGTCAATGAGGCCATCGATAAGCTGCGGAAGCCCCTCGATGCCAAGGGCCGCGAGGAGGGCACCATTCGTGCTGGGTAGGATCGTCTCTTCCCCAAGAAATCCAATTATCCATGTCGCTGACAGAATGGAAGCCCCCAGAGCGCTGGCGTGTCGCAGTATCTGTCTGCAATGAAGCGGATCGAGGGCGCGCTGAAGAACCTGACCGCGACGAACCTGCGAGCTAATCAACAAGCCATCGCCGACCTCAACTCGCTGCTGAACACGGGGAGTGCCAAATTGCAAGACCTGTTCCGCTCCATGCTGAAGCAGGATGTCAACCCGGTGGAACCGCTACACTATCTGACAAAACGTGAGTCATAGTCACCTGCTGTCACTCCTTATGTGGACTAGCTAACGACTGGTCCAAAGAGCTGCCTTTCCCTCCCATCCCCGAGGAGACCCTATCTGAGCTAGGACCCATCGCCGCTGCAATCAGCTCGGCGGCCTCTGCCGCGGCCCAGGGGCAACAGCGCCAAGGCGAAGACCCTGCGATTGCGATCTATGCCGAAGTCCGTGGGCCGTATATCACTTCCAGCTTGCAGAATCTCGCCATTGCGTCCGTCAATACAGTCAAGCGACGACCTTCCGATGGCCCGTACAAGCAAGGCACAAACGGTATTGGGGTGTATGCCAGTGCTTTGGAGGGGGTTCATCGTGGTGGAGCATGAAAACATTGTGAAGATATATACAGGCGAACAGCAGGGTCGAGCGCTTCAGGCAACCTGCCGCTCTGCGATGGCGGAGTTTTCCAAGACGCTGCGTGAACTCAACCAGTACATCAAATCCAATCTGATGACGGACTGCTTCCTCGCCTTTGAGATCATCGAGATCGTGACGGCCATGTCCTATCGCATTGATTCCAAGACAGGAGAACTGAAGAGCCTGTTTATCGAGGCCCTTCGGCCCGTGCGCGAAACAGCCAAATCCTCTCTCTCGGAGCTCCTGGAGGAAACAAAGCGGAAAGCAGCGAGTATTCCTGTTCTTCCGCCCGACGGCGGCTCAGTGCCGCTGGTGAACGAGGTGATGAGCTCTTTGACGACCCTGACAGGTTACTCCGGTCCACTGGCGTCCATCCTCACGTCACTGGGCGACGGGAACTGGCGTTCCACATCCAATACAGCAAGCAATGCTCCCCTGGATGTGAGTCCGGACAGCCAGACGCTATTCTCGCACTTCATTCTGGACATGATCGAGGCCCTGATCAACTCTCTCGAGGCTCGCGGTCGGGCTTTCCATCGTTCCAAGGCGACGCTGGGCGTCTTCATCTCGAACATCTTCTGCATTGTCGATCGCTCCATCCGCCAGAGCCCGGAACTGTCCCGCTATCTTTCCAGCCCGGACAGTATCGCGCGGATCGATGCGTTTCGCAAACGGGGCACGTCCACGTATCTGGAGGCCTGGAAAGAGGCGTCACAGCACCTGTTCGATGTGCAATATACCTCTCGAGGCGCCCGTCCTACATCAGGGGGGCCTGTCGACTCGGCGGCGATCGTCAAGTCACTCTCGTCCAAGGACAAGGACACGATCAAAGAGAAATTCAAGTCGTTCAACGCCGCCTTCGACGAACTGGTCGCCCGGCACAAGGCACTCTACGATGGGAGCGCGAGGTGCGCGGTGCCTTGGCGCGCGAAGTGCAGGCCGTCATCGAGCCGCTCTACGCACGCTTCTGGGATCGCTACCACGAGATCGACAAGGGCCGGGGCAAGTACGTCAAATACGACAAGGGAGCCTTGTCCGCGCAGCTACAAGCCTTGGCCTGAACTTAAAGACACAAGATCGTTTATTTCTTGTTCAAAAATACTCGCTGATATTTCCAAAGAACTACAAATATGACGTTTTACACAGTTTCACTGCACTTGATGATGATGGGTTTCTTCTTGTGGGAATTATATATCCCAGGATGTTGTTATCTTGATACCATACCCTATCATAATACCATGTTGATCAACGTCTTAGTATTATATAGTACCGATTAATTTGTTGAAATGACTCAGCTTGAATATATTATTTATTAAATAGTAAACTCGATTAGTATGAACTAATTAACATATGGCTATATTTCATATTCACTATAAGAAGTTGTTTCTGTTATCTTCATTATTATTACTCCATTCACAAACTCAATATTAATAAGAATGTTGTACCGCCACTCAGTTTAGACACTTCCACGCATTTTTTTCAGGAACGTGCCAATGATGTTAGCGGTCTCTCCTTCCCCAGGGAAAAACCCCGACTCAGCCAAGAAAGAATCACATAACGTGTCCTCTCTTTTTCGGAGTGTGATCCGAGGGTTGTCGAAGGAGGGGGTCGTTCTTCGCACATTGACTGATTGGCACGTCATGGACAGGAGCGTGACAACTCAAAGTTGTGCGGACGAGAGGAGAGAAAATTTGAGTAGGGCATCAACCCAAGAGAAGAATTCTGAAGAACCGGATCATATACAGGTTATCGAATGAAGCATACCGAATGACGTTGACGACAATGCAATCCATTATATGTCTTTCTTAGACTGACTTGCAGCTGAAGAATCGAATTCTTCCTCGTCATCGTCTGGCAACGGAACATCCATGACTCGTTCCCCTGCCTTTTCCAGCATACGGCAACTCCAGGTCCTGACACCCTTGTAGACAGCCTACAATCAACCGTCAATATCTGCAGGTGCTATGTGCTAGATGGCAAAGTCACTCACCCAAAGGAAACTGCCCACACCAATAAGCACCACCACCCAGCTGATGGAAGCAACTCGACTCCTGCCCGTCGTTCTACCACCACCGAACAGGCCGGAGGTCCGGATATTCAACCACTGCCATGGAGACGCCGCTAGCAGCACTTTGATGAAAGACAAAACGCCCAGGGATGCTAGTCCCTTGACAAAGTGTTCAAGCCAGGATGTTTTTTCCTCCAGAGGGGGCACATCAAGGACGGGGTCAGGTTCCCAGTCCCAGTCCCAGTCATCCGTGGCGAAGATGGTTCCCAAAGGGTCCGCCCAGAAATTAATGATGGGGTCAGCAATGAAACCAAGCAAAAATATAGTAAACAGCAGTATTCCTAATGTCAGACCAATTTGTGTCGCAGTGCTACTGATACATCGAGCCCATGTCATCCGCTCGAGCCGGTACTGGAACTTGCAGGTCGGACATTGCCAATAGTTCCTCTTCCCGTAGCTGGGGTCTGCATGTCGCCAGGTACGAAGACAGCCTTCATGCACGTACCGGGATGTCCCCTTACACTTGCAAGGCCGCAAAAGTCGACCCAGCTCCGGGTCGGGTGATTCATATGTTACCCGAGGCGATGACTGCAGAAACCCAGGAAGATGCTCGGACGGAGGGTGGAAGGTTGGATAGACTGTTTCCAAACAGATGCGACAAGTCCGCGGAGGATAATGCTTCTTGGGCCTGTTCGATGAGCGCTCAGTAGAGTCAGCTGGTCGACCGTCAGTCTGAGAATGCCCAGAGCGTCCAGCACTCTGGGCAGCAGGAAGATTCTCTGGCCATTTCCAGGACTGTTCGAAGACCATGCTTCACAGCGAGAAAAGAGAACTAGTCAGATCATGCAACAACAGACAGAACGACAAAAATACATAATCACGTAATACACAAGGCAATCTGGAGGTCCCCCTGCTGCATGGGAGGCTGCAGGGACATGGTTGGCGAAATTAAAATCAAAAAAGAAACCAGAAGCTTCGCTGGGCGAGATGCTTCGTTTTTGTGCACGAAAGCTCCACATCGCCCTAACCCAAGAGGGTCACCGCCTTGGGCGCTTGGCGCTGCCGGACACCGCGTCAACACCTGGCCGCCTATCACCTTGCTACTGTCTGGACCTGCCCTGTCCTTCGCCGGCCTCAACGCTGCTTCTTCTCCTTCCTACCTCTTCTCTTTCTTGGCTTTACTTCTCAGAAGCTCTGTTATTGTTTGTAACCATTTTCTGAAGCTTCTGACGTTTAACTGAGCTCCATGGCGGACCGTTATTCATTCTCTCTAACCACTTTCTCCCCCAGGTGCGAGCTCCCGCATTGCCCTCCAGAACGTTGACCTGCTAACAATCATCTGTAGTGGAAAGCTGGTCCAGATTGGTATTTGATTCGGGATCTGTGATTTGGTTTCCTATTGTGCTGATGGTTGCAGAATATGCCTTGAATGCTGTAAACCAGGGTGTCACTGCCCTGGGCATCAAAGGTGCGACCCTAGGAAACCGGCGACCTTGACCGTCTGTGTCGCTGACTATCGTGATCTGCCTAGCCACGAATGGAGTCGTTCTTGCTACGGAGAAGAAGTCTTCCTCACCTCTGATTGATAACCCTTCCCTCTCCAAGATCTCTCTCATCACTCCAGATATTGGCATGGTCTACGCCGGCATGGGTCCGGATTACCGTGTTCTTGTTGATAAGGCGCGCAAGGTCTCTCATACGGGCTACAAGCGCATTTACAACGAGTACCCCCCTACCCGAATACTGGTGCAGGACGTTGCCCGCGTTGTTCAGGAGGCGACACAGTCCGGTGGTGTTCGGCCCTACGGAGTCAGCTTGCTCATTGCTGGCTGGGATGAGGGCGTTGAGCCACAGACGGATGAATCGAAGCAAGGAGAGACTGGATCCGAGACTAGGAAAGTTACGGGGAAGACAGGCGGTATCCTGAAGGGTGGTCCTAGCCTGTATCAGGTGGACCCCAGCGGAAGCTACTTTCCCTGGAAAGCTACAGCCATTGGGAAGAGTGCGACGAGCGCTAAGACTTTCCTGGAGAAGCGATACACGGAAAACCTGGAGCTTGAAGATGCGATCCATATCGCTCTTTTGACTTTGAAAGAGACCATTGAGGGTGAAATGAACGGGGATACTGTCGAAATTGGTAGGGCCCACAATCCCGCTTCACCTGGTTCTGTTAAGGTATTAATGATTTGTTTAGGTATTGTTGGACCGCCGGCGGACCACTTGTTAGGTTACAAGGGTGTCGAAGGAGCCCGGGGGCCGAGATTCAGGAAGCTGAGTAAAGAGGAGATTGAAGATTACTTGACCAATCTATGAATGCGATGTTTGCGTCGTTTATGCCAGTTCACGTCTCGTCTAACTGCCTTGTAATATAATAGACTATGCCAGGTCTTGCTTCCTGCATTCAAGGAATGAACGCGGTCCGTTGGGCACTGGAAGATGTCGCTCACTCACACCACAAGTGGTTCCTGCGGTGCGACTCCGCAGGACGTAGGATAGAGACATCGCTATGCAGCGATGGGGAAGTCTGATATACTTCATAATTCAAGTCCGAGGGCTGGATTCTAGGGAGATTTTGGCCTCCTTATTTGAAATCGAATATTGCTCAGATACTGACATGAATGCGAGGTTAGCTATTATGAGGAGACCAGCGTTGGCAATTGAGAAGTTTTGCTTAATAGAAGACTCTCGGACTCGAGATTACCCAGCTAGACAGCATGTTTTTTATAGTACCTTCTGTCTCTATCAGCTGTGGTACTTGATCGCATAGGATTGTATCACAAGAATTTGCAGATCCGTCCACTCTGCTCTCCTCTCTTTTCCATTATCTTTTCAATAGTTGAAGCGAAAATGTTGGTTTACAGAATACCCAAAGTGGAAATTGTGGACAACATGCGGGGCACGCTGCCTAAACTGGCCGCCCGCTTCTTTATCAGATGCCACAACACCAAGGATAGGACAAAGAAACACAAGATATGTATGGCTTTGGAAGTACATTACGCAGCTCATATCATTGGCTAGGCTGAGGCCAGCCTTGTTTGCTTTCCCATTTGAGAGACAAGCATTGGTGGCTGCTACTCGTGCCAATCGTGTTTCCCAGGTTGCCCCGCGATAGAATGGCGAGGTGGAAGTAACCTGTAGCAGCTGCAACAAAGAAAATCCTACGACGTTTAAATGCTCGAAGCCCCAGTCCACGAGTTTCAAGCTCATCTGAATCCCTTCAGACACAATGCAAGGGAACAAGATCTTAGTCGACAACAACGGTAATGGCATTATAGCGGAAGGAGCGACCACAGGCGAGGCTGAGGCGCCTGTTGGGGAAGCCGCCATGACAATGCCCAAGCCAAGAGGTTATCAGAAGGAAATGTTGGCCGAGAGCTTGCGCCAGAACATCATTGTTGCGGTATGAAAATCCCCGAGTTCCCTGGAGAAAGTGCTTCTGGCTAATGATTTGACCTGCGTTTGATATCCAGATGGATACTGGGAGCGGCAAGACACAAATGTACGCCTCTACATTACACGATCCATGCTTCCATTGTCTCGTTACATTAGCTGAGCTTTCTGATTATTAGTGCCATTATGCGAATTCAAGAGGAGCTGGGACGCTGTTCTCCAAACAAGGCAAGCCATCTCGTTCTGGTCTGTACTGCTTTTGCTAACAACGCTTTTCTATAGCTTGTATGGTTTATTGCCCCCACAGTGGCTCTTGCTGAACAGCAACATTCGGTCATTTCTCAGCAGTTACCGGCTTTTCAAACTCGAATTTTGTCGGGCAACGACAACGTCGACCATTGGAGCTCGCAAAGTGTTTGGGATGCGATTCTCTTCAATATACGTATCGTCGTCTCTACTCCTCAGGTGCTCTTGGATGCGATGTGGAGGGGTTTTGTCAAGTTGGACCGGATAGCATTGCTTGTTTTTGACGAAGGTGGTGTAAAAAAAAAGTTCCCAGTAGTTGTTTGTACAGACAATTGACTTCCATTTCAGCCCACGGTTGTGTTTCCTCATCCCCAACAAACATGATCATGCAGTACTTCTACCATCCAGCTCGGAAATCTGGGGAAACAACTGAACTCCCCGCGATCCTTGGATTGACCGCAAGCCCGGTCACAAAGGCGAATATTGCAGGCTTAAAGTACGTTGTGAATCTTGAGAGCAGGAGAGCCTATGCTGAGAATTTACAGAGAAATTGAAGAAATTGAAGAGAACTTGAATGCAATCTGTCGCACTCCAGTGATACACCGCGAGGAGCTTTTGAAACATACCCACCACCCTGAAGTATCCACAGTGATATATAAGGAGTACTTGGAGGAGCCCTCCGAGCTGTTAAAGACTCTCGAAAGGCTTCTTGAATTGACGTTGGTAGATATAGAAAATGACCCTTATGTCATATCCCTCAAAGAGAAAAAGGATGAGAAGAGCGAAGCAAAGCTACTGGAAGTTCTTTCTTCAGGGAAGACTCTCTGTCGGAAGGAGCTCAAGGGACTTCGAAATCGTGCTCTTGTGATCCACCGTGAACTCGGACCTTGGGCCGCAGACGTGTTTGTGACCACTTGTGCTGAGAGATTCATCGCCAACGTCTCTGCAGCATCTGAAAACGACATGTTTGCCGAATGGGAAATGGAAGAAAAGATATACATGGTGAAACTATTTTCTCAGCTACCACCCTCTCCGGTGAGCAGGCGTTGGGGAACTCAACCCGATGTGTTGTCCCACAAAGCTGAACGGTTGGTTCAAGTATTATTAGAGTCATATAACCCAGGATATCGGGTTATTGTCTTTGCCCAGCAACGCAGCACTGTATTGATGCTTGCGCATCTTTTATCCGTCCACCCAGGCATGAAGGGAATAGTGACGGGTCATTTCCTTGGATGTTCTAGCTTCGCTAGTCGCAAATCGAATATTACTGAGCTATCTGCTCCTCGAGATCAAAAGGATGCGATCGACGATCTACGGATTGGAAAGAAAAACGTTCTTGTCGCAACCTCAGTTCTCGAAGAAGGTATCGACGTATCAGCATGCAACGTCGTTATTTGCTTTGATCCACCGACGAATTTGAGGTCCTTCATTCAAAGAAGAGGCAGGGCCAGAGACAAGAAATCAAAATTTATTATATTCCTTGATGAGAATGACAACAACAAGCAAGCAAAGTGGAATGCAATGGAGGAGGAAATGAGAAAAGTATACTCTGATAATATGCGCCTGTTGAGGGAAATCGAGGAGAAGGAAAATATTGAAGAATACAGTCCGGAATGCTTTCGTATTCCGTCCACAGAGTAAGTAGTATAAAGCCTATATACGAGAAAAAGAAACGAGTTTATCTTACTGACCGCACAGGGCCATTCTCAACTACCAGAATGCACGCCAGTACTTGGCACATTTCTGTTCTACTGTCTCCTGCCCCTATACTGAGAATCAACCGGACTTTGTTATATATGAGGATGACAAAGATCTGGTCACGGCGAAGGTGATTTTACCCAGCTTTCTGGACCCATCTCTTCGGGAGGCAAAGGCAAAATCCAGTTGGGTTACAGAAAAGATGGCAAAAAGAGACGCTGCGTATCAGGCGTATTTATCGCTTTACAAAGCAGGTCTGGTGAACGACAACCTGATGCCCATTCATTGCGAGAAATACATGGACGACGCCGAGCCGACTGAGAAGCAAGTAAAGCTTGTCCAGATATCACCATGCTTCGATCCCTGGGTTGAAATAGCCCACATGCGCAGGTCGAATCTACCTCTCTTCCAGACCAGGATAGAGTTCTCATCGGACGTTCTGGTATTGCCTCAGATGCTCATACTGCTTCCGAAACCTTTGCCTTGTGAATTGACATTTGACCTGTTTTGGAATGAGGAAACTACTATCACCGTATGCCTCCGGCCGGTGAAAGATGGCTGTCTGGATGTAGAAGCCCATCACGCTGCGGAATTTTCGTATATATTGCTGTCTTCAGTTTTCCAGAGACGAATGACTCCCGATCGCAGCGATCTTGTTACATTGTTTTGGCCGAAACTGGAACCTTCACTCGCCAACGTTGAGACCTGGCTTTCGTCAATAACAGGCACATTCATGGCTGAAGAGATAATGGACATTCATAATTTGGAAATGCTTCAACAATTAGGGTTGGCTCGGAATATAGAGTATGGCCGCCGTCCCTTTGCCATTGAGAAGACTCTATACAAGGTGACCGTGGATGATGATTTCGTCAGCGGTGATGGTACTGCTCAATCACGAGAGGAATTGCATCTCCAAGGCACTAAAATTCCGAAACGCACTGATTTTCTACACCCGGTAGCTGGCGATGCAAAGTCGCGGTTGCATCATACTGCTAAACAATGCGTCGCTGCTCGTTCCTGTGCCATCAATCGGCTTCCGGCGACGTACTCGAGATTTGCACTTTTCGTACCTTCAATTACCCACAAGATCGAAATCTTATTTGTGGCAGAGAAGTTATCACAAACAATCCTTGCTCCGGTGGGCTTTGAGAATTTACATCTTGTGGTTACCGCTATAAGCGCTTCGTCAGCAAGAGAGGCAACAGATTACCAGCGGTTCGAATTTCTGGGCGACAGTCTCTTGAAATTTCATACTTCGGTCCATCTGACCGCTATGAATCCTATTTGGCACGAGGGACTCCTATCATGCGCGAAAGACAAGATTGTCTCCAACACTCGACTGTCAAAGGCGGCCCTTGATCTCGGTCTGGATGCGTATATCTTGACCAAAGCATTCACAGGAATCAAATGGCGACCAAGCTATGTCTCAGACCTTTGCGAACCCCACTCAAGAATGGGCAACAAGAGGGAGTTGTCAAGTAAAGTGCTTGCAGACGTGGTGGAAGCGATAATTGGCGCTGCATACCTCGATGGCGGTATCGAAAAGTCGTCCAGATGTCTTCCTATCTTCCTGCAGGAAGTGGAATGGATCTCTATGGATGGTGCGATTGAGAAACTCTACCAGAGAGTGCCAACACCAAATGATCTCGTTTGTCCCTCAGTGTTGCCTCAGATAGAAGCACTCCTTGGATACACGTTTTCCAAGAGGATCCTCCTGGTTGAAGCTTTGACACATCCCTGCAGCAAAGATCACACTGTGTCTTACCAAAGACTGGAATTCCTAGGAGATTCGGTTCTTGACCACCTAGTCGTTCAAGAGTTGTTCAAATCTCCAAGAGAAAAATCCCATCAAGACATGCACCTTATGCGAACGACACTCGTTAACGCGGACCTCCTGGCCTTCCTCTGTATGAACCTCTACCTGGAGGAGGACCGCGAAGACCCTGTGGAGCAGGGCCAGGCTCATCTCTCAACAATTCGCACCACACGGAAGGTCTATCTATGGCAATTCATGAGACATTCAGCATCTTGGGAAATCACGACTGCGCAACAACAGGCACTCAGAAGATACGAGGATCTTTGTGACGAGATCCACGAGGCGCTGGCTCACTCTGCCATGCACCCTTGGGCATTGCTGTCGAGACTCGAGGCAGGGAAATTCTTCTCTGACCTGATCGAAAGCATTTTGGGTGCCATCTTCATCGACTCACACGGCTCTTTAGACACATGTCGACAGTTTCTGCACCGCATTGGGTTCATGTCATACATGCGACGTGTTGTCAACGAGGAGGTTGAACTGCTACATCCGCGGAATCGTCTACAGCATGCTGCGGGATCGGCGAAAGTAGATTTCAATACGAGGGCGGAAAGAGTACAGAATGGGGCGGGAGAATCCAAGCTCCAGTGGACTTGCAGTGTTCGAGTGGGTGACGAGGATATCATCGAAGTTGGCGACGGGTTGAATAGAGTCGAGATCGAGACCAAGGCTGCCGCCGTCGCGGCAGCTATCTTAGAGGCGAGGGCAGCAGTGGAGCCGGTTACGGGGTCGAGCGAGACGAGCCCTGATCAGATTCCAAACCACTCGTCTGGGATGGATCTGACCGCTGACTAGACACCTTTGATGCGATTTCTAGAAAACGGAGCACATGATGTCATCAGCAAAGTTCTCAGTTTTGGACAGAGACTCGGAGGATTTTTGGACAGCAGTGTTCTCTGACTTGGTTAGAAGACCTGCGCCCATTGGCTTAGCATGCAACGGAATACGAGCTGCATGTGACTTTGTGGGTTTATGGTCGTCCCTTGGTGCTAACACTATCATTCTTACGACTTCAATTGGCTTCCCAGCTGCCAAGGAGGCCCCCAAAGCGGGACGACTGTGTGGCTTGACGCAGTGATCATGTGGCTGCGGACTGCAAGCCTGCAGCCTGTTCTCCTAAGAAGCAAAAGGCGATTCCACTAATGCCGGCGACAAGTGAAGCTATTCTGTACCTGCATACTGTTCAATGCGATGGACAACCCCATTTGTTGCTTTCTCTACGAGCGCGTCGTTGCCCAGAAAGTGGCTTTCCTTGGCGCTTGGCCCATGATAAGGCCTGATAGTCGCATGACCAAAGGCTCCACAGGGGCGTTGTGCCGCTGTGCGGCCTGGTAAGCGTGCATCGTGAATGATTCAAATTTGAATTGTTTTGGACTATATTCTTACTTCTTTAGTTCTTACTGTGCGTCATGATTCATCACTGGCCAGCTTGCTGGATGATAGGGCAGTGGGCGAGGCCGCAGCGACCAAAAGAACCTGGAAACTCACGGATTTTCCCCCCTAATCCGCAGCTCTAGGCCCATAACGGAAGGAGTCGAAGAACGGCGTGCGACGATCCAACGCCCGTTTCCGAAACGGGGCGATCCGGGGGCCTTTTTTTGGCCGACTGGGGCAGATGCGGGGAAACTAAGCAGAGGAGATCCGGTTTTTACGGCCCCTGTCGAATCTCGAATGTCGATGACACCTGCCACGAGTCAGGAAGGATTGGCTAGTTGCGCTCGAGCCGCTGGCCGAATTTAAAAACAAACTCGACATGTTTTGGAGTCGGCCGATAACGCTGGCCTCGTTTCCCTGTTGGAGGAACTTGGTGCCGGCGCCGCGCAACGGTGCAACCCAACCTCGTAAGGATCGAAGCAATCGATCCTTTTCGTCAATAGTCCAGCAAGAGTCAAGACTACCGGGGAATAAACTTCTGAACTATTGGCGATACGATGTGGCTATTCCTATGCGGGAGAACGCAGGACAGGGCCTGCCCAAGTTCCTGGTGCAAACTGCAAAGAGCTAACCAGATGCTTAACTTTATAGATTAACTTTGTAGGGCGTGAATTCGAAACTCAAGCGCGTACGGCCAAGCCTTAAAGGCCTAAATTAAGCGAGCAGGATGGAAATGGAACTCATACGATCATTAATAACATTGTTTGGCCCGTTATTTGTACGTACTGGACATCCTACATACAAGACGTCCGCAAGTCATCACCTCCTTGCTCTATCCTCACGCTGTCCATTCATTCCAATGCTTGTCTGATTTACCGTTCCTTTCTTCTCATCCTTTTCAGGATCGCCTTGGGATTCCTAAGGACTGGCGGCATTTGTTTTCCCGATAGTATGCATTGAAGATCGGATTGGGAATCGGTTCGCCTTAGCTAGAAACTGTGAAGACGAGAAATCGGCATTGATCCAGCAGAACTACACCTTGTTTCGGGTTGGAGTTGCAGATCATCTGCGTGTCTGCCATTTTTGTTTTTGTTTTTCTTCAAGGTGGATTGTGTAACACCGCATAACCTGAGTAAGCTCCGGGAGCTTCGATCTACCCTCTTGCTGGTATATCGTCATCTCTAGCGTGCTCGTCCCTCGTTTCAAACCTGCGATGCCGCAAGTTCAGCTGCTTGCGATGAAATACAACCGAGAGGAATGCAGGAATTGATGGTGGCTGCCAACCTCTTGAAGAAGGACTGTTTCAGTAGCCCGCAAGAATATAGAAAGAATCAGCATTCATTCGCGATTCTATCGACGGTTCTATCATCCGTCTCATTCAGCAAAAGCAATGTCGGCCTCAACGGACGGGCGGCTGGAAGGGATATCGGGAGCATTTCAGAGCCAGACAAGTAACGTCCGGCTGGCTCTTGTCGTCTTTATCATCCTGTCTTTGTATAATGTGGTCGAACTGGTGGTTCTGATTCTCTCCTCCTTCCGGCGACGCAGGGGACTGTACTTCTGGAGTCTTTTCCTGTCTGCCACGCTGGGCGTCTTGCCATATTCACTCGGCTTTCTGCTGAAATTCTTCACCAACATCAGTCCTTATATATCGGTGACGGTGCTGTCAGTGGGGTGGTGGGTGATGGTCACCGGCCAGGGGCTGGTCCTATATTCTCGACTCCATCTCGTCCTCCGAGACCAGCGGAAGCTTCGCCGTGTGCTCTACATGATCCTGGCTAACATCCTCCTCCTGCACGTCCCCACGACCGTCCTGACCTATGGATCCAATGTCAACCATCCGACTTCCACCTTTATCAATGGCTACAACATCATGGAGAAGATTCAGATGACGGGATTCACCATCCAAGAGGGCATCATCTCGGGGCTGTACGTTTACCATACGGTCAAAATTCTGCAATCCGCCTCGCAGCAGAAACGGGAGAACCGGAGGATTATGCAGCAGCTCGTGGGGATCAACGTCCTGATCATCATCATGGACCTTGCGCTCCTGGGTCTCGAGTACGCCAGTGAGTACGCGATCCAGATCACACTGAAGGGCGCCGTCTACAGCCTGAAGTTGAAGCTCGAATTTGCCGTCCTGGGCAGACTCGTCGATTTCGTCCGCCTAGCCCGTCACGCGAACTCGGCGAACAGTTTCCGTCTAGGCTCCCTGCGGTATACCGCTGACCAGGGGGCAGGGGCTCCATCGACGCGGGCAGATGATCCGCATTTCTATGGAGAAACCGTCGCGGACGCTGTCGTGAGGCCACCGCAGAACTCGAGCGAGGAGCAGCTTAATATCCCTTTGGGGATGATTCTGACCAAGACGGAATTTTCCACCAGCGTCGAGAAAAGACCGCCGCCGGAATATGATCGAGATACTGACGGGTGAGGCATGTGATTTTATTATGCTATGTTTGTATAGTAGTTTCTTTTTTGCCCATCTCTAATGTGTATATGAATTAATACGTTTACGAGGCTATCCTTTGTTTATTCTCTTTTTGATTAGCAGATATCACGATCTCTGCTCGGTATGATGAGTAAGAGGCGACTCTGCCAATCTCTAAGAAGAAAATTTGCCAGAGTTTTGCGGAGAAGTCAAAATTAAATGAGCACCAAAGCCCCAAGTCCATCTGTCTGCTGTCCAGCTTCGAGGCCAGGTTCTGCTGCATCCACCTCGACTCACATGCCAAAATTGTGGTCATGCCCACGGAGCAGAGAATGGTCCACTACGCTTCTGTACCACCCAGTCGAAAATCAAGCTTGTAGAACTTTGCGTGATGGCCAGCTGCATCGTATCGTATGGTCGTTGCGACTACTTCGGCTGCGAGTGCAGGTTTGTCTGACCAAAGCAGCCTGCAAGTTGTCATCCTTCCCAATGTCCACTTCCCCAGCTGTACCACATCTCCAGGGCGATAAGCCAATCGGCACGACCTCATCCTGCCCATTGCTCTCGGAATGGCAGCCACTGCATGCGAGATGCCGTCTGTATGTGGCCTCTTGATGGCACCGGCTGGAAAACGCTACTCTCTTTGGTTGGCTGTCACAAGTAACGGCTCCATTGTCTCTGTGGTCATCCAGTGGCAATTGCAAAGCTGACCATGGAATATATTCAGTACACACTACAGCATCTGCTTTATCGGGTGTTTGCTGTGTACGCTGGCTAGCCAATGATGGGCGGCTCGGCTATATTTCCCAGCCAGCAGTGCGGATACGGAACCCAGCTACATACATAATGCATGCGATGTCTTGATGCCTAGACTGTTAACCGCAGTGCTGGACTTGATTTCTGAGGATCCGAATTGACGTTCGGACGATGACAGAAAAGATGCCCGGGCGTACGGACAAGACTGTACGAGAGCAAGCTGCTCCTTTTCGGGTGGCGACTATCACAAAACTTCAAAGATGGCAGCAAGCAACAGGGCCATCATGAGGTTTTCTCCCTCCAGACACACTATTTGCAATTGCCACTTATCCAGACGACAAGAGGATCATTCAGCATTTATCAGGACGACGCACAGCAAGCGGCCTCTGTCGGCTGCCCTCGCTTCCCCACCCGTTCTGCCGCCGGAGCTCTAACGCGCGCACTGTTCGGGCTCAATTGGCTCGAGAAGATGGACGACTCGCCTGCAAACCCCCGCTTCCCTCCTGCACCGTGCTCGGCCAGCAATGCACTTTCGATGTCACGATCAACGTGGCCCGCCTCGACGTCCAAAGCGTCTGCTCGGTGGCTGCCCTAACCCATGATTAATATGATCGCCTATTTGCACAGTGCTGCCACCATCCACCACTGCCTGCCCACCTCCTTCTCACCTGCTCCCTGCGATTCTCCCATTGAGGCTCAACCACCTCCACTGCTGTCAGCAACGGTCATGGCCGACGGAAGCTTAGCTTGAGAGGGTGTGTGTGCGTCTGCGTCTTATGGACTGTCGACATCGTGGGATGCTGTGGGACTGAAGAGAGATCTGGAATCCTATATTTTCAATATGCATTTCGCAGACCAGTGACTGGGATAGGCTCTCCTGTGAGTGTCCCTTTTTCTGCTCTTTCCTTCTCTCCCCCTCTGTTCTCAATTTGTCGAATCGACGTTATAATAATTATAATTTTTTTCTGCCTCCGTCTGGAACGGACCTTGTTGTGGAGATTAATTTTCTTGCTATTTGTATTTTGTATTTTGTATTTTTTTTTAAAAAAAAATATTTTTGTATTCTACTTCCCTGACAAGTGCGTTCTATCCCTGATATCTGCAACTGGAAGCACGAATATTGACAGCACAATCTAGTGGATTTTTCGTCGCTTGCGGCTTCGAGACTGAGTGCTTGGGAGCAGGATCGCCCTGGCGGATTTTCCGATCGTCTGGCCTCCTATTGTCTGTCTGATACCCCATTGGAAATTCAACAGCCACGTTCCCGTCCTCGTGTACTGATATCCTCGGCCCGTTCTATGGTGGTCCACGACGGTGCCGGCAGAGGTACGACCGTAACCGATAGTCCAGGAACAATGACGCCGCCGTCCAGTGCAGTTCCCAGTCTCTCCGATGGTTCAAGCTCGCCGTCCTCCAGTTCTATAGCTACCAAGATGGCGGCGGGGATCGAAGGGACTAATGTCCTGGAGAACGATGGCACGGGCAACCTCGTCGCTCCAGAAAGACCACCGACTCAGGCAATTTATCATTGCCTCTTCCACATTCTCCCTTGTGACTACAAAGCGGATCGCGTGGACGAGTGGAAAACGCATGTTCTCAGCCACTTCCGAGGCAGTCCACTTCCGTCGACGGCTCGATGCCAATGGTGCTCTGCTAATTTCACCCAAGTTCAACCGGGTAGCGCCTGGGATGCCATGCTCGAGCACGTGGCTCACGACCACTTTGAGCGAGGAGATACCCTCGCGTCCAGCCAGATCGACTTCGAGCTCATGCGGTATCTCTACTGTTCAAAGGTCATCACTGCGGATCAGTTCAAGGCGGTCCAGCTCCCGCCATCGCCCTCCAGCCCCGCATACCGTCAATCCCAGGACTCAGTCCGGGCCAGAATTGGCTCCTCGGACGAGCCGTTCTGCTCTAGTTACAGCCCACGACGGGAGAAGAGGATGCGCCAACAACGACGGGGTATCAGTGTTGCATGAGCGAGCAGATACCAGTGCAGCCCTTTGATAAGGAGGCGATCAGCTGAGGATCAACATCTTACTGAGTCCCGGATTCAACTTCAATTCTTCCATTTGTATTGACCATAACCTTCAAGTATGACATAGCACTATACACGGCTGATTCGCAATGCAAGGGCGCAGATAGCAGGTCCTCATGTGTCGTCATTCGACGCATACAAAGGGCATGCCATGCTGAATGACAATGGCCATGAAAGGCTACAACCGCGAGTCACCGCATTAGTGCCCTTTACGTTTCATTCTTGTCGATTTAATTTTCTTTAACGTCCGAATCGACTTCCCTTTTTGCTGTAAGGATAAACAGACACGTTTTTTGTTTTTTTTTTTTAAATGCCTTTTGCCTCGCATTGAAATTGACATTTACTTTTATGGATACAAATGGGAGGATTAGTTTTTTTCAGTTTCGTTTCGAGTTTGTCTCCTCATTGCAATTCGAGTATTTTCTTGGAGGAAGTCTGCTTTGTTGCCACGCGATACCCACGGACCTTGCAAACAAGAATGTTTGGAGCCTTATGAAGATCGTTGCGAGATCGTCCAGGTTGTGGAGATCACGGCAGCGGCAGGCTCGGCCAAATCGACATTCAATTCAATTCAATTCAGTAATGTGCTTAGTCTTGATATTTTTGAGGAATCTACTTTATCAACAGAAATGAAAAATCATAGTCCTATTTGAACACGCGTAGTAAATGCATCTTCTGTCGTTGAGCTAGCTTCTTTTTGGCATTAACCCTCAAGAGAGAGGCACGGCCAATTCGTCCATCTGGCGTAGATAAGAAACGTCGCAAGTCCAAAGAGGATGCTGATCAATATTCCGATACTTGGACGTGGGCGTGTGGGCGATTCAAACAGAGCAAACACATCCCGCATGATCGCCAATGGCCGCAAGGACGATCCAGGCACCTTTGCTATTGCTTTGAGCTCAATTCCTGGTTTCAGTCTATCGGGTCTGATTCTGCGGAAATCAGATCTTTCTTGTCTGATGGCATAATCGAATCCAGCTCCATTCTTTTTTTTACCAGAATGATAGCGTTATCTTCCTCACTGCGGACTTAGGAAAACCTCCCTCCTCCGACGAAAATATCACACTGCGTTGCGCGGTTCTCTCTCTCTTCCCCGCCCTCACCTCCGCAAGGAAAGAAATCTTGACACAGCGACCTTTTGTTCCGCCGCTGCCATCATAGTCCCGAGTCATGGAAAGACTCTCCCTTCATGATAATCCCGCCGGGGCACCGCAATTGACGAATGCGCACCACGGTCATCCTCCTCCGCAGAATGTCGCCGTACCGCCTCCGCCTCCACCCCCCTCGGGGCATCCGCCGATGATGCCTCCCCAAGGCCCTCCTCAGCTACCTCCGCAGATGTTTACAACTGCAGCTCAGTTACTGGATTTGACAGATAGTGAGCTCCCCCACTTTTACTGTATTTGGAGGAGGATGGTTGTGACATCCCCCTTCTGGAGATACTGGTTCTTGTCAATGATGGATGTACTTCATTGCATCTGGGTCCGATCAACAGGGGGTTTACATGTGTTTAAGCTAGGAATTTTGTTGCTAACTCTTGTTATTTTTGCCTAGAGAAACTCGTGTTGGTCCTCCGTGACGGAAGAAAATTGATTGGAGTTCTGCGAAGTTGGGATCAGTTTGGTATGGATTGCTGGCCATCCACTGTCCATGACAACCGCGTGAATCATGGTTCTGACACGGGCGCATTGTCACAGCAAATCTGGTTCTCACGGACACGATAGAGCGCTTGTATGCTGGCAACCTCTACGCTGATGTTCCACGGGGTCTTTACCTTGTACGGGGAGAGAATGTCCTGCTTCTGGGAGAGATTGTGAGTTGGACTCTGCCCGGTCTTTCCATTCAAGCAGGTCGATCTGTCGACTTCCTGCTGGATATCCATCTCCTCTTTTGTGCTGACATAGGTGCTAACGCTGGCACAAGGACCTTGACAAGGAAGATGATATTCCCCCGTTTTTGACCAGGGCATCGCCTCAGGAGGTCTTTGAGCTTAAGAAGAAGGAAGACAATGAGCGAAAGAGTCGGGATAAGAAGCGCCACGGGAAGCTGCAGGACCTTGGGTTTGAGCCCGAACACAGCGGAGAGGTGCTATTCTAGCATGTCACATGTGTCAGGCATGCTATTTTCAAAAGAGGCGTCTTGCCCACGTTTATAGACGACAACTGAATATAATAGCGGGGAAAAAAAAGAGTCCTCCCAGACAGGGGATCTCAGCTCCTCCGGTTTTCTTTTTTTTTGGAGGGGGTCGAATCGAATTCAACCCCATACGCCACAAACCCCATGCAGATTTCTCTGCACACTTGCTTCATCGAACAAACCAGCTGTGATCAAGAAGGATCGACAGACATCTACATACAATGGTCGCTGGTTTCACGATCGTATTAGTTTCATTGTTTCTTTTCTTTTCTTTCCTTATTTATTTTATTTCGGTTTTTTAAATCACGCCTTCCCTTCCACGGAGCGTGGCAGAACCAGGTGACCCAGGCGTCGCAGAATATTGTGAAATGCTTCGACCTGAGGATTGAATTGATTGAGATGAATTGGAAATAGAAAATAGTGGCCGCTGGGTCAACTAACTAGGTAGATTTCTCTGATGAGAAATACATCGACAGACATTGCATTATTATTAGCATCAATGGGGATTAATCCCCATTCTTCTCGTTCTGCCTTCCCTTTTTTTTTCCCTCAAACTTGGTAAATAGATGATTAAAAATGAATAAAATACAGGGTAATTACGACAGTCTCTTATGTTCTGTTCTTTTTTTTTGCGGAGAGTATGAATCCGATACTGTAGAATAATCAATCACATAGCAGATATTGAAGGCTTTTTTTTTCAATAGTTCCCAGTCCTGAAAAGCTGATGATCATACAGATACATACATACAATCATCTACGGATGAGACGTATGTGCAGTACATACATCCGATGAATATATATAGGCAGCACGACCTTAGCTAAGGTCGCCATATTAATTAGATAACTGGTCAGACCTCTCTATTGGGGTTTGGGACAGTACTATCTTTGAACAAAACGCCCAATTTTCAATTTCTGGTGGGGGAAAAAAATTTTTCTTTCTTGGATGCAGATTTAACCAAGAAACCAGGAAGAGTTGTTGTACAGTACAGTACAGACCTTGCAAGACATTTCACAATTGGATTTGGATTGGCTTTCGTGAAAATTGCTCGAGCAGGTTGTTTGTACTGTACCTGCTTCAGTATATATATTATATATATATATAAAGCTACCTAAACTTGGTGAACGGCAATGGTGACCAGGTGGACACCCCAGAAGCCAAGGCCCACGCCTGCAGACAGGTTCTATATATATGTGACTATCGGACATGGTGTCTCTTTTTATTTTCTCCTACACCTTTCCTTTCCTTGTTTCCTTCTGCTTCACTAAGTAGGTACCTAAGGTTCTTAAGTCGTAGCGTTACCCCATATAGATTAGATAGGTAGAGGGCTCACTACTCATGTGACCTTCCAGTCGCGTTATGGCCAACAACCATAAAATGTTATTTTTCTTATTTCTAGGACCCTTTATCTGCTGATTTTTTTTTAAAAAAAATAATTCCCAAACATTAGCAAAAAGAAAAGGGAACTGCTGCATCGACCGGGAGTCGAACCCGGATCGCGTGCTATGGCACAGCCTTTTATGGAAGGCACGCGTGCTACCGCTACACCATCGATGCATTTGATGTTGTAAGTGTACAGAAAATCTTCCTTTCTTACAGAAATTTATCTGCTGATTTTTTTAAGAAAATCAGTCCCAAACAGCCAAAAAAAGACTGCGTCGACCGGGAGTCGAACCCGGATCACGTGCTCTCGGCAGATTGACGGGATTTTTTTTGGAAGGCACGTATGCGGACCGTTACACCATCGACGCTATCTGATAGTGAGGTAGTAAAGGAACCGAGAAAAAGAATTTAACAACCTGCTGCAGGGCCCAGGGATTTCTGTGAAAAACTGTTTTCGGTAAAGGTGGGGATGTGGGGCGGAAGATAATGTTTTTAGGCAGGAAGGAACTGTGGCACCCAATACTGTCAGAGACCTGACAATAATACAGGCAGAAATTTCACGCTTTGCAGAAGGTAGGGATTGGATTGATTTGTCATAGTATCAATTAGAAAAGAAAGATCCCCTACTAAGTTGCGGCGACATTCACACAGCACTCATGTTTGGCCCATATGAATGAGGAGGTGGTGGAGAGACAAGAAGCCCTCCAAAGTCTTCCAAGAGGTGATGAAATCTAGACTTGGACACTAAGCCAGTAATATGTAATGAAGATCAAAATATAAGTAACTCACAGTTAAGTAAGAATGTGCTTCTGTTTTTTTCCCCTCCGACGCTGTGAATAATAGCGCCATGGAAACTGCAGAAAAGCTTTGCCAGACAGGTGCAACAATATTAAGATGTTGACTAGCCCACAATTTGTTTTTCCCACTGGGTAGATATTTTTCAAGAGCTTGAGCTGGTAATGTCTGGAAAATGTATGTCATCCACATCTCTTCTCCGTGTTTCTTCTTGATTATGACCTTACAAGATTGCAAGGGTGACAAAAGTTGATTGGATGTCCTCTTTACTATCCCAGAATGTATACATTTAATGGAGGCTTTTTTGGCGTCTTCGAAATAATTGATTTTGGTGATCAGTAATTCGGTTTTTCAGATTTATTGATTTCCCAACGTAAAGGCAGAAAAGATCCTTGTTATTATACTCCCATAGAATATTCATATATCCCTGCTTTTTCAATAGTCTCAGGGTTCCCATCAATTGATAGCAAGCTTCTCAAGATTCAGTCATTTTCTTTCTTAGATAGAATGTGATAAAAACTTACCTCTCCAAATTGAAGGACCCAGTTCGACATATTTCTTTCACTGCTGCACATAAATCTTTATTTTTTTAAGCAGAATCTCAACATTCTCTTTGCGGCTCTTTCTAGGACGTATGGCATACCCATCATTCATTGGTCTTTCTAAATTTGTCCTGGCCCTCTGCTGTTTGCTCAAGGACCAGTAAAATAGAGTAGCAGGGACGTCATCATCATTGTCTTTGTTCCACTGATGTTGTTTATAGATGGAGGTAAATTCCTTCATAAGGCGGTCTGTGGTCTCCTGGCGTAATTTCTCCTCCTCCTTAGTCTTATTGAGATGGTGGTCTGGAAAGAGGTTTGTATCGATTTCCATTTTAAAACAATCAATAAAAAAATGGTATTAGGTCATCATACAGACTGGAATGGACGGTACAGTTCAGGTATTTGTCTCTTGAAGCTTTCGAGAGCCGTGATTGCTTCCTTTGTTAGCATGATGGAGTGCTGAATCTCAGTGCTAGGCAAGAAATGTAGCCATAAATCTCATAGAAAAGCTCTTGGAATAAATATCTATCTAGCTGGTAAGGCATGGTGGGTGCGCGCCGCTATCGATAGCGATTAGTGCCGCCAAGCCTGTGTATCGGCGGTGAAAATTATTATTATCGGAACCGCTAAAAATTATTATCTCCGCTTCCCACCTCGTGTGTGCTGCCACCAAACAGCGACAAAAACAGATCTAGCGTCGAACTTCTCAAGCTGCCTCGGGGGCGTTCGCTTGAAGGAAACCAAAATGGCGACCCTGGCGGAGAAGTTCGACAAGATCAAATCGCCCAACCTGCAGAATCAGCGCCATGTATGTTTCTCTACCACCTCCGCACTGTCTCCCTCATGAAGTTTAAAGTCCGCATTTTCCCTTGTTCAAGCTGACCAGTGATCTGATGGATGATGGATGATGCTAGACCGCGATTGTGCTCAATGCTGTTGAGGATACGCTGCGCGACCAAAAGGCCGATTTCTCCCCCGCCGCGTATTTCGCTGCTCTCCTCGCGCTGCTCAACCAGGCGCTCTCTAGTGAACGTGGAATTGTCAACAAAGAGCTAGCCACGTCGGTGGTCTATCTGCTCGACATCACCGCTGACTACGTCCCCGCTCCCCTCCTTCGTTCCAAGTTCTCCCAAATCCTGACCAACCTCGTCCCCGCCCTTACACTCCCCGATGTCGAAGCGCCGCTGCTGCGACCCTCCATTGGGTGTCTCGAGTCTCTGCTGGTGGCCCAGGATGCCGCTGCATGGGCTCTGCCACAGACCCAGATCGGCCCGCGCCGGGCGACTGCCGGTCTGTTGAGCTTGGCTGTCGACCACCGGCCCAAAGTGCGCAAGCGAGCGCAGGAGGCGTTGATCAAGGTCTTGAAAAACCCTCCGCCCAGCCCATCCTTGGACCATCCGGCGGCAGACATGTGTGCGGAGACGGCGCTGCGCACATTGCATGACAGTGTGACCGCCGCAGGGAAGAACAAGAAGGGTCGCCATGGGCCCCAGAATCACGACCCCGCGATCATCCACTCCTTGCACCTCATTAAGACGGTCGCGTCTGCATCCGGCGGCTGGCCGAGCAAGAAGATCGAGCCTCTGGTCGAGTTGCTCATGAATGTCTCGCGTTCCAGTAACGAATACGTCACCATGGCGGCTTTCGAGGTCTTTGAAGTGATTTTCGAGGGAATGGCAGACGACTTCTCTTCCGCGAAGCTGCCACGGCTTCTGGAAGCGATCCAGGAGTTGAAACCGGCGCAGAACGACTCCCAGCTTCTTCCACCGTGGATTGCGGTCTTGTCGAGGGGTTACGACGTCTCTGCGCAGATCAACCCGCAAGAGACCTTCGAGAAGCTGCCAGAGCTCTTCGAGATGGTTTCCGCTTTTCTGGCTTCTCCATCGCAAAACATTCGAATTTCAGCGTCGGAATGCCTCATCTCATTCCTCGCCAACTGCATTCCCAACAGTGTCATTCTGGAGCCTTCCGTCTACGACGAGAAGACGTTGGAGAAACTGGCCAAATACGCGTCGGATCTGCTTTCTGTGAAATATCAAGCAGCGTGGGCGGAGGTGTTCAATGTCTGCGGCGCGATGTTTGACGCGTTCAAGTGGCGCTCGTCCCCTTACCTCAGGAATATCGTCAAAACGATTGGCGAAATACGTGGAAACGAGTCGTTCCAGGGGAAGAAAGAGGCAGATCAGGTCCTTGGTAGGGCTGTGTATGCGATGGGCCCCGCTGAGGTTCTGGAAATCCTGCCTCTTAACATCGCCCAACAGAAGCCTGGCCAGCCTGGTCGGGTCTGGCTTCTGCCGATCCTGAGAGACAACGTGTCGAATACCAATCTCGCGCATTTCCGTTCGGAATTCGTGCCACTGAGTGAAGCGCTGTACCAGCGAGTTCTGGAGTACGGGAAGGCCGAAAAGACCGTCGAGGTCAAGATCTTCGAGACCCTCATCCAACAAACCTGGTCCATTCTGCCCGGGTACTGTGAGCTGCCGCTAGACTTGGAGAAGGCGTTCGACCAGAGCTTCGCGGAGCTTCTCTCCAACGTCCTCTACAAACAGACGGAGCTGCGCGTCGACATTTGCAAGGCCCTGCAGAATCTGGTGGAATCCAACCAGGCGATTCTGTCGCTGGAGACTGAGGGCGATGATCTTATTGTGCAGCGGCGCATCACAAAGGACGCTGCGAAGAAGAACATTGCCCACCTCGCGGGATTTTCTAGCAATCTGCTGGCCGTTCTTTTCAACGTGTATAGCCAGACTCTTCCGCACTACAGGGGATACATTCTGCAGTGTATCAATGCTTACTTGAGCATCACCCCGGAGAAGGTTAGTAGCCAGACGACTTTCCCCATATCCAGACAGAAGTCTAATCTTGATTCATTTACAGGAACTTGACGAGACATTTAACCGAGTCACTACAATGTTGGAATCGGAACTCCCTTCAGAGGAAGAGGCAGCCAAGAAAGGCAACCTGCCGAAAGGAACCGGAGACAAAATGCCCCCAACGTCTCACACGTTGATCGACCTTCTCATCGCCATGTCGATCTACCTGCCACGGTCGACTTATGGGAAGCTGTTTTCGCTGGCATCTGTGATCCTCAATCGCCAAACGTCCGATCCGCAGTTGATCAAGAAGGCATACAAATTGATTCCCCGTCTCGCGACGACGGAGCTTGGACGGACCGCGCTGAGCGAGCGCAGCTCTGAGCTCCAGTCTCTGATGCTGGCGACTGCCGACAAGACCCCGTCTCCCGCACGACGGGATCGTCTTCACGCGATCCACGAACTCGTCACGTACTTGCCGACCTCCGACCTCCACTTCATCCCCTCGGTTCTCCCCGAGGTCGTGCTCGGGTGTAAGGAAAGCAACGAGAAGGCGCGAAGCGCGTCCTTTGACCTGATCATTCACATGGCCAAAAGGACCATTGATCCTGAGCGGAATCCCCCGGGTACGAAGATTAGGAATTCCTTGGTGCCTCACATGCCGAATGATTCGCCCGATGCTCCGGCGACGCTCGAAGAGTTCTTCACCATGGTGTCGGCTGGTCTGGCTGGCAGCTCGCCACACATGGTCGCCGCGTCCGTCACGGCGCTGTCGCGGTTGTTCTTTGAGTTCCATTCTAAGATGTCGTCGCAAGTGGTACTGGATCTTGTCCAGACGGTCGAGCTGTTCTTGACGAGCAACAATCGCGAGATCGTGAAGTCTGTTCTGGGCTTTGTGAAGGTGGCTGTGGTGTGTCTGCCAGAGGACATGCTCCGTCCGCGCCTCGACTCCTTGGTCCCGAAATTGATGGTCTGGAGCAAGGAACACAAGGGCCGTCTGAGAACGAAGGTCAAGGGGATTCTGGATCGACTCATCCGCCGGTTTGGTGCCGCGATGGTGGAGGCCCTGGTGGGCGAGGCGGATCGCAAGCTGGTGGTCAACGTCAGGAAAGAACGCGAGCGGAGGAAGCGGAAGAAGGAGAAACGCGAGGCGGCCGAGGAAGAGGAGGACGAAGGCGCTGCTCCTGCTCGCGGCAAGACGTTCACCAACGAGTTCGACAAGGCGGTGTATGGCTCGGATCTCTCGAGCGACGAATCCGACCTCGACGACGCCAGCGAGATCGAGATCGACGAGGAAGGCCGCATCCAGAGCGTCTCGTCGACGAAGAAGGGCAAGGCCGGCAAGGGCAACAAAGGAGGAGAGCAATACATCCGCGAAGAGTCGCCAGAATCCAACCCTCTGGACCTGCTCGCTCCGGACGCGCTGGCCAGCATCTCGACCACCAAACCCAGCGTGCGGTTCCTCAACACGGGGCCCGGAGCCAAGAAGAAGCGATCCGCCAAGGTCGATGCCGACGGCAAGCTGATCCTGGGCGACGACGAGGACGGAGACGTCGACATGACCGGCGCAGCAGGCGATGGCGAACAGCCCGAAAGCGGCATCAACGCATACCTCGAGGCGGTCAGCGGGCCGAATGCCATCCGTCGCGGCCAGAAAGGCCGGCTCAAATTCAACAAGCAGAAGAAAGATGACGAGATGGACGTGGATGGCGAGGACGATGACGAGGAGGAGAAGACAAAGGCTAAAGTTGCAGCTGCAGCCGCTGCTCTCGCAAAGAAGAAGAAGCCAATCGTCAGCGGACGGCGCGGCCTGGGCGCTCCCAAGAGTCACGGTCCCAGCGGATCAGGCAGGATTGAGAAGCGGCGGAACATTGTAGCGAAGAGGAGTGGGAGGGGTAGTATACAGATTGGGAATCGGAAGAGATAGACACGGGCATGAGGGAAATAGAGTTGGAAAAAAAAAACGAAGAGTGAAATGAAGTGAGCAAGAAAAAACTTTTTTTTTTAAAAAAAAGCACTCACACAGAGAAAAAGGAAGAAGAACGATTCCTTCATTCATGACGATCAAGCATGAAAGAAAAGAAAAGAAAGAATGGTGACAACATTTTATATATCTCCATCCTCATCCCCAACAACCTTATCAGGTCTGCTTACTGAGATTTTGTATGCATTGTTTATACCCTTTTTTGGAACATATTTCATGCATGTACCTTACCTTGCCTTACTTTGCTTTGAGCTTGAGTAGGTAGATCCATTTGAATTGAATTGAATTGGATTGAATACAATAAAGTGGATTGGATTTATTATCCAGAGCTGCCGAGATTGGTATGTGCATATTATATACTATATGTGCTTCTCTTTTTTTTTTTAGAAACATGCCCTTTTATTCATTATCCAATCCAAGGTCTCTATCTATCCGATGGATAGATACCCAGACAGAAGAACCACATACGATCTCGCTACATGTAACAGGACATAATATAATGATATAATCCCCCAAAAGAGAAACTGACAGATATCCCACCATCCATCCATACGTATGAGAACTAACCAGGCAGGTAGGTAGGTAGATAGCCATCGTAAATAAACCATCCCTCATCACAACAAGACAAGACAAAGAAAAGAAAAAGCCAATACAACTCCACTTTCGCCGGTCATGATGCTAGCGCCCTTTCCTTTTTTTTTTTCCAACACTCCCCAAAGCAAGCAAAATCCAATCCAATCAAGGGTGATGAAAAACCACCAAACCGAGGTTCGTTCATACAGGGTTCATGAAAATGGTATAATAGTGAAGGAAAGAAAAAAAAATCATGGCTAAGCAAATACCCAACATGGTCATCGCTTTCGGCGGCTCTTGCCAAGCCATTTCTGCCACCAGCCATTCACGCCGAGAACGGCCGCCCGCCCATCGTCCCGCCGCTCCGTGCCGTCCGGATTGCCCAGGATCATGGCGAAGATCCAGAAGAAAGCCGCGGTCCATACCGCCAGCAGCAGGCCGAGACTCAGCAGCGGGGCCAGCAGGAGGACGAGGACCAGACGGGCTGGTGAGAATATGTCTGTCAGCGCACCGTCAGACCGGTAAGGGTCGTGGTGATGGTGATAGTGGTGGTGGTGACTCGACGGTTTTTGCGCCAACCGTTCGTGGTATTCTAGCGCTGGAACCAGGAGCTGGCACAGCTGGATGGAGAAGGATGTCGATCGGAAGAAAGATGTGGGGGGACAGAGGCGGAGAGGAGAGGACAAGGTCACGAAGAGCAATGCGAATAGCGTATAGAGACAGGTACCAAGAGAGAAGAGGGGCACAGGCATGGAGAGGAATACCTAAGGGTTCGAGTCAGCACAACAAGCGACTGTTAACAGATTCATGGACGAATCGTGAACTAACCAATGCTAACACCGCATTGGGCTCTTTGCTGTAGGAAAATTTCTCCTTGGTTCCTGCATAGACAGTCACGGAACTCTGCTCGTCATGGCGCACGCTTCGGAGACTCTGTCCTCCGGACAGCTGTGAGGGACGGCTCGCCCAGCTTGCGCGCCCACTCCCGTCCTTGTGGGAATGCCCTTCGGCACTCGTCACAGCCCCGTTGGATCCAGAGCCCTCCTCCATGTGGGATGCCAGCGTGAAAGAGGCAGAGCCGGCGGTTTTCCCGGGGTACGACTGCACCGGGTCCAGAGCGGCGCGCGGAATGGAGTACGAGCCCGTCGACGAGCCGGACAGGGATCCTGTCCCTTCAGGTGAAGAGGCTTCTGAGCCCAAACGGTGATCCTCACCGTCACGGTGATCAAACGAGGAGGGCCATTGGGGCGACTGCTTCAATGAGACCCGATGAGCGGCTGGGGGCAGCGCCGAGGGAGAGACATGATGCGGGATGACAGTGACAAACTGATCGGAGTACGCATGTTCGAAGTAATCCGGGTGGTAGCTGGCGGTGGGCGAAGACGGGGCTCTCTCATGCAGCGACATGGCGATAGATCTGGTACAAGCCCCAGATCGCCCGAATCGGACGTCAGATAAGGCTTCCTCGGTGGCGTAGGTTGACGATATCACCAACACACACGAGGCACCGCAGCAGACACAGGCGACGAGGGCAGATGACACGAAGATAGGCGGACGGACAGGTCAATGCATGGCTTCCGCAGAGCGCAGGACCGTCTGGGCATCTGGATCGACGCAGGCGCCGCGTCTGGAATGAAGGGAGGACGGGGATGGTGGTACAGGGACCGCGGAGAGGGGTTCAGGGCACGGTATTATATCACGCAGCCCGCAGACGGGACCAGCGGAGACGAGAAAGGGAGGAGGGACATGAGGAAGGAGGACAGCGGGAAAGATCCAGAGAAAAAAGAGATCGAGAGGGACAAAGAGAGGATCTCAGCGGAGAGGCTGTCATCTCGGCGTCTTGGACTTTCTTGGGCTTTGGCGACGCCAAGGATGAGCCTAGGTGCCGAGCCCTTGGCGTTGTAATTAGCAACGGCAGACGGCCAGCATGCGCATCAGAGGGGAAGCATTATTCTCCCGATGCAGGATGTTGGATCTGGAGATCACTCACACGAAAAGAATAGGAATGGCTCGTGGCAGGGAGCATCGTCGCCCGTCAATTGCAATCTGCCTGTGCTGCGTTCCATACGGAGTAATCATCTGCACCGCAGGGGCATCCCATCGTGTAGAATGGAGAGTTCCAGCGTTGGCCCGTTGGATTCGCCCAGCGGAAGCGAACTGCGTTCTTACCAGCCGTGACGATACCGATGCCAAGACCCCGTCTTGGCGCGGTCCACCACATCGCGTTCGCAGCCCGTCCGGCGCTGCCATTGGCCAGACACCGCGCGCACGCGAGCGATCCGCCTGCGTCGCTTATCCTTGGCAGCCTCGGCAATACCGGCCGGCGCTGTATCGATACCGCCCGAGCAATCCGCGACCAACGCCCGTTCGAATGCTCGATAAGAGTGGTGCTTGGTGGTGTAGATCGCAGCGTGCAAAGAGAGAGTACTGTCTTCCGTCTCTCTAGACTCCCGATGATGTCCTTGGTGGGAGCAGACACAGAATCCGTCGACATCATCGCCAGGCTGCGGCCAGATGGATGCATGCGTCGATTGCCCAGCCTTGCCAATGTCTCGGCATTGTCCAATTTCTTGTCTGCCGTCCTATCCCAAGACTCCAGCCCATTCTGTGACTCATCAAAAAGTCTTGGAGCTCATAAGCTGGGACGTCCAGTGCCTACCCCGAAGACGTCATGAGTGTGAACAGCCGGACAGTCTGGCAGACGATGATGATGCATCCATGAGCGATGACAGATGCACTGTGCCGTCTCGGATAAACGTTTGTGCTGCCCGCCTCCGCTTCCCTGTGGGGGAACACCTGATGATCGTCGTTCTATTGGCACTCTGCATTCCGCGCGCCTAGACTTTGCAGTGTTGGCATTATTCTTGGCCGGGATGATGCATCCAGTGGCAGTTTATCTCGACGAGAACATGCCGAAAAAAGGGCAAAGGAAAGAAAACAAAAGAAAGGTTCGAATTGAAGCCCAATTTCGCTTACGGAATTGCCAAGAATCGGTCCACAGACTGGTCGACTGACTTGATAGAGGTGAGAAATTTGAAAATTGAAAACGTAAAAGGACAAGACTGCTGTACTATTGGAATTGTTTACTCGATAACAGATAAACACATCTAGAGAAGTTTCCGCATGGCCAGACGTCGATTGGACGAAGCAGTCGAGTTCAATTGCGCTCTTATCATCATTCTGTCATCATTATAAACTCTGTGATAACGCAGCCACGCTTACGTGTAGAACAGAAAATAAAAATGCTGAGAAATAAGTACGAATCAGCCAAGACAGACAACTCACACCTTTGCCACTAGATACAACCCTAATTAATTGGACCAATACATTTTAGTGCTCTGCTATTGCCTCAATCCCTAATTCCTGGGATAAAGAAGAGAGCATTATTCTAATGCAGCATAGCTACCTAGCTAGTAGACAAAGCAGACTGCAGTACTTTTTTACTAAACCTTACTTAGCAAGTTAGCCCTAATCCCTAATAATACTTCCTGTCTGGATAGCCAAGGTATTCCATGCCTACCTACGTACGTAATCTATGGTCGTCTCAGAGGATGTTCCACGTGGGCGGTGTGGAGAACGGTGAGGAAAGCGGGGGGTTTTGACCGGCAGTATTTTCATTATTTTCCTCTTGCGGAGTTTCACGCCCACCTTTCTTCTTCCTTTCCTCCCCAGCTTGATCTTCCTGTAAATAATCTCCTCATAGTGTCGATATAGCGAATGAGATTGGGTTTGTCACAATTCTTAAAAGTTGTCTTTTTATGTTGAGTTTGTTGTCTTACAAAAAGAATATTTCTTAAATGTTTCTTTAAAAAGTATTGTTTACTAGTGGCTAACCAATTAGATAACCATTATATATCGATTTCTTTATAATACTTATATTTCCTATATATAGTAAAGCTGTCAAAAACATCTAAGAAACTGTTAGTTAACGGTTTTCTAACCCCACCTTGGCAGTACGGGGGTCTCTAGGAGGTTTGGTATAGTGCGAGCAGAGTACAAAATGTTGACGCCTAAACATTCTAACATTTGGAGCACTGTAGAGATGTTACATATGTCTAAACAATTTCCCTTACCTCTTCTTCTACTTGAATGTCCCTCTCTGCGGCTGCGCTCTGCCTGTACACCACGTGATAATGTACAAATTGAGAATGGCGCTAGGCCAGATTGTAGGGCTAGGACCTGATGTCTCACGCCCACACCAGCTGGGGATCTTTCTTTGTTCTTTCCTTCCCTCAGCTTCAGATAACTTAGCATAACTGTCACTAAGATTGATTTCTGCTATTGCTTGAGCTGTTGCACTCTACTCCCTAACTCTGGTTAAGCTTGATTCATCTGCATCCATTATAGCTTTCCACGAAAACGATGACAGGCTACATTGATATCCCACTCACAAAGGAAGAGGAGGAAGAAATCGATGAAATTGCCAATGGGCCCACTTGGGAGGAGGAAATTGACTGTGTGGAACAAACCAACTGGTCGGAGGAAGAAGCTGATGAGCCAGGTGAGGGCCTTGGACATTTCAAGACAGCAAAATATTAACTCCTAGTGACCACAAAGATGACTTGACCCCAGCTCTTTACGTAAATGGGTAATTTCACCTAATTGCAAGCCCGGATCTACAGAGGTATTACGACAGGTTGAAGCCAGCTATTTTCCGGGCCAATAGAATTACATCAGGTGTTTGTTTTACCTGGAAACAGATCATTGGCAAGGGATCAGTCGATAAATGGATTGATGATATCTGGAAGATCACAGTAAATGACTTCCGATATCTGCTCGGTCGATCATCGCCACCAACCTTGGACGACTTTGAAAAACTAGAAGTGATTGATACAGCGCAGCTGGGATTGTACCTTGCACTGATTACGCGGGATGATGGTTAAGGAAGGAAATATCTTTATGTTGGTTCAGCAACAAGTCCCAGAGGCCTTGCACATCGGATAAAACAACATCAGCGGAAGTCCTACAGTTCTCAACAAGTTTAAGTCATAGCACATTTCACTCCTCTTCCTATTAGAGCGAAGAATTGACTTCGTCATCTCCTATGTAGAAAAAGCGGATCATTCCATCACAGATTGCTCAACCAAAAGGACGTCCAAGGAGCCAGAAATTCGTGACAGCGGGTCTTGCATCCTTCGAGAACCCTAACGACTTGGACAGCGTTATGTACGAAAGGGAAACAATTGTCTTTGCAGAGGCCATTTATACACATTGGTTATATGAATTTGGAAAAAAGGACTAGGCAAAGAATATGATGTCTTGCCCATTTGTCCCTGGAAGCCAGACATCCTATCCTACACGGGTGCCTGCCGTTTTTCGCCTCTGACTTTTCCAGTGCCAGGGAAAACTGTAACCCAATGTCAAAGGAACAAAGGCGTCTGGCATTAAATGTGGCAAGCACCAATCGACGAAGACGCCGAACCGATGAAGAAAAAGCTCGTGAAAGGGCTCGACGCAAAAAGACCGCTGCTTTCAGGTGGGTAGCCATCAAACGATGGAAGGAAAATAATCGCCTACGACAGCTGCGAAAGAAACTCGAAAACAATGTCAAGATGCGGGCAGCCCGTAAATGTTTATTCTGCAGAGCTGCAGCCCACGATATCAGAACATGTGATGCACCTGGCAAGGAAGTTTTCATGAAAACAAAGTGGAAAGGTCGTTGTCCGAGAAAGGAACGCCCAAAGGGCCAAAAGAGTGAGAAGAAAGAAACCCGGATCCCCGGTTGCGCTGTCTGTGGGGATCCAGGACATAATGTCCGTACATGTACCGATCCGGCTGCAGAGGAGTGGCGTTACGACATCAGATGCTCTAACTGCTGGGAGACCGGGCACAGTGCCTTGACCTGTCCGCGAAAAGGCGAGGAGCAACTATCCGAATCGCTCCCGAGACAGTGAAGTACATGAGCAGAACTTTCGTCTACTGCCCAGGGTTCCCTTCGTTTGTTGACCCAGTGATTACATGGACAGGATGTTTTTATCTTGGTTTGTTTCATTGCCCAGGGCTTAAGTGAAAGTCGTGGCTCAAAAGGAAAAGCTATGCTTCATGGCTGTAAGGAAAAGGTTCTCTTGAACTGATCGGAATAATAAGAAATTTGCGGGCGGATGGAGCAACCGTCATCTTTAGCAGTTTTTGCCACGATAAGAAAGTTATAGTTTGCGGTCAAAATACAGAGATTGTATTCATCGACCGTTTTCTTCGACTGTGATAATAGCGGTTAGGATTGCTGAAGATTCGAAGAAAAAAAAATGAAGACGATCTATCGTGACTGGCGAAAGAAAAAAAAAGTAGGACTAGATCCTAACCGATAAGAATAAAAGATGATGATTAGAGATAATCGAAAAAACTTAGCTAGGGCGTCAATTAGATTCTATCCTTTTTTTTTCGGTCTTGGATTATCGTTTGCTTGTTTTACGACTTCCAGATGCTGAGGATTACCCTGTGTTCCCGTCAATCCCACGCTCGTGGAGTAGTAGGTTGCAATCTAATGTTTTTGATTTTGCCTGTGAGCACTTATATATACATGCAGTTCCTATTTCCACATATATTTACAAGAAATTGGCAGGAAAAATAGGAAAATATGGTATAAATCTACTGAGAAGGCAAAATAGTTAACTTCTCAGCCGGGCAATCATGTCGCTAACGACCAGCACATCTTTCTTCAGCGCCTCGACGATCTCGAACTGTGCACACCTTTTGCCTAAACTCATATCCTTCTTTGCCCAATAGCACCGACGCCGCCCTGAAGTCATCGAATTAGCAATTCAAATTTGACCTCGAAGACTGACATCCAAACTTACGGTATCAGTTCATCGTCCGCCCAAAGTCTTCCATACGACTGCTCGCCAAAGGTCGTGCCACTAACCAGCGATCGGGACCCTTCTTCGGTCGTTCGTAGTAAGAAAGCATTGGCCAAGGCCCGGACGACCTTCAGGTCTGTTCCCACCCGTAGCTGGACTCTTGGTAGTTGACCATGTAGATGCCGGCATTGAGCATCGCCACGTCCAGACGGTCCAGGGTTGTCGAGGCACGGTGCGCAAAGTCCCGGATGCTGTCGTACGAGTTCATGTCGAAGTGCCATACTTGGACGCGGTCGTCGCGAGCTTTCATCCCCGTCGTCCACTCTTCGATAACTGACTTGGCGTGATGGCCCTTGGTGATGACTTGCACGCCCAGCGCGGTGAATTTGGCGGCGGCTTCGAACCCCAGACCGGATTCGTTATCTTCCTCTGCATACTTTTTTTATACTATGGCTTGCTCAGGGAATTTTTTTTAATAAAAAAAAAAGGAAAAAAAAAGAAACATATACTGCACGCATAATTGACAGAACGCCTGACTTTACCTCTCTAGGACAGGTAATCCGCAACAAATAGATAGATAGACAGGTGTCAAGCGAAAGACGACGAAATAACAGAATTTTTTTCTGACTAGACTAAAACTCCTAGCACGGCATGAAGAAACCGTGATACTTAGAAAAGACCAACGAGATGAGGAATCGGGGCTGATTTTAAACCATGGACCACGGACCTCACTCCCTAAGCTATGGGGTTCTCTCCTTCATTTGTCTTGGGTATTTGTCTCGTTTCAACTTTCAAGGGTGATAAAATCAATATCATACGGGATTCCTACGGTCCTACCTAGGTGCTGACAATAATATATGTGTGGGGTAGGAGGACGATGAACGGACAGATAGACAAACAATCTACCATCTGTAGGGAATCACAGATTCAATTAATTACACTTGCCAAAAAAAAAAAGAAAAAGAAAAAAAAAGAAAAATATGTTTTGTTTTCTTATTATAATTATTTTTTTTTGCGCAGTTCGCTTCTCATCATCTTATATGTGTCTGTTTGTTGGCTTTTATGAATTGCGTAAGCACCAGCTGCAGGAGGATCCATTACGGCTTGACTTGTTTCTCTTTTCAGCGAAGCAAGGAAAATCAATCAACAATAGAAACGAAATGTGTTGCTTTACTGCGTTAATATTCCTGGTAAAAATTGTTTAGTATATATATAGTATATAAATATAGACAGGAAAGTTAGAGTCATTGCTCCTCTAATCAGATGATTATGATCGTAAAGCCCATAAATAAAAAATTGGCCAACTCCTTCCTTCACTTATTGATCAGTAGAAATAGTTAATCATGCAATAACATCACTAAAACGAACCAGGACAGAGATGCGGATGGATAAATTTTAATTTTCCTATTGCCCGTATTCCGCTAGGATTGAGCATGATAAGGATTCTTTGATTTGTAGCGCCTTGACCTTGACCTTGCCCTTGAAACTTGTGTATGTATATACGTGGACAGTGTGGCAGTTGTAGGAAAAGAAGCAAAAACTCAACTTAGGTAGTCTACCAGAAGTTCATGCATTTGTCTACGAAAGAATCCAAAAAAAAATCCTGCAGGCTACATAGATTTCTTCTCAATATTGTTGTTCTATGGAAGAAAAATATTTTTTTTCACTACTAATTGAGTAATTATTAGCTTCTGCAAGACATGATCTTTCTCTGCTGAGTATGTACACATGTACTGTACGATAAGATAGGGAAAATAAGCTAGGCAATTTCTACAGCAGAAGTAGTAGTATAGCCAAGCATAATTATTGCTTCGGCTCTGGCTCGTTCAAAACTCATGTCTGATTATTATTCTCCTAATTGAAGTTATTGGCTATATATTGCGATGTCTTCTTGTCGTTGCTGGCAAGATTAGTACTACTGTTCTGGCTCGTAGTTACAGTACTTCCTTCCCATTTGTCCTTGCGAGGACTAGGGGTACATCTGCGGTTGTAGTAACGCCGAGTACTCCAGACATATGATTTTTTTTTCTATATATAGATTGCATATCTAGCAATGGAAATTTTTTCGATTCCGTGGAAAAGAATATGTTGAACTGGATTCAGTGGATTCCCATTTGAGCAACCTCAGATGCCGCTAACCCGATGCATCAGGCGCACTCATCCACGCTAACCAGATGAGGGATAAAGGTCACGGGACCAGCTTAGGTAAGGTACGGTACTGTGTCTGTCACACTGCCAGTTGGCCTCCTCACGTCTACAGCCTTAGATGCGGCTGCATCTGTCACAAGACTCAAGCAACAATCGCTGAGGAATAATCGATAGGTAAGTAGGAACAAAGCTAGCTAGCTACCTAGGTAGGTAGGTAGGGATTCTGTAGGTAGCAAGTGAGGGCGTATGTATGTACAGTACATACAGTACAAGAGTGGAGTGGAGTGGAGTCCGTCAATCGACGGAAGAAGAAAGAAAGAAGATCTATGCATCATGTACGGAGATAGATGCATGCATGTATGCATAGGGTGATCTGCTAGCATGATAAGGTATGCATGTACCTACCTCATCCGGAATATCTCGGGAATAGCAAAAGGAAAAAAAATAACAATTTAATTCAAAAAAAAAGGTTACGGACGATGACTTTAACTAATTCGACCTGTCAAGGTCGACCGGGCTGGATCGCAGAAAACTCGGAAAAGGCGCGCCCCAAACGGTTCCATGGGAAAAGAAGAGCCAGAGAAACCGCCTTGGGGAAATTTGCCCTGGTCACACCAGTAGGTTACGTAGTATACTGTTCATGACTCTACCTGCATATGTATATATATGTATGCCCGGAATGATAATTTTTATTTTTCTTTTAAATTTGTGTGTGTGTGTGGCTAGTGGGTCTTTTGACGTCAATGGGGGTCAGGTGACGGTGTGACTCGTGGACCACACTGACTTGACAGGTGTTTTGTTTGCCGGTTTGGCAATAAATAGAAAAGAAAAGGGTATGGAAAATTCTGTACTACTACTATTATTAATATTGCAGAGGTATAGTATAGTTGATATCAGCCTTGAAGATATGTAAAGGTAGTTTCTTTTCTTGTTCATTCTCTCTGTCTTTCGTGTTCTCTCAGCGCCATCGCATTACTTGCCAATGTCAACCGTTTCAGATTTATGACGCCGCCTTGGTCGCTTAGAAAAGGTTACGCTGACGAACGATTCATCTTTCTACTATTTTTCTACTATTTCTACTATGGCTGGCGTGGTATGCACCTGTCTTATATAGTCTAGCGACACGGGTGATTATATAACACACAGTGCAGGCTGTGCAGCCCAACCTGTCATGCTTAATATCCTGTCAGCTTAATATCCGCTTGCGGAGTCAGCTCCGTCTGGTACCTGTCCAGCAAGATGCTGCGACATGGATTGGCGCGCAGACAGACGCAAGTGCTGCGCCGGGATGTCTGACGCACGGCTGCGGGCCACACGGAGACTTTGAGTCTAAGCGAGAAACACTGGACTGGAAACTCGGAGCTTTTGAAACCCGGTGTGCAACCCTGTTCCGTCCAGAATATAATAATAATTATTACCGTTCGTCACTGGCCAGCGGTTGACAGCTTGCCACGATGGAGAGGACTGAGCGAGATGAGTTGAGTTGCACGCAGCCGGGCTGCCACGCTAAGGCGGGGCGCGCGGAACATTTCCCCGTTGCGTATTGTAGTCTGTGCACAGATATAGCGTGCTGTTAATCCTCGTAAAGCGAGTGATGATCAAAGTGATAATCACATCCACCAGACAGGCCTTCTACAGCTGACCCGGGTAGCGCCGCTACGTCCAGCTTCACCGCGGTCAGCGATGCAATATTGACAGTATTATATCAGGCCCAAGCATGATGCTGCCGTGCGTAATCACCCGGCCGGGCCAGCTTTTGCCATCGTTTCTTTCTTGTTCCAACGTGGATGGCGGTTCTGCCCAAGGCCACGGGTCATACATGGGGGCGGTCCACGGTAGGAGAGAGCATGGCAACGGTAGGCCAGGGAAATGCTGCACGCGCGCACAGGAGCATGGAACGGTCACAGAGGGAGGAGGTGGATATGGATGCGTTGGCTGGCGCGGTGCCATGCAGCACGACTCGTCCGTGTGGCGTGGGATTGAAAACGCAGGTTGAACAGCTCGCCGCCTGTCAAACCATCGAGCGCGTCGGACCAGGATCACCCAGGCAATCAGAGGGCGCGCGATCGGCGTCTGATGGATTGGGCGTGGTGTGGGCGGCTCCACCGCCAGGAATCCACCTGGCAATTGGCATGCAGCTGCCGAGGGCGAGGGTGGCTGGCAGCTAGGGCAAAAGGAACACGGGAAACTCGGCTGCGTCGGAGGGGGGTGTGGCTGCGGTGGCTGGTGCTGTGGCACAGCAGCCGCCAAAAAAAGGAGACCGGGGTCACGGGGCCGTGACGACAGAGGAGGCTTCCGGGCAGCGGGTCGGGGCGAGTCAGCTGGCGGAGAGATCAGGTCGGAAGTCCATTCTTAGGCCAACGGCCTCCCAGGGTCGTACCGAGCCCTGACGGCAGGCGCGAACACTGGCAGCGCACACCCGGCGCTAGGGCTGCACGCTGGAGCAGCAAGGTGGGGCCCATTGCTTAATCAGTCAGTCATCCTCATCACCGCTGCTGTCACTCGGCTGAAGAATGTAGGCAGTCGTCCTGTCAATCCGGCCAGCCTTGCATCGGTCTTTGTTGATAGCCGGTATTGTGGCCTTTATCGACAGACTGGCCCTGGCATGGATCAAGGCGTCCGCAGGGTTGGTGCTGCAGGCGTGCACAGACCGGGGGGAAGGACACGGAAAACGAGGGCAGAAGAATGCCTGCCATGGAGGTCTGGATTGCCCGGTCATTATCTGCTCATTATTGTTTCCTGGGCCAGGATCCATGGACCCATGGACGGTGATCCAGCATCCCTCCGAGGCGTCACGCCAAACCCAAACGGGACATGTGGCTCCCCGGTGGGGACCCCCCCGTCTCCTCCAGGGCGCTAAGCCGCAAGGAGCCTAGGGGCGAGATTCGGCACGGGGACGCTGCCCACGGGCCACATGCGCCAGCCGTGGGTGTGGCCGGGCCCACTGCAGCACCGGTCACTCTGGCCCTCCCCATTTGTGTTGCAACGGAAGCAGACGCCTCCCCCCCTGCCCGGCCTGATGGGTGCTGCCGTCGCTGTCGCTTAACCTCACACCTCTGCTCTGCCTGAGATCTTTGGGTTGGGTTGGGTTCCTAGCCTTTTCTGACGAGGTAGGGACTCCCTGCGCCATTATTAGTTTATTACCCAATACAGACCCCCACATCCACTATGGCAGGGCGCATCACCATGTAGCCTCCCATGGCAAGTGTCTTTTTATATAGAAAGTCGGACCGACAGAGAAAGCCGGAATCTTCCAGCCAGCCCGGATAGCTCCCACCCTCAACATTCTGAACTATCAAGTCTTCTGCTGTGGACAGATCACTCGACGTCGCAGTCTGATAGAGTGTCTGCCTGTTCACCGGCCCGAGATTCCAGGACTCTGTCCTCTGTCTCCGTAGACTGTCCACGGCGTCGTACTCCGTATCGTCAGGAGAGGATCCCAGATGGCGGCGGACATAGTGTGCCCATAGCGTGGGCAGCCTAAGAATAAGACTGCTGCTGAACTGTCCGGATCGGTGGGCGTGATCGTGCTTAGTCAGCCGCGCACCACCCAGATCGGACCCACCGCCGTCGCCCCCTGGGCTAGCTAAGCCTAAAGCCTGCCAGGCCTCCGCTTGGCGCCGGCCGCTGCTGCTCGCCCGTCCTCCCTCGGCGCGGTTGCTGCTGTTGCTGACTGCGCCAGAAGGTACACAACCACTAGCGCCGCTTGGCAAAAATCACCGTCTCGCGCCCGCCCCTCGAACCCCGTTCTCTCTCACCCGCTCATCCTCCGGTCTTCTCTTCTGCTTTTTTTCTCCTCCAGCGTCGCTGCGCTCTCGCTCGGGACCGTCTCTCCCCCGGCTCCTGTCCTCCTCTCTTCCCCAAACCCCCTCTCCTACGCATCCTTCCTACTCTCCTCATCGGACTTCTTGTCCTGTTGCCTCTCTTCCTCTTCCCTTTTCCCGTTTGCGTCGCGGTCGTGGTCTCCGGCCGCCAGGCACGTTTTCGCTGCCAGCTGTGGACTCCTGGACGCCTCCACGCCCAACGTCTCACGACAGGCGTCCCTTTGGAATCAATCGCGCCTCCCCTGGACTTGCGATTCTTTCCAGACTGCCCTCTGTTCTTTTCATTCATCGCCTGTGATTTCACGCGACCTGTCGCTCAACCTGGTTACGGCCGCGTGCCACGTCATCGGAACTCCGGGTCGAGCAGCACCGTCGTCGAAGAAGCAGAAAGCCTTCGGAATACCAAGGATAACGGGTCCTGAGAGCTAGCCTCTCTCGGCTGTAGGACGCAACTGCGCTCGGGTTCCCCAGGGCTTGATTTCGTTCGACCCTTTCGTCTGATTTTGGGGCGGCTGATTGCGACCCCCTGAGAATAATCATGGCGCATCCTCAGCCATCCCCTCCTGGGGGCGTTCCTCCGCACCATGGCCCTCTTACAACCCACCCGCAGGTCAATGGTCATATTCCAGTCCAGTCGCAGGGGCAGAAGGGCCCTCCGCTGACGACGGCACAAAAGATTGCTGCCCTGAACGAGCAAGTCTGGCTCCAGATCGGTAGGGAATCTCTCCATCTCACATCAAGTCTGGCCATCTTTTTGGAGCTGTCGATGCTGACCACGCTTTACAGGCAGTCTGACAGAACTCATGGGCGACCTGGATGGTGCCATGCACGCATATGAGCAGGCGCTTCGGCACAACCAGTGGTCGATTCCCGCCATGACTGCCATCTCTCAAATCCTCCGGACTCGGGAGCAGTTCCCTAAGGCCATTGAGTACCTCCAGAACATCCTGAAGCTGGATCCCCAGAACGGAGAAACTTGGGGCAGTCTCGGTATGTCTTTTGTCGTGACTCCTCCCTGTTTAAAGTCCCTGTAATAAGGAAGCTGACTTGGCCTTTCTAGGCCATTGCCATCTGATGATGGACAATCTGCAGGAAGCCTACACTTCCTATCAACAGGCCCTCTATCACCTGCGGGACCCGAAGGTTTGTCATTGCTGTCTTCCCTTGCTTCTAATCGGTTGCTAACAATCCTTCTCCAGGAACCCAAGCTATGGTATGGCATTGGTATCCTTTATGACCGCTATGGTTCGCTGGACCATGCGGAGGAGGCTTTCACTCAGGTTATGCGCATGGCTCCAGACTTTGAGAAGGCCAATGAAATCTACTTCCGCCTGGGAATCATCTACAAGCAGCAGCAGAAGTACGAGCAGAGCTTGGAGGTTAGTAACCAATCTGCAAATGTTTTTCGACGGCTTGCTGACGAGTATGGTATAGTGCTTCAAATACATCGTGAACAATCCTCCTCGGCCTCTCACCGAAGAGGACATCTGGTTTCAGATTGGCCATGTTCACGAACAACAGAAGGATGTGAGTGTCAAAATTCCAATTTAAACCAGGTGGTCCTGGTCCGTGCCTCACTGACTGTTACACCACCAGTTCGACGCCGCACAAGCTGCCTATCGCCGGGTGCTGGATCGTGATCCCAACCATGCCAAGGTCTTACAGCAGCTCGGGTGGTTGTACCACCAACAGAGCTCCAGCTACGCCAGCCAGGAGAAGGCCATTGAGTATTTGGAGAAGTCTGTCAACGCAGGTATGTTGGGTCGTTCCACATGTCGTGGTGGAAGTTCGCCATCAAGAGCAGACACTGATCTCTCCCACAGACAGCAGCGATGCGCAGAGCTGGTATCTCCTGGGCCGTTGCTACATGGCGCAGCAAAAGTATCCCAAGGCGTATGAAGCCTATCAGCAGGCGGTCTATCGAGACGGAAGGAACCCCACCTTCTGGTGTTCCATCGGTGTGCTCTACTATCAGATTAACCAGTACCGCGATGCCCTCGATGCCTACTCGCGTGCCATCCGACTCAACCCTTACATTTCCGAGGTTTGGTACGATCTGGGCACACTCTATGAATCCTGCAACAACCAGACCGCCGATGCGCTGGATGCCTATGGGCGTGCGGCGGATCTCGATCCGAACAACGTCCACATCAAGGCCCGTCTGCAACTGCTCCAAGCCCAACTGCAAGGCCAGAATCAGAACAACAATGCTCCTGCTCCGGTGCCGCAGGATGTCCATCCACAAGCGTACCAGAATACTGGCCCAGGCGCTCCTCCGGCTCCCCAATGGAGCGCCCCTGCGCCGACGGGTGGTCCTCCTCCCCAACCCCCGGCTCCCCCTCGCCAGATTGCCGACTGGAACCGCAGCATCAACGAGGTTCAGAACCAGCAACAACCGCAGACCTCAAGTGCTTATGATCAGCGCGGCCCTCCCCCGGCCCAGCATCCCAGCCCGCGCCAAGAGCCTCCCAGGTCATTCCCTGAGCCAGCTCGCAGTCAACCCGCCCCACGCTCTCCTAAGGGCAGTCTTCCGCCCCCGACCTCTTACCCGCCATCGCAGACACTGCCTCAACTTGCTCCCCCGCCGCCTCAGCCTCAAGATCGCGCCGCTAGTGGTGGTGCTAGTGGCTACGCTGGCTCGGCTCGCGGACCACCTCCTCCCAACGCTGGCCCCGGCGCACCGGCTGGTCCCAACGGTGCTCCGGCTCCTGCTACTTCTCTGCCTCCTTATCCCCGTCCGTTTACTCCTCCCACGGAGATCCGGCCGATCCGGGAGGATCGTCCCTCGTCTCCCGGCTCCACGTATCCTCATCAGCAATACCATCACGGTCCCAGCATGTCTGCCCAGGGAGGTAGCGGTAATGGGATCGCTGGCGGCGCCCCTCCTCCCGCCTCTGCAGTGACGGCGGCTGAGGCTGCCGCTCGTGAGCGCGAAGAGCGCCCCCCGTCTTCGATGAAGCGTGGCCGTGAATGGGATAACTCTGAGTCTGGTCCTACCAAGAAGATTGCCAATGAGGAGAATCGCGCCCGTCTGGATGATCAGATGAACCGACGGGTAACTCCCCCCAGCGAGATCCAGCGTCGCAGTTCGTCCGAGGCTCGTCGCGAAGAACAACGTCGTGCCAATGAGAACTATCATCCGTCCGAAGCGGCGCACCATCCCCCCACTTTGCCGTCTATTCAGCACATGCCTCCGCCGTCAGGTTCGTCTATGCCTCCCATGGCTGAAGCACCACCTTCGTCATCCAATCCTCCGTCCGGCGGCCCGGCTGCGTCCTCTCAAGTCAAAGAAGAGTCTGTCCGCAAAGAGCAGCCGCCATTGCATGAGCCTGCTGCTCGCAAGATGGAAGTGGATGAAAACTACGACGATGATGGTGAGGATGAGAAGAGGACTGGCACTGGCCCCAAGGGCAGCCCCCATGGCAACGGGAATGCCAACCCTAACGGCAGTGGAGTGGTAAATGGCAGCAACCAGGCGTCCCAACCTAAGCAAGAACCTGCCGCCTAAGCGCTGTCTGACAATCACGGTTGAGCCGTCGCGCTCGTGGATGATGTTTTCAACGTGGTCGAGCGCCAAACAGGAATAGTTTTCTGTGTGATGTTCCTCAATGTAACATTAAGTCGCTCTCGACTTTTTACACTGAAATCTCTGCCTGATTTCATTTCTTCTTCCCCCCCACTGTTCCGATAATGCCTTTTTTGTGTAATCTTACGAGTGTAACTGGATGCCGGGTGGTGCTGTTCAATGCTTGTTTCGATCCTCTGGAGAGTGTGGGGACCTTGATTTTTTTTTCATTTGTTTTTTTTCCCTTGTTATTCGTCAATCATCATTCTGATCGTTTTGGTCTCTTTTCACCGCTGATTCCCCTTGACGGTCTATGTTCTCATGTTCACTACTAGATTCACGATTCATGGGATCGATGTAGTTGAGATGAACCCAGTCATCGCTGTTCTCGCCTGGTCACATTGCGACTGGTGGGGCTGTGGGATTTACGATTTTTTGTTTGTGTTCTTTTCATTCTCTCTTTTTGCCTTGTTTTTTGTTTGTTGGCCCCTCAGATATCGCACGATGATGGTGCCACTATATTGCATCAAAAAAATTGTTCTTTGTCTTGTACCATGACTTGACAATGGCAGGTCATCAAGATTCTGTTCCTGAAAACAGAGAATAGCAAATATAACGATCAATCCAGTAGCTAGAAAAATTCCAATCACCGTTGTTGAATGTTTCTTGTCTGTTTCGTATTCTGTGTAATCCGACCGTCCATTTTCGGCCACTCGAGTCTACGTTCATGACTCGAAATTTCGACTGTAACGTAATCCACCACCGAGCTGGTCACACCACCGAGCTGGTCAGCCACAACACCAACACCGAGTTTTTGACTATTACTACCACCACCACCCACCACCACCTAATGGCCGATATATCTAGGGAGGAACGTCTTCAATTGGCCCTTCAGGCCTATAAAAAGGGCCAATTTCCATCAATCCGAAAGGCTGCAGATGCATTTGACGTGCCTAAAAGCACCTTAATAACACGTGTCAGTGGGACTACTTCTCGCAAAGATTCAATCGCCAATTGTCGAAAATTGACAGAGACTGAAGAGAATACACTTTCAAC